AAAAAAGCCGGCGTACATTCGACTGACGTTGACAAAGCTCGAGCGCTATTGATGGAAAGTTCAAGCCATGATACGTCTTATACTTTGCACGTACTGGACCGAGTTCTGTTTGAAACATCACCCATTTATCACGTCAAGTGACATGTCGAGCCTTGGAATGTCAGATACTGACAGGAAGTGATTCGTTGAACACAATGGCTTTAGACATCCGTACAGGACACATCCAGTAACATCCAAGTGTGCCTCGGTGCTTATGACAACGTTACACGGGAAATCCTACAAGACAGGTCTCAACAATAAACTCAAGCACTGGTAGGGGAGATATTGAAAGCTGTATTGCGCTCGGCCAACAAAAGGTATGCGACGTACGTAGTACCTAGGTTGCGCTGACAAGCGAGATAACCAGTCGGATGTTTATCGAGATAAACCGACTTGCCTTTACTACGTATAGTAGCTTTGTTTGGCTAACGTCATGTCCCAGCGCATTCTAAACGACAATGCAAGACGTTAGCAGTTGTCCGCAAACTGTTCACTAAATGGCCTTGCTTGGTGAGTCATTCGTGAGTGGGGGGTTACGGATTAACAAGGTGTTACGTGGCATGGTAAGCCTAATATTAATTTTCTAAAGAAAGGTCTATACGGGGCATGAGTCGTAGAGCCTTTGCAGGATCGTACCGAACATGGTGGGTGGATATGGACCCATTTCTTCAACCACCTGCGGATGGCCTGAATACTTTCGGCAAGCACAGCATCCGATATTTCGAACTACCGAGACTGTCGTTATGCACATTTGTCACAGCCGTTGGCCGGCAATACTTCAGTGTCCGACCGAAAAACCTCACCATTACCGTTTGAAGTCGAAGACAAGAGTTCATCAGACAGCTTCAGAGCTGGCGCCCTGTCGTTGAATACTCATACTGTATTATGAAGACACTGAAATTATCTTCAGAGTCTCTCTCAAAGTTTGTAAAAATAAAAAATGACAGAGCCTAGCAATGCTACAGACTGTAGCTTGGTGGAGCTGCCGTTCAATCTTATACAACAAAAAGCCAACGAGATAAAAGTAAAGTGGCAATGTCACATCTGAGCAGTTCTGGTCAATCCGATATCACGATAACGTCCGTCACCGTCAAGGAAGATTCATTTCCTAATGAAAATAAGGATGCTTTTACATATGAAAAAAGGTGTCCAGTTAAGACGCTTGTAGTATGTATATACTCTAGGACATTTTTACTTATATCTAGGATTCTGAATTCTTTTTAGACTGTTTATGACCTTCCCTGTCTCGCCAGACGGTGAACCTCACTTGACGGTGACGGACGTTGTTCTAAAAAAAATAGTCCTGTTTGAGCGATTGTATCATTGCTCCTCTAAAATCTACGATTTCGACGCTTACGTATTTCTCATTTTGGACATTCTATCTAACCTTCACCTCCCTTCTCTATCACCTATATTCACTTGTTTGTCCTTTTCTATTGCGAGATGATTGTACACCTTGGGTATTTTCTTTTCGCTACGCGGTTCGCTCTCTTTGAAGGAAAACACTGATCTGCTCTGATTTAGGTTCGTATCTTTGGAATTAGCCTCCATTCCTGAGCTACCATGTCTTAAAAGTGGGCTTGTGCTGCAAAAGCTTCGGCCAAAACAATAACACGGAGCCTCCTTTGCCACGGTCTATGCGGTCTGGACTACTTTATGAACCTTCTGGTCTCTTCAACATCAGTACCATTATCAACAACAGATCCGCCTTGTTTGATGGTTTGTTGTTGATAAGTTGAGACTCCACTAGAAACCCAAAGGATACCTTCCTCGGCCTAGAAGCAAAAGCATGACAACGGTAAAATGGAAAGAAGCTGGTGTCGCAGCTATAGGGGGAACATTGAAGAGTACCCTCTGGAGGTATGTTTGATAAGGGATTCGGTGGCAAAGACCTACGCCTATCTCACAAGCTCCACTACGCCACAAAACCAAATGCACAGTCTTCCGGGATTAGGCGGTGTGACAGTCTCTTCCTCGAACTACCTTATCTCTATGGGTCAAAGCGCGGTGGGGGATGAGTGTAGGAAGGCCAAGATCCACGTACATGACAAATGCGTGCGAGAGACTCTCGTGCTTGGGCTGAGGCTTTGAACGTTTGATGGCTATCCCTGTCAAGGAACGGGTTATTGAAATCCGGAACAACGCCAACAACCAAAGTCATCATCTTAGAGCCATACACAGCCACGCAACTAGTGTGGTTAGGCACACACCCAGCATCCTCTATTGACAGAGAAGCAAGGTTTGTATACGATACCACGTCATTGACCGAGTAAGCTATCTCATTACTAGGTGATGACAAGTACGTGCACGGAAACCGGCCAGCTCCATCTTGTTACCACTGTGGACTACTCAAATGCATAGACCAATCAACCTCTAGGACCGGCACATCGACTCAATCAGAAATCCTGAAAGATATGGGCTTTAGTACTTGGCGAGAGCTTGTACGTCGTAGGTACGAATCTGAGACGGTGAAGGAGGTGGCGATTTCTGGCAAGGTTGTGCCAACAATTCTGATGGCGGTCTGAATGCAGTGAGCATGGATTGAAGGAGCGACTGTGGAAATTGCGGCTGATAACAGACGGCGAAGATATGAAGAAGATTCCGGAAACGGCAACAGTGGAATGTAGAATGCCGTTTTTGGAGAGAACACTGCATGACATTTAACGTACAGAGCTTTTGTTTGACCACTGCTGACCACTGCGGAGGAGTAGAGCGTCAGTTCGTCTTTCCCGTGTTCGATGGTGTTGTGTCTCCGTAGGAGTAGTTCAGGTGTTGTGGACGACAAAAACGGATAAGCCCAACGCCAGGCGCTGCAGGGACCATTAGAGGATCGCTGCTAGAGTAGCCGTGGAATTCTTCATGCCAATCTGGGCGGGTGAGACGATAACGCACGTGATGAGGCAGTCGGCCATCGGACTTTCCACAGCCTCGAAAGCCTAACGTGTACGGCTATCAAAACCTGCCAACCGGATGAGGGTTGGCTTTCAGGAACGATTGGAAATGCGCGTCCAGATGACGGCCCGATGGTAGCCGGCAAGTCCCTAGCTATCTTCCCCAGCCGTGGCTTGGCTTCTCCTAATCTCTGGGCGCCGGTCTTCCCGAGGCAGGTGTTCCTTGGTACTCGAGTAGAGTAGGTACGTGTGACAGCGATAAGGTGAGCGAGGCCCGAGATTCAGAGGGCGTGGGTGAAGAATGCGCAGTTGACATCATGCAGCATATATCGGTAGAGTACCCATGTCATGTCACGGTAGATGGACCTGAGTGGTGGTTGAGCGGCAACTACACCAGCACCCCAGCTACCCCAGATGGCCTTATCTTTGGCGGCGCCCGGATGTGCGGGCACAGAGGCCCAGACTCGGCCCACTCCCCGAAGATGGTCTATCTTTTTCGCCTGCCTAGCATCCAACCGGCTAGTCTGCCCCTCTTCGTGGCGCCGCGCCCTCGCCTCCCCACATTTGGGTTCAGCTTTTGGCAGGTGCAATGCAGACAACCCGTGACCTGTGATAGGCAATTCGCTGCTAACGAATCTGGTGGCTCTGGGGTACGGACTTCTTCAGGTGGGTGAGATTTGGCGTCCTAGTCGCCCTTCCGGCATAAAAACCACCTTCGCCCCCCGCAGTCAAGTCCTGCAGGCTTCTTTCCATTGAGCTCTCGTCGCACTATCCACATCAGCCCCCGTTCTCTCATGAGCATGATGGGTTATCCCGACGCCGAAGATGTCTCCACTGCCGAGAAGGCCATGGGCTATCCTCCGTATGCCACTGGGGACCACAAGGAAAATGCCCTTGACAACGAGTCTTACGCCGAGGTCATTGAAGGCCAGGCCGAGACTACGCACAGAGTGAGTGATATACACAACCACCTCACCCACTGCCATCGAACAATCGCTGACACTTCACACAGGGTCTCAAGTCGCGTCATGCTCAAATGATTGCTTTGGGCGGCACTATCGGCACCGGTCTTTTTGTCGGAGCTGGTCAGACATTGGCAAGAGGCGGACCGGCATTCATCCTGGGCTGCTACATCTTCATCGCTTTCCTGATCTGGTGCGTCGTCACAGCCATCGTCGAGGTCGCCGCATACCTTCCCACGCCGGGCAGTTCCATGAACCTTTTCGCCGACCGCTACGTCTCCAAGTCTCTCGGTTTCGCGCTTGGATGGCTCTACTTCTACTCCCTGGGTATATTAGTTCCTTACGAGATTACTGCGGCTGGCTTGGTTATCGAGTACTGGCAGCCACCGGTCAACATCGCCGTATGGATCTCCATCATGTTGGTTGTCATTGTCGCCCTGAACGCACTCCCGGTCCAATTCTACGGAGAAGCCGAGTTCTGGTTCGCTTCTACCAAAGTCATCATGGTCCTTGGGCTGCTGATGGTCTCCGTCATTCTGTTCTTTGGCGGTGGCCCTTCGCATGACCGTCTTGGCTTCCGCTACTGGGAACACCCCGGCGCTGCAAAGGAGTACCTAGCAACCGGCGATCTTGGCCGCTTCCTCGCTCTGCTTTCTACGCTGGTTATGGCATCCTTCCCCTTCGCCTTCGCCCCGGAGATGCTCATTGTCACTGGTGGTGAGATGCAAAACCCGCGTCGTAACTTGCCTATTGCCGGCCGTCGCTACATCTGGCGTCTGCTCATTTTCTACGTCTGCTGCGTTCTGGCCATTGGCGTTATTGTCCCCAGTGACGACAAGCGCCTCACCAACGGTGGTGCAGGCGCAGGATCTTCCCCCTTCGTCCTTGGCATGAAGAACAACGGAATTCCCATCCTCGACTCGATCGTCAACGGCGGTATCATCATTTCTGCCTGGTCTTCTGGCAACTCGTTCCTCTACTTGTCCTCTCGGTCTCTGTACGCGCTCTCGCTCCAGGGCTCCGCGCCCTCCTTCTTCAAGGCCTGCACGAAGCACGGTGTGCCGTACCGTGCAGTTGCCGCCAGCAGTTTGTTCTGCTTCCTCGCGTACTTGAACGTCGGCAGCTCCGCTTCCGTCGTTTTCAACTGGTTCATCAACCTCACCAACACGTCCAGCTTCATCTCCTGGATTTCTTGCGGCTTCATCTACCTCCGCTTCCGCAAGAGTTGCCAGGTCCAGGGCGTGACCAACGCCGATCTCCCCTACCATGCCTGGATCCAGCCCTACGGTACGTACATCCAGATGGCGGGATTCACGTTCCTCCTCCTCATCAACGGCTTCTCAGTCTTTTGGCCGCAGAACTGGTCGGCCAGCAGCTTCCTGACGGCCTACGTGGGCCTGCCCATCTTCTTGTGCATCTACTTCGGCCACAGGCTCTACACTCTTAGGGACAGCTGGGTGCGGAAGCCCGAGGACGTGGACCTCTACACTGGCTTGGACCAGATTTTGGCCGAGGAGAAGCCGCCCAAGGTGCATCACAGCAAGTGGATGCGGGCGTTGACATGCCTTTGGGAGTAATGGGAGCCCAGAGGCATTTGTGTTTGAGCGTACGAGCGACTTGAGATTCCCCGCAACCTGTATATGATTAGATGAACAATGAACATATTCTCACGATTGAAGCATTGGCCAGAGCTCGAGCATCGCGGATGGTGATTGATTTCTCGTGCTCCACTGTTGCCATTCAACGGAAAGGGAAAAAGCTGTCGAAATCTGAAGACTATTGCTTCTCGTGAGTGAAGAGGAGAGCTAGTCTGGCTGCCCAAATACCCCTGAGTGTAAAGCGCGCTTTGAGTAACGGGTGAAGCGCCATTTGCAAGAGTATCAAATAGCGGATATCCAAGAGACGCCGTCTCGTTAGGCGCAGATCGTGCAACACGCTTTCTCCCCCCTCCTTTCGGGTACTTGGCGCAAACCTTCTTTCTCCGCTTAGCATATCGGTTTCCGCTTTAGTCATAGATACATAAGCCATCTCTTCCCTACAGCATTATGGCCCCTGCCGTCCCTAGCGCTTGCATGATCGTCCCACCAAGCGTGGCTTTCCTGACCTCTAATTAGTGCCTGCTAGCGGTCCTTGCGGAAGATTTTCTGGGGTGTGGGTCCCTGAAATGCGTATACCCGTCCCCGCTCAGTTCACTGTTTGAACGTGAAGAGGAGGGCGGGAAATAATGTTCATGATAAGGTGCATTTCAGTAAGGCGCTGGAGGTGCCGATGTGTGGGGATTATGAGGAGGGAGGGGGTGTGATTGGTAATTGTTGTTTGACATGGGCTTTGGGAGTGATGCATGCGGGCTTGCGTCTAACCCATTGACGAAGTAAAGATCGATATTAGAATAATTACCTACCGTAAGTACTTGTTCCTCCTCTCATCACTGCCCTCCCCAAGGCTCAACACGCAGCTCCCCGAAAATGGACCATTCACCACAGACATTAAATCCTAAGAGAGCTGGGATTCGCTCCACTGATGGTACTTTGACGACGCAGCAGCTTGAAGCCGCGTCTCACAATATCAAGCACCTTTGGGCTGGAAGTAGAGCTGGCGAGCATCACTGCGACAAGAAAGCGGCATACAGCACCACATCGCGAGTTTGACGAACAGCATCATCACGACACGGTGATGTGCTACATGTTCACGCACATCGACAAAGACAAACAACTTCCTTCAAGATAGAGTGCTAGTGCTTTGAACCCATGTGTAATGGATTCAGTAACGACCCTATCAAAGCTCGATCAACCATTCTTCGGAGTCCTCTCCAGCGGTTGGACCTTCCTCAATTGCCATGGGGTCTGTAGTAGGTTCATTGTTGGTGCCTTTTGTATCTACAACTGTGCTTGAACTATACACATCCGTGTATAGGCCGTTATTTTGATTGACGAAAGCCTAACTTAGACAACAGATCTCAGGATATATACAACACTGTAGTAGTGTTAACACTTCTCCAATTCGGTGCAGGCAGAATAATAGCTTAGGCTTTTAACGTTGTCTACACGGCGGTCTCAACAACTACAATATACCTCACAGCCATCATAACCCGCACACAAATCCACCCACCACCACCACCAACCCAACACGCACAACAAACCCCAGCACCCCAAGTCCCATTCCCACAACCAGTGTATATAAAAGAAGCAAGCAGCAGACACCTTCCAGCCCGCACACGACACACCGTCCTGCCCTACGGACTACGATGTTTTCAAACCAAAAGTAGCCGCCGGCTTCAATCGGGGTCCTCAACATCCCTCACACCCCAGCTAAACCACCTCACACCTCGGACGCAGGCGGAACACTACCAGACCAATCGATCCCAGACACGATAACCAGCACCACCACGCACCGCGCAGCACCTGTTATGTGACTTGTTTCTCGTTTGTGAGTGACTAGCTGTGTATGTGTGTGTGTGTGTGTGTGTGTGCCGCGGACGGCAGTCGACGAGGACCCAGGACCCCAGGACCTTAAATTCATTCTGTCTTGATCGTAGAACGAGGAACTGGTTGGCATTGTGAGCGTGCTGTGTGGTCGAAAGCCACGAGTGGCTTTTAAGGCGCTTGCCGGCACAGGGGAACTGTGTGTGGTCGATTTAGAATGAGGAGGGGGAAGGAGTAGAAGAGAGAGAGAGGGCGAGAAATGTCTCACCACAGGCACGCGCATACGCATTTACTTCCACCCACTCATTCCAAAGCACAAACACAGCACAGCATTTTGCATTCCCCGCCAAACAAACCACACCACTCCACCCATCCAACCCAGGTCCAGGTATCTAAGCCAGTCCACCTCTCCCGCTTACTCACAACCACAACTGCACAACCACACACTCCGCTCCCCCTCCTTACAGACTCACTCCTCATTCAGCACCACATCCCTCTTCTTCTTTTTCTTCTTCGGCTTACTGACCTCCTGCGCCGCCGCGTCGCCATTTCCCGCAGCAGCAGCATCCTGTCCCTGCCCCGCCGCCTTCTTAGCGCCGCTCTTCTTCGTCTTCTTCTTCTTCTTAACAGCCGCAGCCTCAGGCTCCGGCACAGGCACCGACCCAGACTGCGACTGCGCCTCACCCTCTGGCTCGGGCAAAGGCTCCTGCTCCTGCCCTTCCGGAAGCGGCGGCGCCGCCGCCACAGACTTCTTCGACTTCTTCCCCGCCGCCACAGCGCCCTTCCTCTTCTTCTTCCTCACGACCAACGTCCCCTCAGGCTCCTTAGCCTGGATCCTCTCATTCGCGCGCTGCATCTCCAGCCGCAACCTCTCCACCTCCTTCAACGCCTTGGCCATCTCCGCCTCCTCTGCCTCCCGCCTCTCAACATCCAACTTGCTGTTCCCGCCTTCCTCCAGACTCAGCGCTCCCAGCCCGCTCGAGTCAACCTCCAGCAAGCTTTTCTTGCCGCGCGCCTGCGCCGAGCGCACCAGATCCGGGCGCGCAGTCGAGGGCGACGGGCCCGACGCGCCAGGGTCGTCGGGGCCGAGCGTCTCGTCGACCAGGATCTCGACGTGCTTGCGGGGACGGCGCTTCGGTTTCGCCGACGACGACGACGACGATGCCTCGTGGCGGGGCCGCGAGTCGCCGCCCAGCTTCTCCTTGGTCTCGATGTCCAGGTCCATGATCGGGATCGAGTCGAGGTCGAGCGTCTCGCCGTTGCTGGTCTTGAGGATGTTGTGCAGCGGCGTGCTGGTGCCCGAGTCCTCGTCCGTCGCAATGTAGAACGGGTCGTCTTTGTTCTTGGCCCGGCGCTCGGCTTTGCGTCGTGCGAGTATGTCTGGGTCCAGGTACTTCTCTTCCGCGCTGGCCTGGTAGCCTGAAGATTCGGCGTGCGCGGCTTCAAGGCGGTCGGCTGCCGATATCGTTTCCGGCGGGACATAAGGCGCTGGGTGCTGGTTATAGAAGGCGTAGACGTCGTCTTCGTCAGCCGCCATGAACGAGTCGTACTCGGCTTTCCGAAGCAGAGATTGGAGGTCAGAGTTAATTGGTGTGTCGAGATCAAGCTCATCTGGTACTTGCACCTTGCGCTGAGCGCCCGGCGCAACAGGATTGAGCTCAAGACCCGTGAAGAGAGAAGGAATAGCTTGCGTCAAAAGCAGTGGCGGCTCGACAAAATCGCCGTCGTTCGTGCCTGCTTCATGGCCTGATGCTGCTTCGGAAGCTAGGCGCATGAGCTCTAGGTATTCAACTGCCCGCTCTTGAACTTCCAAGTTGGGATGCATTGCCATAGGTTCCAGGAAGTGGATGATCCGAGCCATTAGAAGAGTAATGGTTGTCCTTCGTTCCATGGTCCAAGAAATTTGTTCATTGCCTGCCATTGAAGCAAAGACCTTGGGTATGGCCTGGATGTAAATGGACAGAATATCAGCTGGGAGATGAGGCGTCGAAGAATGGGCTAGCGAATTCAAAACGCCCTCCGGGTTTGTCAAGAGGGACGCATATTCGCCAACTATCCAAGCGGCAGCATTCAGAACGCCCTGGCCACCCTTGCCGGATGCAGGGAACATTTGTTCTCGGCGATCCACGAGAATCAAAGACTGTGCAGCCTCGGTTGCTTCTGGCCGTACTGATCTGACCCTGACAGCAACATTTTGGAGCTCGTTTCCAATATCATACGAGATGTCGTTCTTGTCTCCCAAAGAGCCGCCGTCGGAAAGGCCCCCGTCCACCAATGCCGAGCTGGAACTCGGGGAGACGCGCACAAGCTGAACCAAGACGTCAATATACCAATCGAAGTCATTGATGTTTCCGTAAGTATCGCGGGAGCACATCTCGAGGATGCTTCGAATGAGCTTAATCCGGTAATCTTCAGGGAGCGGAGGTGCCTGATTTGACTTTTGCTCGTGACGGCGAAGAGATTCTTCCATGTCCTCGTCATCCGGATCCGCGCGAGGCACGACACCTTCGTGATATCCTCGGTCGTTCTCCGGGTCATCGGCAGCTGAAGCTATTGGGGCGTTGCGGAGCTGCCGCATAAGCCTTCCAACAATGAGAGTTAGGTTGTCGGGGTTAACCATGCCGACTACCAGGCCGAGAGCCTGGCTCCTTATCGAGATATCCGGATCGTCAATGCATTCTAGAATGACATCTTGATGTAACGAGACCAGGTGCGGATGTGATCTTACGATTTTATCGAATGCAAGCAAGGCCACAAATTTTACTATGCAATGTTAGTACTTACCCGGAACAAACGCAATATAGAAAAAACACCTACAATTCGGATCTCCCTCAACCACGAGCATTCCGCGTAGTTTACCCACGCAAAGGCGTGCAATATCCTCTCCCTCGGTGGTGCCTGAGACGCCATCGAGAATACCTCCTTGGACAATACCATTGATGCATTCATACAACAAAGACATAGCGGGCGTGGTCTTGATGATAGTAGTAAGCGGAGGCAAGAGCTTCTTAATCAGGCGTGGTTCAAGCGGCGTCAAGGTTGCAAACTGCACACAAGTCAGCGTTGCATATCAATCTCCCAAACGGGATACACACAAGCTTGATGATTTTAATAGCCATCCAATTGTTGCCGCCCTGGACAAGCAGGTCGAACAATCTGGGTGCCAAAGGCAAAAAGTCCTGCGGTCTGCGCCAACCGAGCTCGCATACAACGTTGACAATGGCAGCGGTCACGCTGGGGTCCTCGTCCTCGTCGAGCAGCCTCTCCTTGATACGGGGCCAAGCTGGGCGCAACGTCTCCGGGTAGACGAGGGCAAGGCGGTACAGAGTCACAATGGTCTTCTTGCGAATGGCGGAATGGGAATGGGTAAGGCGCGGGATGAGGTCGGAGAGCAGAGAATTGGCCATGGACGGGTTAATGACGTGCGGGATGGCGACGACGGGCAGGGCTATGGTGGTGGGCGTGGGCGAAGTCAAGTCCTGTTGGCACACATGAACAGGCGTCCCCAGAAGGCGCGAATGGGCGGGAATACCTTCTTGAGCAGGTTCTCGGCCAGCATCAAAACCTCGGTGTCGGGCCGGAAGCTCTGCACGGCGGCCAGGTAGCCAACCTTTTTCTGGGCGTACTTTTGCGACGACATGACCTCGAGCACATTGAATGAGGCCCAGGACATGTCGTGGCCGAACATCTCGAGGTAGGTGAGCTTCAGCAGCGCCGTGGCCTTGAGGTCCATGTCCTGGCCCTTGATTTCCTTGCGGCATTCCCGCAGGCTCTCCTGGATGTATTCCCTCTCATTTCCCTTGTGGTTGCGCAGGCCTCGAATGAGGTCGTACAGCGACTTCTCGAACATGACGGCGGCGGCGGCGGTGGTGTTGTTCTATCGCGGTGATGGTGGGGCGGGTGGTCGGAGGCGGCGATGGCCGAACGGCAACATTATGCGCGCAGCGCAGACATGGAGACTAGAATATAGAGGGCAGAGAGGTTATGGTTGCGGTTTTGTCCGGGAGAGAGAGTCCACGCGCGCGATCGTTTGTCCCCCGCGGCCAACCAGTAGTGATGTCGGCGGTGCATGGGCCGCGTCTGGCATGCGAGAGACACCGAGACCATCTATCCCCACCCACTATTGCACCACCCATCACTCCCACACACACACATACACCATGTCCACCGAGATTGTCTACCCCCCGCCGAATCTGCCGGCCACGCGCGCCGTCCAACTCTCCCAGCAAGCCCCGCGCCTCCTCCATTCCTCGCCCAACAAGAGTGCGCTGCCCTGGCCGCTCTCCATCCTCACCTCCACCGAGACCCAAGAGACGTGGGCTACGCACGAGAATTTGCTGGTGCTGTGCATCCGGACAGGAGATGACCGTTCCGCGCGCCAATGCCTCGAACGCCTGACGGAGCGCTTCGGAGAGACCAACCAACGCGTGCAGGCCCTCAAGTTCCTGTATGAGAGCGCCGTCGCCGAGGACGACAAGGCGCTCGAGGGGGTGTTGAAGGAGCTGGAGACGGCACTCAAGGCCGACGACACAAGCCTGGTAAGCACGACGACGATGACAAGAGAGCCACTGCTGACACGCACCCACGCAGCCGCTGCGCAAGCGCAAAGTCGCCATTCTGCGGTCTATGGGCCGGACGCCGGACGCCATCGCCGCCCTCGTCGAGCTGCTCGACTTCTCCCCCACGGACGCCGAGTCCTGGGCCGAGCTGTCGGACCTGTACCTGTCGCAGAACATGCACGCGCAAGCCATATTCAGCCTGGAGGAGCTGCTGCTGATCACGCCGTTTGCGTGGAACGTCCACGCGCGCATGGGCGAGCTGCTCTACCTATCGACGCTCGCGGGCAACGCGTCCGAGGGCAACGCCCTGCGCGGCCTCTCCGAGTCGATGCGCCGTTTCTGCCGCAGCATCGAGCTGTGCGATAATTACTTGCGCGGGTACTACGGCCTGAAGCTGGTACGCTCGCCCTTCTCACCCCAGTTGTTGCCAAGCTAACTAACCACCCCGTTGTCCAGACTACGAAGAAACTCCTCGATACCCTCCCCACCAGCAAACCCAACAAGCAGCCCGCCTCCGCATCCGCAGACCCCCAGTTCGGCGACCTCGCGCCCCCTCCCCTCGCAACCGTGCAGAAGCTGCACGAGCTCGCGACCGCCAAGTTGGCCGAAATCACGCGGCGCGGCGCCGCCGGCGAGCCGGGCTGGGACTTCGACGAGGGCGAGCTGATTGCGGCGCGGGAGCTGCTGGATCGGGACGTTGACAAGGCGCCGAAATGAGCGGGTGGGGACGTTTGGTGCGGAAGTTGTGGTGCGAGTGAATAATACGTTGGCAACGTACACTATGGGGATGTGTGTGTGTATCAAAACGACATTGTTGTGAGTGAGCGGGTCGACGATGACGACACGGTGGGTATAGGGCGCTGAAGTAAAGACGTTAAAGACGACAGATACCCGCGCGCCTCCCCCTTCTCAGCGGAAGACGGAGGCGCGATGAATTGCAGCTTTGAAGCCACGAGGGTGTCTGTTGCTGCGACATACGTAGACGAGCCGGAGCTGACTGCACTGTGCTGTACACAGACAGTTCTGTGCATGTATGAATACCTACGATTCTTGCATACGTGCTTATACATACCGTGTTTAGGCTGTCCTCATTACTGGCTGCGCGTGTATAGTCACTCATTTGTTAGTTAATCTTTCTATACACAACCCACTCTCAACTTGACAGGAAAGGCCTATATGAACCGTAAGCCAGCCTATCTGCCAACGTTAACACTGCCTGCAAACCACAACTGCTACAACAGAGCACGGTACTACTATGTACCAGATGACGAAAGGGGACTGTGAACTAGTTGACCTTTGATGGGGTTCCGGGTCGTAACTTTTTCCACGCTGGATTCTTCCGTAGTCGTCCCTGCCACGGCATTTAGCCTTGGTCTTGACGGACGTTGCGGGCCTGTCGCCCGTGTCGGAGAGAAGAAGTCCCCAGGATTACGTCTACGTGGGTCCCAACCCGGCAAGACGCCCATGGGATTGCGCATGGCGTGAGAACATCCGTATGAACATGGGTCCTGTAAGAGAATGGCTGCTCCTTATGATGAGCACCATCGTGGGGTTGAGGAAGTCGTGATTGTTGTTGTGTGTTGGTGGTGATGGATGGCGGAGAGGGGTGCTGAGGAGGTAGGTGTGCTGAGTCTAGTTTTTTGCGGGGTAGATGTTATTGCTTTGTTGGCTGCTTGGATAAAGACCGTCCAGTCTCTACGTCGTATGGAACTTGTATTTCTGGCTTCACAGGGTCGATAAACTCCGAATGCTTTCACAGGCATGGCGTGTGTGGCGAGGCATCTGTAGATGCTTGAAGGCTCGCTTTATAGCCGGGGCTTGGATGGGTCTTTTGGCAAGCAAGCAGTTGGGCGCTGGTTTTGGCTCTGTGCTGGGGTGTTTTGTCATGTTGTTTGTTTGGAGCTTTGAGTAAGTTTGATGTGGCTTGCCACGCCTTGGTTTATCATGAAGTAGCCGTGTTGGCTAGCACTGAGCTGCAACTATCCTATATCTGCGTAGCGACACAAAAGCAGACATCTAGAACCGCTGGGAACAACATCTGACTTAGCCTTCGGACCCAAACTCGCCACTTTCCTGCAATACAAAGACCCATACCTTGTAAGACCATCATCGTAAACAGCATCTCGAAAGACAAACAACAGCAAAGCAACACCAAGCTTCTTCCTCACAGGCCCAGACAAGCCGAGCACAACAATGAAGGGAAAGAGCAATTGGAAGTGTTCGCGTCAGCCCGCGACAGTGCAATACGAGCGACACCGTGGCAACGACACACAGAGCAAAAAGCCCTGCAGCCGCCGCGCTCGGTCCAAAAACTAGTTAATCACGAAATGCACCTCCGTAGAGGGCTTTTAGCGATCAGACTAAAAAGAACAGATACTGCATTTAGATCTAAGCCAAAAGGCAAAGAGAACTGGAGAAGAAAGTCAGAGGGAGGGAGGGGGGAGGGGGGGTTTATATACACTGGGGGTAGGGTCCGTGCGTGCGCGGTGAGGTCATGGGAGGGGTGTAAGAGAGGGGTGTGGAAGGGCGTGGAAGGTTGTGGAAGGTTCTAGAGGGGAGAAATGTTGTGTTGAGAGTGTGGTGCGCTGACTTTGGTCAGAGGAGCGTTGTGTGTTGTGTACAAGATCAGTGAGCCCCCAACAACAAGAAGGGGGATGGTCGTTGAAACATCCCTTGCCAGTGTTCAGTGGCTATGTATAATGGCCTAGGAGCATAGGATATGTAAGGCGCCGTAAGTCCTATGTTCTTGTCTACACTGATATCTAGACGGCGCGCCTCCGCGGGTCTGTAGTTAACAGTGAAGACAAACATCGCCATTATTAGGAATAGAAAAAGATGGCCATTAGGTCAATAACGTCCGTCACCGTCAAGCGAGTTTCACTGTCCAGCGAGACAAGGAATAATACAAGCAGTCCCCACGGAACACTCCTTGTCTAGGTACAAGCCCGAGACCCAGATACGAATGAAAAGGTCCTAGGAGCACACACATGCTCTAAATATTTCAACTGGGGTTTATTTCTACTCCGTATAAGCGTCATTGTCACGTTGGGTGCTGAATCTCCGCTTGATGAGGACGGTTGTTAGAGTAGAAGTTCCTCTAGAAGACGCTTTATTAAACGCTTCTACCAGTCCTTTGACACCAAACTATCACTGTCCTGCCACACCCAAGCAAGCTCTCTAATTCCAGAGCAAAAGCCTCATGATACCAGACAAAAAAGAGCATAAACCTATCACACACCACCCACAAGCCCGCAAAAGCAAATCCACAAACCCCCATCATTCAGCGACAGCAAACACACAGAACAAGCCCTTTAGGTCGCTGTATGACGAGACCTTTCCGTAGGAAGGCCTACCGAAACAAACGCAAAAAGGAAAGACACTAAAAGCACCTAGAATACCCAAGCACGGTATTACCAAGGACATACAACCACTAAAACAACACCTCTTGCACCCTACTCGCATCCGCACAGCGTCCGGACCGGACCTCCAGTACCAGTTTACTTGGTTGTGTTCCCAGACGGGCAACGGGCCCTAGACCGCATGTAGGGCCACAGAGCGCAAAGCGCAAGACACAATAGTGCTCGAGCCTCGGCGTGTCCTGAAGAGACCCGCAGCCGTGGCTTTCAAGGATGACGGCTTCGAGCCTGACATCACCGAAGAGCTACCAGAAAATAAGCCTTTGTGTGGCGGACTTCTGTGTAGGGCCCAACCGCAGTCCACAAACGCCTAACCATCTCCATCGATGCGTCAAGGAGATGGCCCGCACCAACGAGCAAAGAAGATGAGCAGCACCGCTTCCGGGCATATCCACCCCTCCTCCGCACCAGCGCCTTAGAGACTCGACAGACGAGTGCTCCTGCAGTATAGCTTGAGCAACAGTTCCCGTTGGCGGACAGTGAAAAAGCTAGTATGGCTGAGCTCAGCCCGGGCAGCAACGTCGTCGCTGTTGGCAACTGTTGTCGTGTGCGATGGTGGCTTGAGAAGCCAAGGAACCTTAGGCATCGTAGACAGCCGTCAGACGGTAGCCAGTGCAGCGCAGTCCATCCCACTCGCACCTTTGACGACGGGACTAGTATCTCCTCTTTCCCTTTTCTTCAGTTGGAGCCTTCTCCGCGGCTCCGGAGTAGCCGTATTCCAAGCAGGCCCAGGTTGTCTGCGTGTATTGAGCCAGTGAGCAGATAGGTAGGCAGCCACTCAACAGCAGTCGTAACAGCAGCGGCAGCAAACCACACCTCACTCCCCCTCCCCCTCCCCCTCAACCTCAACACCAAACCCAACCCTAACCCACAAACTACACCCCCCACAGCCAACCAACACCTCTCCCACGCCCGCATCCCCATCAAGGACGCCCTCCTCGAGCTCCCCCTCGCCAACCACAAACCCGCGCTCCTCGCCGCACCGACACCCGCGCCACCACACGCCCTTCCCCTCATCGAACGCCATATCGTCGAGGTCGACGAGCTCGAGGCCCAGGCGCGCGTGGTCAGCCTCGCCTGCTGCTGCGCCGTTGTTGTTGTTGTTGTTGTTGTTGTTGTTGTTTGTTGTTGCGCTGCACCGCAGACGCAGTGCGCGATCGTGCTCGGCGCGGAGCGAGGGCGTCGAGAGCGTACGGTACGCGAGTGTTATGTCGTCGATTGTGGCGAGTTCGCGAGCATCTGTAGGGGTGAGACCGTGAGCCTTATCAGGATGGCACGCCAGCAGCGCGCGGCGGTACGCGGCTTTGAGGGCTTGGGCGTCGGGCGGGGGCGCGGGGTGCGGCGCTAGGCCTAGGGTGCGGTAGGCGTTGAAGGAGGGGGGGAGGGGTGCTGGAGCTGTTGCTGTTGGCATGGTTTGTTTGGGTTTGCGGTGGGATTGCGTCTTTTGCGGCGGGTGTGTGCGATTCTGCCTGGCGTGGGTCTGGATTGTACAAAGTGTGTGGGATTTATTGACGGTGAGGTTGGTTATGTGGATCGTGATGGCCCGGTGGGTGTGCTGAGCTTGGTGCGAGTGGTCAGCGTGTGTATGTATGGATGAAGGCTTGTGGAGCTGGTGGTAGGAAATATTTCCTGCGGCGACGGACGGAGGTGCTCGGACATGCATCCACACAGCGCCGATCAAATCACCACCACACACAACCATATCAAGCACCAACACAGCAACACCAACCCCCGTTCATTCCCCACACCAAAACCTCTCTCTCTCTGTCTCTCTCTCTCTAACACCATACCAGTAACAGTAGTAGTAGCAGTAGCAGTAGCACGACAAGGGTATCCCATCTACCTAACAATGCACACCTCTCTCCTCATGCCCAATTCACAATCCCACCATCCACAATACCAAACCCACAATCAAGCCCCCGGCTTCAAAACCTCCCAATCCCGCAACCCCTCCATCTCGCCCCCAGCATCGTCGTCCAACAACCCGCCCGCAGGCGCGCTGTCCGTCCGTCTCGGCGGCAACACCGGCGGCACGGCCTGCTGCTTCTTCACTCCACCAGCAGAAGCAGGCGTACCAGCACCAGCACCCGCACCAGCACCCGCACCAGCACCGCCAGCCCTCCTCGGCGGCGGCAGCTCCGGCGCTCCCGCCGTTTTATGCTGCTGAGGCGCCTGCAGCGGGCTCAAAGGCCTCGGCAGCGCATCCCCCGCCGCCGAGCCCAACGCAACCGGCTTCTTCGGGACGACGGGCGGCGCCGGCTTCCGCGGGATGCTGAACCCAGAGGAAGAGCCGGACGAAGCCGAGGCGCGCGACGACGAGCGGCCCAGCCCCTGCCCCTGCCCAGTCCCAGTCGCCGTCCCCATCAGCAGCGGCGGCGTATGCGACGGCGAAAACGATATCGACTGTGGGCGCGGCGCGTGCAGAGCCGCGGCCTCGGGCGTCGCCGTGCCGCTGCTCGCCCCGCTCCCGCCCGCTGTGCTAGTGCTGTTGCCCATACCGTCGACGAGCGCCGTAGCCGCGCGGCGGGGCGGGAGTTTCGGCGCCGGAGAGCGGGTGGGCTCGAGCGGGGGAGGCAGCTTGCGGTGCGGGAGGCTGCGCGACGAGGCCGTGCTTGCGGCGCGGCCTAGCGAGGTGCTGCTGTTGTTGTTGCTGTTGCTGTTGCTCTGCGACCTGACGTTGACCCAGTCGGGCTCGTCCGACGGCGTCCACGGGTTGCTGGGCCGCGCTGGGTTGGGCGCAAAGCCCTCGCCCGGCGGCTGCACTGTCGACCGTGCCGGCAGCCCGTTGTCCAGCCACCATTTGCGTCGGTCTGAGCTCGCGGGCGGCAGGCTGGGCTCGATGGGCTCGTAGCCGAGGAGGTCTTCCTCGTCGGATTCCTCGCCGAGGCCGGTCGCTGTGCTGTCGCCTACGATAACTTTGCGCTTCTGGTAGATCTCCTTGGCGAGGCTGTCCTTCTTGCGCTCGTCGATGACGCTGATCATGCACAAGAAGGTGGCGTACACAGGACGGTGGTCCGAGAAGCGGAGCGGAGCCGTATCGTAGCTCGTTTGTCGGAGGTTATCGCCTTTCCGCAGAATACGATCGCACCAGGCTGGGATGCGGGCCTTTTCGGACGTGTCGTACGTGTCGGTGCCGTTGTCGTACTTGTAGGTAGGTGCAAAGGTGATGCGAGCTTCAGAGTAGAAGGGGAATGTCAAGCCAGCAACCATTTGTAGGTTGAGCTGTTGTGGCATGATTAGCTGCTTTCCTTCGAACCTGTCGGGGAAGACATACCTGGTCATTCTCGTAGAGAGTCTCGAGCTCGCCCACTTCCACCAATTTCCTAACCTTCTCATTACTGAGACCGATGCGGTAATTGAAGTCGCCAAGCCAGATAACGGTGTCGTGATCCTGGATCGAGCGGTTTCTCTGGAACCGCAGCCCATGACTAATTGTCTTATAATCACGATTCCGCTCCTCGTAGTTCGCAAATCCGGCCGCCAAATGTGCCGTCACGAAGCAGAGGCTCGTGTTGGCAAATTCCATTCGAATGGCAACAGCACCCTTGTTGCCTGCCATGCCAGACATACCAGTCTGTGTTTAGGTTAAAGACCTGCGACACTCTTCAAAAGATGGTTCACCTACTTTCTTGAGAGCGCCCTCGACATTCTTGATGTACTTGAGGATACTCGCCTTGACAAAAACTGATAGGGAAGCACCGACAAGCTGTCCACCACGGAGCGACACGTACTCTTCCTTACCATGCTTTTGAGCGTGGTCGTTCAATGTGCGCTTCACCGCGGCCTCCCATTGTTGCCGCCGAGCGGGGTCCGTGGACATTATCTGCTGCGGGCTGAGCTCGACAATCTCCTGGAAGCCCACGGCAACAATCTCTGGGAACTGCTCCGACCCATCACCCATGCGCGGACATAACCACGGCGACAGGTCCGATGTGATTCCCTCGGTCCTGCCGTTGAGGTTAAATGTCCCAACTAGGATATTGATGGGCATTTCTGACGAATACTCGTGGGATCTGCTCAACATTAGACTTGCCCACCACATATATATGTCCGCATAGACTCACTTTCTATTAAGTTCATTTGTCACATAATCGTTGATCGGGTCGAATAAGTGTACGGGCGTCTGCCCCATCAACCGTCCCTACACGCTAATCAGCTTCTCCGAAATCTTTACTTTGGGAGATAAGTGACTTACCAGTAACATATCTATCGTGTTTTGACGGCCCTTGTCCGCAAAGTTGTTGATGTACATGCGCGTCGCGCTCTTCCTAGCATCTGCCAATGCGCCAGCCAAAGACATCTTTCCATGTCTCGTGAAGGACGACTTGAGCGCCCCCGTGCCGGCATAGATGCGGGACAGAGCGTCTCCATTATCAGCCCACAGCATGTTGTGTCTGTTCCAGAAGTCTCCGGCCCCACGCTCGCTTCTTGCGGCCAAGAACGACTCCATCGCCATCTTGCTGATGATCGTCTGTACAAGGTTCGTGCGGTCGAGACAGTCCAAGCAGTTCGTGCGGAAAACTCCTTCCTGCTGCAGAATCGTCGTCGGCCTGCGAACTACCTGATCCTCGCCCAGTTCAGTTTTGGGATGTTCTTCTGTCTCTTCCGCCAGCCAGTACGCAAACCCTTCGGCGGAGTCACGGATATACCGTGCGATCATGCTTGCTGCCTCATACCCGCCAGGACCTCTTGTCTCAGCATGAAAGTCGTATTCCGTCAACGTCAGCAGCTCATGTTCCCTTCCAGCGAGTTTTTCAGGATTGTCGTTCAGCGCGCTGTGGTTGATATGATAGCGGTAACGGTCGCTAATGTCAATTTCGGCGGGCTTCTCGGCGCTCAGGAGGTTTACGACGTGAACAGCACCATAGGCAAGTTCCAGATTTTCAAAGTGCTTATCGAAAGCGGGTTGCGTTGCTTCTGGGGATCGCGTGACGGTAATCTTCTGCTGTCCAGGCAACAGACCGGTTGCTTGCTCCCAGAATAATGGTACACTGCCGCGGACCTGAGAGTAAGAAAAGCATATGCTTGATGGGCTCCAGAAAATCGTTTCGGTCTCCACGAAGTTGGCGACGTTTCCATCATCATCTATGCCTCGTGAATTAAACCGTGTTCCAGCTCTCCTGCATGATAGCCTTGATATCAAGGTCAGCAAGGAAGGGTACCCAGTCCGGGATGTCCGGGCAGGGGAGGAAGATGGAGGGACGGTAACAGTAAGGGCAAAGCCTCGGATGGCCGAAGTCAGGATGCGCGACTGGTCCAGAGCGTGCTTCTCGCTCTGAGAGAGCCGTGACCGGAAATTCACCAACGGTTGGATCATGTAAGAATTCCAGAGGAAACCGTCATCCAGACTGTCCAGAGCCACAGTCGAACCGCCATACGTCCTGTCCTGCAGACGTCGCGTGAGGTCGAACTCCGCGCTGTAGTAGAATGTCCCGCTGCTGAGCAACTTTTTCAACGCCAGGCACGGGTGCTCGACGACGTGCTCTCGCCTCCCGTGCTGAAAGCCTGTCTCGAAACCATCCTCATCCACAGTGTCCGTCGGGTAGGGGTTGATCTCGTCGTAAAGCAGGTGGTCGTAATCCGATCTGTTCAGGCAGTCTGTCACACCATCAGCTCAGCTCCAAAAAGCGCGCCAGGGCCGCAATCCCCGCTCTGTAGGGACGTACGAAAGTCCACTGCTAGAATCCGTTGTATCGTCTCTCCGGGCCGGACCGTCGCCACTTTGGTCGCTCCGCTGACGACGCACAGGAAGACATCGTTGTTGACGGTGATCAGCCCGAGGGTTCCGTGTACGCCGAGGGCGCTGAAGGTCCTATAGTCGCGCAGATCGGTTTGTTGGATCTCGGAGAACTCGACCATGCAACGCGGGGGCGCCGAGGCGCTGGCGTAGCTCGATATCGAACTCTGCGACACATTGTAGCCGCCGTACATGCCATTGCCGCCATGGCGCTCGGACGAGTTTGGGCTGTGGCGGAAGACGAGGACATGGGTGTCGGTAGCGAGGGCGATGCTCCGGTGGGGCTGCTCTCGTATGAGGACGCGGATGTTGTTCGCGGCCATTGTGGTGTTGGTGGTGGGGGTAAGGCGAACTCCTTAAGGCGGCGGCGGAGGTCGTCGGAGGAGAGGGAGAGGGGAGCGCTGACGAAGTGGCGTGCGCATTCCCGTTGACATTCGGCAGGTTGTCAAGTGCAAAGAGTCCAGGCCTTGGGGGGAAGGAGAGGTTTTTGAGAGCTTGCGGCTCGGGGCGATCAAGGTCTCAGCTAGTGAGCTGTTCCGCCATGGTTTCGGGTAACCTTGGATCACCGTCGTCATTGGACCCTGGCGCATCCAAGCCGCAACCGAATCATTGCACGTATCTCTATATACGAAGTAGAAGGAATCAAGGCTCTCTCCCTCTCTACCGCTCCGGAATTACAACATTTGTAAATGTCAACATCCCCTTCCCTTCCCTCCACTCCCCGGTCATAAATCCCGCACTGGCTACCTATAATAGTCCCTATCCCCTCCTCTCCTGGAATTGTGCACTTCGATCCGCGTGCTCCGGTAGCTGGCCCGGGGGTCGTCCGCTCGGTAGTCGCGCGACCTGCTCCTGTCCCTACCGCCAGCCCAACGTGGCTCGCGCCTCTCCTCCGGCGGCTCAATGTAGCGGAACGTCTCGTACTCCGGCCCTCTGCTGCGGCGATAGTCTGTGTAGCTGCTGCGCGCCGGCGAGTGCTCGTACTCGCGCCGCTCGCGCCGAACCTCGCGCTCGCGCAGAACGTACTCGTTGCCGCGGTCCGACGAACTGTAGCTGCTGCGCGGGCTGACCTCGACGTAGTGCGCTGACGGCGGCGGGCTGGGGACGCGAGGCGCGGTGGGCGGAGGCGGCGGCGGCGGCGGCGGCACTGGCACTGGCACGGAATGCGGTGGAGGCTGCACAAAGACAGGCACGGGCTGCGGCGGCGGGACTTGCAGGGCGGGCGGGTTGGAGACTCTGGCGAAGTGTTGCGACGAGTGGTGGTGGTGCGATACGACCGACGGAGGGCGCCGCCGCTCTTCTTCGATGTAGGTGCGCGAGACGCGGGTCGAGCGTCTCCGCGGCGGCTCCCGGTGAACGCGGTAGGGCACCGCAATGTCGGGCTCCTCGTGCACTTTGACAAGGCACATTGTTGTGTATGGCCCAGCGAGGCAAGGGACGTGTTGATCAGGGCTGGAGAGTCGGAGAATATGACGGTGGACAAAAACGACTGTCAGCGGCGGCACAAGACCATGTTATCTGCGGAGCGGTGGCTGGAGGGCTGGAAGCCCGCATACACCGAAGCCAGCTTTCCTGCCTGCGGCTGCTTTAGCCAAACCCCTGCACCCCTGCTTCCCGCGCACTAGACGGCGGATGAGACTTGCGTGGCTTCTTCTCAAATGCCGATAGAGACATCGGCATGCCAGCTCATTCATGCAGCCAGCCAAGTATGCGCTGGGGGCCAGAAGTTTCCGCGGTCATGGGGCGAAGATCCAGTAGGAACACGGCCGTATATAGAGCATATGTATCAATAAGGGTCCGACAAATCGCTTGTCTCATGCCTTCCACATGTCGCCAAGTCCGTCTCTTCCGCGGCGGACCAGGTGCTACGAAAACAATAAACACGCTATCTAGCTCTATTAGATCTTGCCTGCGTGCGTGCAGGCTCTAAACGTCTAGAAATAGACACCTAACTCCGTCTATCTTGCTCGTCCCGGCACTGCGGCTCTGTGACAGCGCGAAGACCCGCATTCCCGTCAGCCTGCAACGGTCTTTCACCTGCCGTTCTGAATCTCGAGCTGCGCCATGGGTATCCAAAAAGTATGTACTCGTAAGAGCAAAGAACCTCCTGCCATCTGCTTCGAATGCCCCGCATTCTTGGCTCCTTAAGCCACCTTCTCCACCTTCAAATCGAAAGGCTGGCCGTTCTCCAGTGCGAAGAACTCGCCAGCCTCGATCCTCTTCTTCCACTTCGCGGACTCGTACCTCGCAGTGATGATGGTCATCCTCAGAGCTGGCTCAGCACCGGCGGCTTGCGGCGTCGAGACACCAGAGTCCGTGGCAGCAGGGGTCGCGCTTCCAGACGACAGCGGAGTTGCCTGTGCCGAACTTCCCTCAACAGATGTGAAGGTCCACCGGCCGAAGGCCCAGTTGAGAATGTACTTGCTGGTGGCCTGAGGGGCAGTCGCCGGGTCGGTGGTCGGAGCACCGCCGGAGGACTTGGGATGAGACGAAGCGTACAGAACGGACTTGATGCGGTAAATCTCATCCTTGGAAGAGTCCTTCAGGAGGCCTTCCAACTTTTCCAAATCAAGTCCTTGGGGCGGAGCTGAGGATGCTGTCACGGTGATAGACAGAACCTCCACCTCGCTTGAGTGGTCATGGTTGTGCTCATGCTCATGCTTGTGCTTGTGCTCTCCAGTGGCGCCCTCTGTCTTGGCCAACTTCGCATCGAGTCCGAATACAATATCCTTATCGACTTTGCCCTTGATGCTCTTAACAATCGGCGTTGGGACTTCGAGTTCCAGATCCCGGATCTTGTCCTCAACATCCTCAACTCTCCGCTCACTGACCAACTCCCACTTGTTCAGGACAATCAGGTCCGTGTATTGTGCCTGCACCTTTGCGCTGTAACTCGTGTCTTCGTACCCCTGCCAGTTCTCTACATCCACGACGCTCATCACGCCATCGAGCACAAAGTTGCCCGTCTCTCTGGCGAGGCGGTTGACCTCCATAGCCAGCGTGGCGGGGAAGGCGCTGCCACTGGTCTCGATGACGATGCGGTCGGGGGAGGCTTCGGTGCGCAGAGCCGTGAGCGCATCGCCGAGTTGGCCGGTCAGGTTACAGCAGATGCAGCCGTTGAGCAGTTCCTGCACACCGGAAATGGCCGCCGAGGACGCCAGCTGCGAGTCGACAGCGAGGTCACCGAATTCATTCTTGAGGAGGGCGAGCTTGTAATCGGCGGGCAGTTGAGGAATGAGGTTAAGGATGAGGGTGGTTTTGCCGGAACCCAGGAAGCCGGTTATGATGGTGATGGGGATGGGCGACATGGTGGGCGCGTAGGTAGTCGAATCCGGCAATCAGAAGAAAGAAACAAGGAGAGAGAATAGGTGAAAGGGGCGAAGATAAAGAAGAAAAGAGACGTGAACTTTTTCTCACGCGCGCTGGTTCGACGGCGGAGCGGCGTTGGCGAGGTCTCGCCGCTCTCACGCGTGCATGGCGGATCGGCAGCGGGGCCAGTGAGCGGGCAGGGTCCAAGCGATCGGGGCAGGGCTGATGTCATCGCTCGCGCTGGGCGGGCTGTCAACGCCGAATGGCATCCCCATCATCCATGTCCCAGCGTTGAAACCAGGACTTTTTTGCGCTTGTGTCCATGTCGCCGATGTGCTGATGTGCCTGGCACCAGCTGCAGATCTAGATCGCAGATCAACGAACGACGGGCGAGCTTCCACTGACATCGAACCTGCTTGGCGAGTCTAGGCAACCAGGCAGTTGCTGGCAAGTGCGACATAGTGACCGTTTCAGCAGGCAGTCCAGTCTCACGGCGCTCCAAAATCTTGAATTGCCCGCTTGAGAAACGTCATTGGAGGGGTAGTCGCACCTTCAGTGCTATTTAAAGCCCCTCGTCCCAGCTACCTAACCTCGACCTACCCCACACTTCATCACCAAACCACCTACAACACCGACCTTTCATCCTCAAAAACAACACTTCACCATGGATTTCGTCAACAAGTTCACTGGCGGCGGCAGCAGCAACGAGGCTCAGAACACCACCTCCCAATCCACATCCGCACAAGGCGAGCAGAAGTCCGGCGGCTTCCTTGGCGGTCTGAGCAACAAGATGAACAGCGCGGCCGGCGGCGGCAGGGAGAGCGAGAAGAACGAGGATCTGCTCGACAAGGGTATGCACCACTCTATTGGTCCAACAAGCAATCACCAGCTCTGGACGATCATGCTTTCACTCAACCTCTGAACACCTACTGATTCGGTCTGAATATGCAGGCGTCGACATGTTCCAGGAGAAGGTTCTTGGACAAGGTCCCCAAGACAACGAGTCTGCCATGGAGCAGGCCAAGGACGAACAGATCTCCGACTTCATCCGCTCCAAGTACAAGTCGACCACGGGCTCTGATTTCCCCATCAAGGACAAGGACACTAAGTGGGACAAGGCCGACTAAGCGCGCCATAACGGGCAAGTTTATGTTTACGAGTTATGATTTCCCCTTAGCCGTGCTCTGCGAGCATCATGAACATTAAGCGGCTCCATAGAGTTCAATGAGAACTTACAAAGTATTTTCTGTTGTGAACGTGGCTTGTGCATGGCGACTGTGTGTCCCTACGTTATCTGCGTATCTCTGATGCTACTTGTCCACCTACAACGGACAGCGTGGTAAACACTATTGATTCACATACCCTCATGTGGCGTGCGCAAGCTCTAAATCCATCTAAGTAGCAACCTACGGAGAGCGATGTTATCTACTTATATGAGCATATATAAGCATGGTTGCAGTTCAATATCTAAAATTGGAGCGATTTGACAAATTTTCGCTTCTGCGGAGTACCGGCTCTGAGGATGTTGGGACTCAGGTTGACCTGCGTGCCTGCCAAAACCGTTCAGCCCTATCCGCTTTGACCACTGGAAACTGGTCGCTTCCTCCGACACCGCCCTCCCTCCACAAACTCACGACGCGTCTCCAGATATTCGTCTCTGTCTCGTTGATCTGGGCAAAGCACGCTCATAGCACGTCTGCCTGCGCTCATCTGGCTAACCTTCAATCTCATTAACCAGCATGGCGTCTGCAAGAAGTCGCCCTACGACTTCCTTCACTTCAGCCTCCACCTCTTATCCATCTTACACTTATCAGTATGAAACGACAACGACATCCCGCCCGCGAACCGGACGTAGAAGCAACAGAAGGCCTGGCACGGCTCGCCCAACAACTTCAGCTTCCACAATCGGCAGGATTGAATCTCAGCAGGTTATCTGCGCCGTGAGCGAGTCTCGCGGAATTTCGCCAACTGTTGGCTTAGCGTTTCTAAACCTCGATACAGCGGAAGCCGTTCTCTGCCAGATCTGTGACAGCCAAACTTACGTTCGCACTATCCACAAGCTTCAAGTCTACAGTCCTTCCGAGATCCTTATCTTCTCAACAGCCTCTAATCCCAAGTCAAAACTTTTCTCCATCATTGAGGAAAATCTCGAGGATATTGACAGTACAATGACCCTTGTTGACCGCCGGTACTGGGCTGAGACGGCTGGCATGGATTACATCCAGCAGTTGGCCTTTGTCGAAGACATTGAGGCCATCAGAATCGCCCTTGAAGGAAACTACTTTTCCGTGTGCTGCTTTGCAGCAGTAAGTGAACAGTATGGTTACGTGCTACTTGTCTAACTGTGGTCTAGGTCATGAAGTACATTGAATTGAGTCTTTCCAGGACATTTTCCTATCACTCACTCCGGATCAAGTACGAGCCATCTGAAGGCTCTATGATGATTGACATCTCAACCGTGCATGCTCTTGAGCTCATTCAGAATGTTGATAATCCAAAATCCAAGGACTGCTTGTTTGGATTGCTCAATGCAACACTTACGCCTATGGGAGCTAGGCTTCTTCATAGTAATATCTTGCAACCCCTTACAGAAAAGGATACACTGGAGACTCGATATGATGCCTTGGAAGAGATGGCCACAAAGGAAGAATTGTTCTTCCAGACAAGACAGGGCAAGTTAGAAAGCTGCCGCTTTCAGGATGGAAGATGTTAACCTAGCTAACAGCACTTAAGTCCTTCCTGGATGCTGATAGAATCTTGACTGCGGTTTGTAAAATGTGCCGTCTAAAGGCTCTGCTGACCGATGCTTTAGCTCATTGTCATCCCCACAAAACCATCCGTCGAAAGCATGGAACAGGCTATCAATCAGGTCATCATGCTGAAGCAGTTCGTAAATTCTGTGAAGCCCGTCTATGAAGCCTTGACCGGAGCAAGAAGCTCCATGCTCATTGCAATCAAAGAAGTAATGCTCACAATCTCCCCATAACTTCAATCCATTCATGACTGACGTTCTTAGCTGTGTGCACCTGAAGGCATAGAGTCTGTACAAGTACTTATTGACTCTGTAATCAATGAGGATACAACATTTGCGAGCAAGCCACTGGATTTGCGCAACCAGCATGCCTACGCGGTCAAGGTTTGTTAATAACATCCGAGTCTTGGTATCGATCATCTAACCAGCAAGCCATAGTCCGGAGTCAATGGCCTTCTGGATGTGGCTCGACGAGCATACCGAGAGGCCACCGAAGACGCATATCAACAGGTCAACGAAATCGGAGGTATGTTTGGTGCCCTCTATTTTACTATGGATGGCTGACGACAACCACAGAATTGCACAAGCTTCCTCTCCAACTCAAGTTTGACAACCAGCGTCAATTTTTCATACAGGTCAACGCATTAGATCTTGAAGATCGTAATCTGCCTCCAGTCTTCACCAACGTTTTCCGAAAGAAGAACATGATTGAATGTCAGACGCTTGACCTGATGAAACAGAATCAGAAGATCGTCGACGCACACAACGAGATTGTTTTTCTGAGTGACACGGCAATACAGGAGCTGATATCGGAAATCCGAGAGTACATGGCTACGCTTTTCAAGATTTGCGAAAGTGTGGCGTTTCTCGACATGATAGCTTCTTTCACCCATCTTGTGACGAGTCAAGAGTATGTTCGACCAAAACTCACGGGCACGCTTGCAGTTAAGCAAGGCCGCCACCCCATTCGTGAGAAAATCCACTCGAATCAATTCATACCAAACGACTTCTACGCCACAAAGCAGCATCGCTTCCAGATCATCACTGGCTGCAACATGAGCGGCAAGAGCACGTACATCCGCACAATTGCACTCATGTCTGTCATGGTACAGATTGGTATGTTTGTTCCGGCCCAATATGCTTCATTTCCAATCCTTTACCAGCTCTTCGCTCGTGTCTCCATGGACGACAGCATTGAAGCAAACATGTCTACATTTGCTGCCGAGATGCGCGAGACAGCTTTCATCCTTCGGAATATCGATGCACGTAGCATGGCCATCATTGACGAGCTTGGACGGGGCACAAGCATCAGAGATGGGCTCGCCATAGCCCTCGCCATCGCCGAAGCTCTGGTGGACAGCAAAGCCTTTGTATGGTTTGCCACACACTTCCGCGACCTAGCCAAGATCATGGCCGAACGTACTGGAGTGGTTAATCTCCACCTTGCTGTGGACATGAAAGAGGGAGAATCCATGTCCATGCGATACAAGGTTGCCCCAGGCCCAGTGCAGCAGCAGCATTATGGCCTAGCGCTCGCCCGCATTGTTCCACTGCCACCTGGAATCGTCGAGAGGGCAACGGAAGTCGCGGAGCAGTTACAGCGGCACACCCAGCGCCGCAAGAAATTCTCAATGGCAGTCATTCGAGAACGTCGCCGCAAACTAATCTTGAATCTCCGAGAGCAGCTCCTGCAGGCCCAGAGCGGAGCCATGGAAGGCGAAGTCCTTCGCTCGTGGCTCAAGCAACTGCAGCGCGAGTTTTTAGTCCGCATGGGGGCCATTGAGTCTGAAGCCGCGGAAGCGGCGGCAGAGGAGTCGGACGTGGAAGATGAGACAATGACTGAAGCGGCGGCGTCGGAAATGACGGAGACGGTGCTCAGTGGTGGGAGGAGGGAGACTGCTATCGAGGTATCGGACGAAGTTTCTATTGACTCGGTCGAAACTGAGACGGCTAGGGATGATGGCGATGCGCAGTCGGATACGTTCATTGATCTTGGCATGTTTTAGGGGAGGTAATGTGGAGGTGTGTTTGCTTTTGAGGGGATCAATGTGCTGGGTAGCTTGCTTTGGTTTCTACAATACATGTGCTACACTGCTATGAGGCTCGTGGTAGTGAGTGATTGATGAAGTAGTGACGATGAGGTGGCTCGAGGATGGAGAGTGAACGCGGATGGCGCATCTCTGAGTAGCACAAATACCGTGTTCTGAGAATGGGGATCTGAAGTCCCAAGGCATTTGTGGTCTAATGTTAGTCATGCCCTTCGTAGTAGTTGGTTCACCCGTATCACCTATCTGTCTATACATACCACAGGCACTCCGTCAGCGGTGTCAAGATACCTATAAAACTTACCCACACATGAAGACCGCAACTATAACACAGCACAACCACAAGCACACAAGCACACAAAAATTTCTCAGAAACTCAAATATATATATATATGCATACACACCACCCAAACCGCCCACCTAACCTCCATACGCACAAAAAGCAAACAACCCCTCCACCCCTAAAACCCCAGCCATCCCAATTCCAAAACGCTACTAAACAACACGAACAACGAAAAGCGACGACAAACAAGCAAGCAAGCAAAAAGCAAAAGCAAGCAAAAAGCAAACCAGCCCCCTCATCCCACTAATAAAGGAGATACGATGTATAGATAAGACAGCACTCAGAAACGACAGAGACGGGAGATGGGAGATGAGAACGGAGATGGAGATGGAAATAGAGATAAACAGGACCGTTAATAGACTGCAGAAGAGACGAGACGAGAAACGTCAAGAAACGACAACGACGCTTTCCTGGCCTGGTCCAGCCGGCCTAGCTGCGTTGGAGGCAGAGGCAAGCCAGGCCAGGCCAGGCCAAGAAGCGTCGGAGACACCAACCATACCCTCTAAGCACCCAAGGCCGTAAATTTTTTCCCTTTCCTTCCTTCCTTCCTTTGTTTCCTTCTTCATTGCTTCTCTTCCGCTGCCGCTACATATCGCCGCCAAATACCTTGCGCGGCGGTTCTCGTGCACTCCCCCTTTCTCCTTCATTCCTCGCTTGCTTCCTTCCTTGCTTCCTTCATTTCTTCCTCCTATTTCCCGTTTTCCTTCTCTCCCCGTTTCCAAAAAAGCTGGCTTTATAGATTTACTGTATAAAAGTCCTGATAAACGTTGAAGTGTACCGACCGACCGACCAACAACAAACGCAAAAAGCACAAAGCGCTAAACGATGCTATGCTATGCTCGCTGCGTGGCGTCATGGCGTCATCATGAGGTATGTGTGTGTGAGAGTGTATGGAGTATGTATGAGTAGTGTGTAGGTATGTGCGCGAGGGAGAGAAAGTGAGACTGTGTGTGATGTGGTGTGTATGTCTTGGGGGTCCGTTCGTTCCGGTCCGTTCCGCGTGCCGTGGCCGCATGCGCATATGCCCATTGCCAAGCGTGAAAGGATGGATGGATGATGATGAGGTTCTTGCTACTATCGTGCTGGGGACAACACTAACAGAGAGGGGAAGAAACGTGCGCGCACCGTGCGCCCGTGACGCGCGTCCCCCCTCGCCATGCCCTCTTCCTCCTGCCCGGGCTGCCGCAGCCGTACGTGCGTGGGGAGAAGCAAAGGGAAATGCAGAAAAGTCAAAAGTCGATAACGTTGCGATACGATGGAGGTGGGGGGCTGCTTGGCTGAGGGGGGGACAACGACGAAGTGGGATGACATGAAGCGAGCTAGTGTGTCCGCTAGTTCACCGCGTTGCCCGACAGCGCCGTCAGGAACCGCGCGACGAGCCGGGCGGTGAAGTTGCCCGGCTGGTCTGCCTTGACGTGGCGTTGTTGCTGCAGGTACATGACTGTTGGGGCGGGTCAGGGTCAGCGGGGCTGTTCATGCATGCGGGGTCGCATAGCCTCACGTGGAGGCGCGTGCGGCGGCCGGCGCGAGATAGATGGGGTGGGGGTCGGGGTGGGGAATCATGCTTACAGTTTTGGCCCTCGTTCACGAGGTCCCGGAAGCCCAGCATCCAGGTCTTGCCCGGGCCGTCGGGGTTCCCGCGCCACCACTGCTCGAAGTCGCGCTCGTTGAGCGGGTTGGGGCTCTTGGAGCTGCGGCGCAGGAACAGTGCCATCACGAAGAGGAACTTCATGTCGATGGCCTCGCATGCCGTCTCGGCGCGCTTCTGTGCCATACGCGGGTCGAGTCGGTCCGCGACCGTCTTGTAGTCCATGATCAGGTGCACCGTCTTCTGCGTGTCCTCGTGGCACATGGCGAGGCCCAGCATGCAGACGAACGCGGACGTCCACTTGCCTGGCCAGGAAGTGCCGCGCTTGAGGATCTGCTGCAACTTGCGATACACAGAGTCCATGATCTGCTGGTGCAGAGAGCAGAAGAGGAACTTGAGTTGCCGGTTGACAACGCGAGGGCTGCAGAAGGTGCCGTAGGACGATGGGGGGATGTGTGGAGAGGTGGAGAGGGAGGAGAGAGCCTGCTGCCTGGACTGCTCGTCCAAGATGAGCGTGTGGCCCATGATGTAGGTCACAACAATGAGGCGAAGCACGTCGTGGAGGAGCCTCTTCTATTGGAGGGTTAGCTGGTGTCTTTGGATATAGAAAGCTGTCACTGACCTCGTCTGCAGCCTCCGGTGAGAAAGTCCTCATAAGCATGAGCAAGCGGTACTGGAAGTCATGCTCATCGTCGGAGCAGTACATTCTCGCAAAAGGCTCAAAGTGATGCTCAATGATGGTGTCCAGGTAACGAGAATAGTACTTCTGGTCCTCCTTTTCAATGTGCTTCATCCCGAGGGGCGGAGACATGTTCTCCGTCCGCATCGGCGCGCCAGTAGACGTGTTCTTGAAGTACTGGAACTGCCGCCTCGGCTCGTTCGTCCTTGGGTGGAACTCATAAGCTTCGCAGGCCATCGGCGGCAGGTTCCGGCCGGGGATGATCCGGATCCTAATGCGGTTGTTCGACCAGCCCTGCGTGTGCTGCTCAACAAACTGGAAGAGCGCCTGAGGCTGGTGAAGCTCGGTCATGCAAGCTAAAATGGTCAGTCAAGTTCGCAAGACACGGGTTCTGGATCTCATACATGGCAAGAAGTACTCCAAAAGCTCCCAAAGCGGCGTCCTGTCGCAAGGGAGTTGGGGGTGAGGGCCGTTTGGACGGTTCTTACGCTTTTCGCACCGTTGGCAAGGGTCGCCGTGCCCGCACTGTAGACAAGGGTTAAACTCTGGCCCACAAGAAGTAGCCTCTAGGGGGTGCTCCTTACACTATCCCTTTGCAAAGCGCAGGGCCAGCATGCGCCTACTTCACGCATGGCATTGGCATTCTTCCTCTTGTGAGCATCAAGGTGAGACCCTAGCTGCCTGCCGCCGTTTCTTTGTGCGGATGACTCAGATTGAGCCTCCTGAACATCAGAGGCAAAAGCAGGAGGACTCTCAGATGACTTTGGTATAATCATAGGCGGGCTATCATGAGTAGGAGTGCAGGCGTCAACCTGCATCGAGTTCCATGAAGCCTCTGACAAGGCCAATTCGATGTTGGCCGTGCGAGGGATCTCGGCGGGTCTCGGGGAAATGGCAGTTGGGTTGATAACGTAGTCCGGGATGCCATACGGCGATACAGGCGGCATGAAGTCCATAGACGTCTCAATGGCCATGGGCTGGTCCATCCCGTGGGCGGGGAAGTTACCCATGGCATCAGCCGGGAAGGTAACTCCCTGTGCTATTTGAGTCGGGCAGGCATATTGCTCAAAGGGGCTTCCTGAAAACATCGAGAACGCTGATTCATCTGGGGTGACGGGCATCTCGGGATACGTCGGATCCATGAGAGGACCCTGACCCATGGGACAGAGGTCGCTTGCGGACGGATACATGTACTCGGGACTGAACACATGGACACCTGCTCCAGCGTGGATGTTTAAGTGATCTCGTGGATGCTGACTGCTCCAGGGGGGGCTCATACCACCGACATGCTGATGAGGGACCAAAGCCGTGGCGTGGCCAAACTGCTGCTGGTACGCATCCTGCGGGAAGCCCATCATACTACCCGTGGGAAACTGGCTGTTAGAGTTAGAAACCTGCATACTAGGTTCGCTTGGAGATACGAGATCCGAAAGCTCGCCTGCGCCTGTGTAAGCGTGGGTTCACCCGCAAGAGGAAATCAGCCGCTACCTTCATGCCATTGGTTGCTCCAAACTCGTCCAGTCATGTCTCCAATGTTCTGCGGCAGCGGGGTGCTGTTCACAGCTTGGAATTGCGAGTCAATGCTCGGCCGTCCATGGGAGCTTTGCGAAAAACCGTCGCACGACATGACACTTCCGTGTCTGGAGGGAACCATCTCCCAGCTCTGCTCGCTCGGGGGACAGCCATCGGACATGTAGCCCTGAGCCGGGTCGAAAGGCGTGTCCAGCGGGGGAGTTTGGACCGACGAAGCCGGAGAGTTTGACAGGGCGTCCAGATCGGTGAAATCGGTGTCCATGGGCACATCCCACGCACTCGGCACATCGTTGTGGACTTGGGCGGCGGGAAAACTCGTCACCAGCGGCTGGACCGGCGGAGCTGGCGGGGCGTAACCGGAAAAGACGGAGCTGTGAGGCGACTTTGAGCAGCCGCGTTCGCTGCCGAAGGGAGACAAGTCGCAATCGCTGCCAAAGGTGGGAATGCCGTTCTGGAGGTCGTCGACGCCGGGAGGAAGCTCGTCTGGCGACATGGGACCAAAGAACATGCTGTCTGCGCCATTGCTGAAGTGGTAGGGCCCGTCAACCCATGGGGCGGCCATGGCTGTCTGCTGAGCCTACAAGGCAAACGAAGGGAAGGGCGGACTCCAAGTAGGCACCAGTTGGCTTATGACTTAGCCCATGCTCCGGTAAAAAAGACGATCAAGGGCCTGCCTCGAGGTCGAGGGCGGGGGTTAGCCGATGCCGACAGGAGTGCGAATAGAGTGTGCGCAATGACAGCAGGAACCCTGAAAAGATCTCCGAGAAGACGAACAGGAGAGGGACCGACTGGAACAAAAGCCAGCTGGGGCTGCACCGTTGCAAAAGAGAGAGCGGAGCAGAAAGAGCCCCGCACGGACGGTGAGGCTGGTAATGCAAAGCTGACGGATTGGGCTGACCGGTCGAGGGCAAGTAAGACCCAAAACCCGTGCGACGGACTTTTTGACTGGCGGCGCAGCTTTTTTTCTTATTTTTTTTACGAGCAAGCCCTGCCTATTGTATGTGTGCGTGTGTGTGTGTATACCTAATAAGCCAGTCACCAGCCCTCCCCCCTCGTGGTGCCAGGCGAGGCACACCGCTGGGGTCGGATACGTGGGAAGACGGGCCTCGAAGCGCTGCGAAGGAGCAGAGCCGGTGCACGAGGCCCGACAACGAATCAGCGCGTGCCAGAGCATCTTGCATCCGCTGATCCTCCAAGTGGCTTGCGTGCCGCGCCGCCGTTGCCTCTGTTCACTCAGAGTCCCACGGTCCCTTGGCTCTAGCACACGAAACCTCTGATGTGGGGTTTGGGCTGGCCTGAACAAAACCGCCGCCGTCCTGCCGAGCCAGCATGTTATCATCCATCGTCGGACCCGCAGTCGAGACCTCATATGTGCACATCTTAACCTTTCCCCTGGCCTTCGTTGCGTGTTCTTTCCGGCACCAACTAGCTGCACGCGGGTGACGGGTGACCTGAGACCTCGGACTCGGAGAGCGAGGGAAGAAACCGATCCCCACAGCTTAAGGTCGTGACCTTCCACTCCTCTACACACTGTTCGTCATGTTTTTTGTGGGCGGAGGAGTAGCTACCTAGAGTAGGAGGGATGGACCTGGGGGAGTAGGTAGGGTCACGCACCACCACCACCGCCTAGTACTGTGCCACCACTGCCACCACCATTTTCTACTCACTCATCCGTACAATCAAGTTTCTCCCCGCCACTGCTCGGAACTGTGGTGCCGGCACGTGACCTTAGATCATCCCGACAAGGCTGAGGCGTTGGCTGAAACGGTCGTAGGCCCTGAATTTGCGACGCGTCTTGCGTCACTGCCCGCTTCGACCTTGGTAGAGCGTTCGGCTATCGGATCATGTTCTTGGCTGCTGTTTCCCTTATGAACGCCGTTAATCGTCGCATCTTGTCCTCGAGCTCACTTTACTCGCCGTCTGCATTCGCGAATCACGACTTTGCCTCTCTCGATCGACGACGATACGCGCTATGGCAGGACGCGAAGACACGGCGACGCAGCGACACTACAAAGCACCCTACACCACGCACCGGCCAATCCCCACTGTCCAACGCTACCGCCAGGAGAAGGCCCAGCGCGGCACCACCGAAGAGATTGCCCAGGAGGAGCCTAGTTGGACCGAACGAGCTGAAAATGCCTACAAGACATACTGGAAGGGGGAGCAGCCCGAGTCGGCCAAGGATGCTGCCGACGGCTCGATCCAGCACTACCAGAGCACCAACAAGAACTTAGCGGATCAAGAAGGGCAAGGCGATGGCGACAAGCGTGTCGGCCTGGAACAAATGGAACAAGACGGACATGACGAGCATTACGAGCACAACGAGCACAACGAGCACAACGAGCGCGAGGACGAAGGCCCCAAGAAAGATGACCGAGGGTTTGAGATTGCAGAGGACACTTCCGAGGCCCACGTGGTCGGAGGGCAGGACCCCAAGGACAAACGGAAGCAAATGAAGAAGAGAAAGGAAGACACAGGTGGGCGCCAGGTCACGGATCCCGTAACCCATCTTCCCGTCACGATTCACGATTTTACGAAGAAAGATCTTAACAAGTCTCCCGAAAACGAACCTACTTCAGGCACGCACAAGCGTTCAGCTACTGGCAATAGTGCCAAGTCGAAGGATGATAATGAACTGCGGGATGAGACTGCTGAGTTGCAGTCGTACCATTCTGGCATGGAGATGATGTTCCCTCCGCCTAATTATGACAATGCACGGATTGAACTGGAGAAGATATATCAAACCGCAACCACCACTGGGCTGGGCCTAGTGGTTACCCTAATGGCAGTCCTGCTGGCATTGAGCCACATTTTCATTCGATCCACTTTGAGTGTTTACATCACCGCCCCCGCGGTGCTTCTGGCCACTCTAGGCCTAGGTGCTGCAGTGACGTGGGGAATGCGAGATTGGGTCACGAACAAGGTTGAGGCTGTGTGGGAAGACGAAGTGTGGGAGTCCGAGAGACAGCAAGGCAAGAGCATGGTAAAATCGGAAACGCCGGAATCAACGCAGTGGCTCAACTCGTTGATGGCTTCCATCTGGCCATTGGTCAACCCTGACCTCTTCGTCAGCATGGCGGATACGCTTGAGGTAAGGCTTGGGCTTTCTTTGCTTTACTTTCTGCCCGGCATCCCTATCCTGTGAGGCTGTTACATGGTTGGATTGCCACGCAGACTACGGTCTGGCATTGCCATCGCTGATGCGAACGTGTGCATATGACTATGTCATCGCCATGCCATCAGGCATGTTTCGCGCTCACGCGATGCAAGTGCGCGAAAAACGCGAGTTTTATACACACGCAGCGGCGTCTCAGTGGTGTCCATTTATACTTCAAGCAGCCACTGATGTCGCCCTGCGCTAGCCCCTTGTTCTTGACAACGCTAGGCGTTCGCTTGACTGGCTACCTGTTTGACCGGTCAACGAATGCTTGTTTCATGTTTCACCGAGAATACGATAGCTAACATATTGTAGGATGTCATGCAAGCGAGTTTGCCGAAACTTGTTCGCATGGTTAGCGTTGAAGACCTTGGTCAGGGCAGCGAAGCTCTCCGGATTCTCGGCGTCCGATGGCTACCGACAGGAGCTGCGGCTCAATCGGTATCTCAAGACGGTAAGCTGAGGAAGAACAGCGACCCAAAGGATAGTGATCGGACGGTCCCTGGCCAAGGCGAGGTTCAAAGTGATGATGAAAAAAATGGAAGCAACGAAAGTTTGCAAGATGACCAAGACCAAGAGAACATTGAAGAAGGCATGGAGGCAGAAGAAGGAGATTTCGTCAACATGGAGGTTGCATTCGCGTACAGGGCAAGGACTTCCAGGAAAGGCATCCGGGATCGAGCGAAGAATGCGCATTTGTACCTTGCCTTCTATCTTCCTGGAAACATTAAATTTCGTAAGTCTTTTAAACCTTCTCCAATCCTGGTATATTCACTGACTAGTTGCAAGCCGTCTGGGTTGAGCTTCACGGTCTCGTTGGCACCGTTCGCTTGAGGCTCCAACTCACACCAGACCCGCCATTCTTTAGCCTGTGCACTCTGACGTTCCTTGGACAGCCTAAGGTTGACGTCTCTTGCGTTCCCTTGACGCAGAAGGGCCTTAACATCATGGATCTACCTCTGATCTCAAACTTTGTTCAAAGTTCCGTGGATGCTGCCATGGCCGAATACGTTGCGCCGAAATCGCTCACCCTGGATCTTAAGGACATGCTTATGGGCGACGATTTCAAGAAGGATACGGCAGCCCGTGGTGTTATTGTCGTACGGATCAAGCGTGCGTATGATTTCAAAGAGGGAGATTCTGGGATGCTTGTGAAAAAGGGCTCTACGGACGGCTACATCACCGTTGGTTGGGCCAAATTTGCGAAGCCTCTGTGGTCAACTCGCATCATCCAGGCGGACATGGAACCCCACTGGGACGAGACTTGCTTTGTTTTGGTCACTTCAGACGAGCTCAATGTACAGGAACGCCTCCGTGTGCAGCTGTGGGACTCGGATCGGCATACTGCCGACGATGATCTTGGTCGGATTGAGGTCGACATCAAACAGATCATGAAAAATCCACAGTCTGATGGCAAGATACAGCAGAGGGTGGACGGCTTCAAGGCCCTCCAGGCTGGCGAGAGCATGCCCGGCAAGTTGGAATGGGAAGTGGGATACTTCTCAAAGACTCGCATCATGGAGTCCCAGTTGCAGCAACAAACTAGCTTCCCCGAAATCCGCACCATGGACAAATTGCAGGAGTTGGTGGATCAGGAAAGTGAGAGGAAGCTTCGGGAAAGCAAGCGGGATGAGTCTGCCGAGTTTGAGCAGCTGAAAGAGCAAGAGTTCAAGGTAATTTTTATAAACATGGCCATGGGAAAAATTCACGTTGCTAACAGCCCTCTAGGAAAAGGAAGACCAGCTCGTTATCGCGGCGCCTCCGCCACAAGATTACCCCAGTGGCATTCTTTCTATCACTATCCACCAAATTTCCGGCCTTGAACTGGGAGCTCTCAACAAGAAAAAGGCAGAAAAGCACGAAGATGAGAGCGAAGAGGAGGAAGAGGATGATGACCTGCCGAGCAGCTATTGCACCATCATCCTCAACCACCAAAAGGTCTTCCGCACCCGCACGAAGCCGAAGAACGCCCAACCCTTTTTCAACGCCGGCTGCGAACGCTTCGTCCGCGATTGGCGCAACACCGATATACACATTGGTGTGCGCGACGCTCGCGTGCACGAGGATGACACGCTCCTCGGAATTGTCTATCTCCCGCTCGGCGAAGTTCTGAAAGAACGCTCGCAGATCAACGGCCACTACCCGTTGCTTGGCGGCGTGGGTTACGGCCGCATGCGCATCTCGATGGTCTTCCGCTCAGTGCAGCTGCAAGCCCCACAGTCGCTGCTAGGCTGGGACTTCGGGACGCTGGAAGTGGCACCAGAGATCACCGGCTCAGACTTGCCGTCGGACCTGCTGGGCCACCGGCTGAAAGTGCGCACGACGCTGTCGAAGGGCAAGATGCAATCGCGGGGCAACGGGGTATGGAGGACGAGCAAAGACCGCACGATCAAGCTTCCGGTGCGCAAGCGGTACGCCAGCCCACTGGTAATCGAGTTCCGCAAAGCGCGACCAATGATGGACCCGACGGTGGCGTTTGCGGTGTTCTGGCTGAAAGACATGCCGGACAACTCGGAGACGACGGTGACGGTGCCGGTGTGGAAGGGCGGCGACATGAAGCGCGCAACGACGTGCTATCTGGACAGCTGCGGCGAGCAGGTCGGCACGCTGCGCCTCAGCCTCGTCTTCTGGAGCGGCATCAGCAGCTACCACGCCCCGCTGGCAGCACGCAACCCGGACCTGGGCCAGGTGATGGAGGTGCTGGAGACGGCGGGCGACAACGAAGAGATGGAGTTCGATACCGAGGGCTTTGCGTCGGACAGCTCGAGCAGTAGCAGCGATAGCAGCACTGATACGGACGACGACGACAGCGACGTCGCTGCTGAGGAAGAGACGTCCCGCTCGAGTTTGAGCAATGGTAGTGGTGGTGGCAGTAAGCGTGGCTCGAAGGACTTGAGTAAGGATGGTAAGAGGGGCCCGATCAGCTCGATCAGGGACTATAAGCACCATCGGCGCCAGCTGCACCGCCAAAATAGGGGCGTCATGCAGTGGAAGGTTAGTACATTTCTCCTCTCCCTCTCTCTCCCTCTCCCTCTCCTTCCCTCTCCCACTCTCGCTTTCTTTCTCTTTTCCGTCACAGGAAATGGCTAACGGCGTAGCACACAGGGCCCGCGCACGCTGCAGTGGATGAAGCATAAGCTCGAGCACGGCGAGCAGCATATCGCGGACAAGTTCAGCCGGCATACGCGCGAGCCGGGCATTGAGACTGAGGCGTAGGGGTAACGGTCCTGCGTGCTTGTGGTGGGTGTGTTGATTGGGTTGGGTTGGATACATAGTCTCTTGCTTAGGGACGAGGGAAGAGGAGGGAGAAAAGTTTGGAGTGCGTACATACTTGTGTATGTGGGTTGTAGTAGGGAAGGGGGTGTTGTTTGTGTAGGCCCTACCTGTACCTACCCACCTATCCTTTTGGCCGGTGGCGAATCTTGCATTTCTAGTACCCCTCTTGTAATGTATACGCTCTAGGACCTTTTTATTTATATTTAGCACTTGTGCTTATAGCCAAACAAAGAGTATTCTACAAGGACTGCTTGTATCCTCTATCTCGGTTGACGGCAACAGGCGTTAAACACACACAAAGACTGGCAGCCCGACAAAAAAGAGAGAATAAAGAGATAACCAGTATGACCATGTACTCCTTGCCTAAAAGTGACGCTCAAACCCCCTAGGCGTAAACGTAGTAGTGAGTTTTAACAAGATATAGACACGGTATTGGTGGTGGGCAGTGGGTGGAACCTCAAGAAAAGGCCATGGCTAGGTATGTTGAGCTAAAGATTTCACTAGGCTTTCACTTAGAGAATCACCATTGGTGATGTGGTTATCGGCTTTGGGAGAATAGTTGAGGTTTTCAAGAGAAGGGAGGAAGAGAAAGAGAGAGGGAGAAAGAGAGAGAGAGAGAGAAGAAGAAGAAGAAGAAGAAACATATCCGAATCCTCAGACAACGCCATTGGGAAACCGCATCCAACAGCTAGACTTCAATGACCATTTAGGCGGAATAGCAGTTTTCTTTCGTGCTCTTTCGAATGAACAAACCACGAGCTTCTACAAAGTTTGATAAAAGCCCAACAACGAACTTCATCACCTTCCCCCATCTGCGCACACCAAACCCCCTTAGCAACGCTGACGCTCGCCCAACCAGCACAACAACAACCCTCAACACCACACAGCAATACAGCTCAACACCCTCACCTACCATTCCATGCACACGCAGCACAATCCGCCCCTATTAAATTCTTCTAGAACCTACTCTACGTCCTTACTCTCTTCCTCCTCCCTCCAAGTCCGCATGATGCTAGGTCTTTTCTCCTCGAGGTGTAGCTTCTGTTCCTCTAGGTCGCGCAAGTCCTGCTAGAGTCTACCTAGCCTACGTCAAGCCTACGTTCGACTACCTCCGGCGGGTGCGGCCAGTTCGCGGAAAGCCACTCACACCAGCTTCTTGGGCTAATCACGTAACCAAGAGCCCGAGAGACAGACCACCAATGTCCTTATCGTCCGAGCAAGCAACCGCTCCTGTGAGGATGTCGCTTGCGTCGTTAGTGGGTGTCTGGGATCCCTGGCTGGAAATATATGTCCAAGTCGTGCGCCTACGCGCTGTCGCTGTTTGATGGAGCTGGGCGACGGCTTGCCACTGCAGGATTAGCCGTACTTCTTCAAGTGTCGGGTATCGCTTGTGGGTAGGTGTGTGGTGAATGGGTTGAACCCCATTTCTTCACTCCTCAGTCATTTGTGTCTGCGTGGTGTGGAGATCTGTTTTGCGTGGTAGCAGACATAATAGTAGAGGTCGTTTGTTGTTTATGCCTTTCCTAGGCTTGTTACAAGTCTTGTTGATTCCCCGGCCAGAGCGGCTCGCTCAAGATGTTGTCTCATACGAGCACGAGCAGCTAAGCAGCCTTTGATATACACCTATCATCGTTAATAGACGAAGCACACAGCATCAAGCGTCCCCACAGAGCCGACATCGAAGCAACACCAAATAACCCTAAAGCCATATGCCATTATTACATCACTAGCTACCTAGCTACCATCTAAGCCAACCGCACCCCGATCCCATAGCCCCAGTCATGTGCGCATCAAAGAGCAGCAGCATCAAGCCACCACGTAAGCATCAGTCAGTCATATGCTCGAGCAGGTCCATCAAGCCTCCGGTCCTATGCACGGATATCAGATGAGCCGGGGGGTATCACGAATCGCAAAATGCATGGTTGCAAGCAAGCTTGCTCGGTCCGCCGCCTTACCTTGCCTCGCCTTGTCTTGCCTTGGCTGTTGTAGCAGACGACGACTACTAAAAAGGTCCCGCGCATGGCGTGGCGCTTTAGTTGTCGACGCCAATGTGCACGTTCTTCTCGCCGGCGGGCAGCACCTCGGCTTCCTTCTTGCCCTTGAGCGTGGGCAGCTCGGCCATGGCGGAGCGGATGATGTCGAGGGCTTGCTGGATCTGCTCCTCGGTGATGACGAGGGGCGGCGCGAGGCGGATGATGTTCTGGTGCGTGGGCTTGGCCTGTCGAGCTTGTTAGTATCTTGTCGTCGAAGATGGTTAAGCGTTTGCGGTGCTGCGACGATAGAATACGTACCAGCAGACCCTTCTCCTTGAACAGCATGCAGAGGTCCCAGGCGCTGTGGCCGTTGGTCTTGCTCTCGTCGATGACAATGGCGTTCAGCAGACCCTTGCCGCGCACCAGCGTGAGCATGGGGTTGTCGATCTTGCGCAGACCCTCGCGGAAGATGTTGCCCAGCTTCTCGGCGCGCTCAACCATGTTCTCTTCCTGGATGACCTCCAGCGCCCTGATGGCGACGGCAGAGCCCAGAGGGTTACCGCCGTACGTCGAGCCGTGCGTGCCGGGCTCGATGGTGAGCATCACCTCCTTGGATCCCAGCACGCACGACACGGGGTACATGCCGCCCGAGATGGCCTTGCCCAGCAGCACCAGGTCCGGCTTGATGCCGCTCCACTCGTGGCACAGCATGCGCCCTGTCCGCGCGATGCCCGTCTGGATCTCGTCGCAGATCAGCAGCACGTTGTGCTTCTCGCACAGCGCCTTGACCTCACGCAGGTAGCTGTCGTCGGGGACGATGATGCCCGCCTCGCCCTGGATGGGCTCGACCAGGAACGCCGCCGTGTTCTTGCCGTGCTCCTCCAGCACCTTGCGTACGTCATCGACGTTGTTGTAGCGGATCGGCTCATGGGTCGTCGGGTTCTCGCTGCCGATACCGGGGAGGTAGGGCCCGTAGTTCTCGCGCGACTCGGGGTCGGTGGACATGGTGATGGCGGCAAACTACAAGCATGCTGTTAGCTTCGTTGCTCTTTCGGACTGCCATGCCATTATGCGGAAACCTACCGTGCGGCCGTGGAAGTTCTCCTGCACGCTGAACACCAGGGCCTTGTCCTGAGGAATGCCCTTGGCCTTGTAACCCCACTTGCGGGCGATCTTGACAGCCGTCTCGACGGCCTCGGCGCCCGTGTTCATGGGCAGCACCATGTCGAAGCCGAGCGTCTTGGTGACGTACTCGGCGAAGCGGGGGAAGACATCGTTGTAGAATGCACGGCTGCTGAGGGTGAGACGCTGTGCCTGCTCGACGAGGGCCTTGACGAGCTCCGGGTGGCAGTGGCCCTGGTTCACGGCGCTGTAGGCGGAGAGGAAGTCGAGGTAGTGCCTGGATAGCGGCGGTTAGGTGAGGCTCAGGGCGGAATGGTCGGGGTGGGGGCGGAAACTCACTTGTCCTCGGGGTCCCAGACAGAGCAGCCAGAGGCCCTGGAGAAGACGATGGGGAGAGGGTGGTAGTTGTGAGCGGCGTATTGGTGCTCAGCGTGGTAGGCCTCATCCGAGGATGATGCACGGTAGCGGTCGGCGTTGCCATTGGCCGTGGTGCTAACTGCGGAGGGCGCCATGTTGATTAGGGTCAAGAGTCTCGATGTTTAGTGGGGCGGAGATCGATAGGCGGAAGAGGGCTTGAAATGGGCTTCTTGGAGTTGGGAGAAAGGGCAGGACGGCGGATTTGGGCGTGCCTTTATACTAGAGGGAAAATCTGTCTCGTGGGCGACCTCGGACTCCATCTAGCCTCCAACTGCACATAGGGGAAGAGTTGAGCTTTGCATCGTGTATACCTGCGCTTAGCGGACAGTGTTGGTAAACTGAATCGTAACGCTCCCCTCAAGCGTAGGCCTGTGCACCGACTGCTGTCAACTGGCCCGCTTCCATTGGCCACACCCACCGAGAGCCCCGTTTTCTTGACCGGAAGAGGCCTGGCGCTGGCATCCTTGCTCGGATCTGCAGAAAGAGGCTCTTGCGGATATCGCTGGCATTTATCTACGAGTACAATCGCTTGGAGTTCATAGGTGGAGGACAAGAACCTCGGAGCCTCGAGGTTTTCTACTTATCACGTCGCACACTCATTGCACGACACCCCTTCACCTCACACCTCAGGCCAACACCAGCAAGCACTCTATCTTTTCCTATCTGAGTTTGCTCCACTAAACCTACACTTGCCTCTTTCACGGCTCCCCCGACAATTTATTCTTCATCTTGTCACAGCAACCTCACACGTCACTTGGCTGCCTACTGATCCTATCAAGTACTCTTTGGGTGGTTACAAGTGCGATGGCGCTAGAGTATCCCGCGAGAGTCCAAGTATGCAAAGTTGTCAAGATCACAAGTAGGTCATATACCTGAGGTGTGGTATCACGCAATCTCCATGTCTTCGCTTTGCCCCTCTAAAAATACTATGCATGCAATGACGTCCCGTGTTTCAGGTGTAGATCCCGATTCCTTCGGACGGCGCGGTTGCCGACTCACATACTTCGCAGCACGTCGTTAGCCGCTCGCTACGCGGGATCGCCCATCTCCACCTTAGGAAGGTAGTTGCCTGGCAAACAAGTGGAGGCGGGGACCACGTCGCCGTCTTGGCTCTGGTCCTTATAAACCCGACATCCCGTCTCATCAGCATCCATCCTCATTTCATCTTGACATCCACAAAGTTGGCAAGAGAAGGTGAGTAAGCTCAATGTTAGACTCCAAGCATGAGCTTATGAACCTCGCCCTACAGTGTACTCGACACTTCAGTCACAACAAGCAGGCTCCCACGTGAGCTAGACTTAGCCATACGTGCCATCTCGTGACCAAAATGGCCGCCTCGGATGCTTTTTCCATGATCTCGGACACGAAAAACAACACACTATTCGAGGAATATCATGAGCGAACCTCAGCCAAAGGCAATAACCTTAATGTGCAGTTGGTGTCTGCTCTTCGGGCCCAACACCCCGAACTGATCATTACCACAATCCCCAAGCCGAACTGCCCGTTGATCGCCTTCGCCTCAGCTGGTTACGCCACTGCCGAGCTCGACACGCAAACCGAACCGGTTGTAAGTTGGCGGGGCTTTGCTCCCCCTTCTCATCGTGGCGGATCAGTCTCAGTTGCGGACTTCAAAACCTTTGCCAAATACCACTACAAGTGGAACAATGAAGATTTCATCGTCTACACGATCCTAGTTGGGCTCGACGTTCTCCAATACGTTCTCAAAGAGCCGACCGAGGACGAGTCTCCGCTCTCGAACTCTTCCGTTACTGATAAACTCATAACTACCATCGGTGCATGGTTGACCAAAGATGCCCCGGCTATCTATGTTTATGACCGATATTGGCGACGGAGCAAAGAATTGTGGGAAGAGGTGCAAAAGGCAAGCTGGGACAAAGTAATCCTTGATCCAAAGATGAAGAAGTCATTGGAAGAGGTCTCGAAGAAGTTCTTCGATTCGAAAGACATCTACGACGAGTATGGCGTTCCATGGAAGGTTGATATTTCTGGTCCAAAAAACATGATACCTTTTTACTAACAACGAACAGCGGGGCCTTATATTCCATGGTCCTGTTGGGAATGGCAAAACCATATCGGTCAAAGGTAAGCGTCGGGTATTTCAAAAAAGACTTAGATGTAGAACTTATGGATTTGTACAGCTCTCATGCACAGCCTTTATCAGCGAAACCCGCCAGTTCCGACATTGTATGTCAAATCAGCTCCGTTCACTTACAACATCGGAGCTGTCTTTACCATGGCGCGGTCCATGAGCCCCTGCCTCCTGGTACTCGAGGACATTGACACTATTGTCACTCCTCGGACTCGCAGCTACTTCTTCAACGAAGTTGATGGAATAGCAAGCAATGATGGAATCCTTATGGTGGCCAGCACCAACCACCGTATGCAACCCGATCACAGATATCAGAACAGTGGTTAACATTGAGCAGTCGAACAACTAGATCCTGGCCTCTCAAAGCGGCCAAGTCGATTTGATCGCAAATATCTCTTCCCATTGCCTTCAAAGGTATACATCCAGCCACTGACTTATTTAGAACCCCGACTGATGTCTTGCAGGATGAGAGGGTTCTCTACTGCGAGTACTGGAGGAAGAAGCTTGAGAAAAAGCAATCCATCGACTTTCCAGAAAAGCTCTGCCCTGCGATTGCCGACATCACAGATGACTTCAGCTTTGCTTACCTTCAAGAAGCTTTTGTCGCCACGCTGCTCGATATTGCCCGGTCCGACGGCAGTGACTCAGATGACGAGGACGGCGAAGATGACCCGCTTGACAAGTACGTGCTGTGGCGCGTGATGAAGAAGCAGGTACAAATCCTTCGAGACGAAATGGGCGACTCTAAGCCACCCCTAGCGGAAGCGTGTGACTCAGCTGGAAGCACGGCATTCGCCTCGGCATACGAGGAGACGCTTCCAATGCTGGAACAAGCTGCGCGGCGCGGCTCAGCTGGGCGCCTCTCTAAAACGCCGGGCCAGCATGCGGCATCACACTTTTTTGACGTGGACAGCGCTGCTTCGAAAGCCGGGGAAGCTGATCTGTATCGCCCTGCGGGTATGCGGGGATACGAGCATGGAGCTGCGATCGGGCATGGCGTCTGGGAGCCGTAAAGATGGATAGACCTTCCGGATCGGGTGGGTCATGTGGCTGTGTCATGCCGAGACCCGGTTGGACAGCTCGTGGTCGGTAGGTATGTGACAGCGTGAACTGCTTTATGGGAGGCGCAAAGAATCTATTATCTGACGGTATTACATACAACCATCTCTAGTGGTGTGAGACAGCATTTGAGCATGACTGGAATGACTGGAATAAGCTCCTGCGCAGATATATATATCAGTGTCTCGATGTAGGCCTGGGCGATTAAAGACTGATATAACTAAATCATCAACAGATAGCTAGGATCTCGTCGGGACTTCAGGAGCGGACATTAACTACCCCGGAAAATGACGCTGTGATGAGGCGCACTTGGGCACGAGATGGCAGGGGTATCCATCGCCTACCCCGGTGGCTTGCCTTCACCGGTGAGCCCGGGGCTGCGGGAGACGGATGCCGCGCAGTCAGCGACATCATAGCTCCTTGGCATGCGGCTCTTACGGGCAACATTGCACGAAGCGCCGGGCAGCGTCGAGGGCCAGCAGGAGCATGGGAAGTCGAAGATGGTGTCCGCCTTGCAACATGATAGGCAAACATGGGAGCGCCCGGGATCCCGCTTACACGGCACACACGAAAGCCAAATTAAAGGCAGCGGAAAGCCTCATTCACGTGCCAGAGACCTCTCTCAGCTCCTGCGGCCAGCCTGCCCGCCGAGTATATGAGGCAGCCTTGTCGTCGCCGTCGTTCGTGACACCTGCTTCCTGACCTTTCTGGACGTTCCCGCACTCGGTTCTGGAAACCTGCCTCTCCCAGCTAGTCTAGTCCCGCCAGTTTCGCCTCAACCAGGCCCTACCTACCTACCACGACGACAAGTTTGATAGGGCTTATAGAAACAAAAACAAAATAAAACAAACAAACAAAGCAAACAAATACCAAGCAAAAATTCTTTCCTCCAGGCACCGAACGGACCGTGAAACCCACCTCTTTGCCGCATGGCTGCCAGACACGGACCGCGGACCCCCAGAATCGCAATCGCGTCGCCGCCGCGCGAGACCTGGATCGACGTCAAGTTCAAGTTCGGCGCAGAGGAGGACCTCGTCGACCCGCTCTTTGGCATCCAGGGCGGCGATGGCGACGGCGACGGCATTGACTGGCCCTACGCGGGCACGGAGACGGCGGACCTGCCCCTCGCCCTCGCCCTCGACACCAGCAGCAGCAGCTCCGGCTGCCACGCAGCACAGCGGCGCGCCTGCGCCTTCCCTGCCCCGCCCTCGCCATGGAGCGCCCCCGCGTGGGCCACGCCCGGCGCGTACAGCGTAGACGGCATGCCGGCCTTCGCGGGCGGGCCCTACGAGCCCTTCGACCCCCTCTTCCTCGGGCCCCAGTCTGCCGCTCTTGTCAACGCGGGACCGGGCCCTAGCCCCTATGCCTGCGGTGCGGGGGTCCCGATTCCGATCCCGATCCCGCTGCCCGCCCGCTCGGAGTACTCGTTTGGCTCCGAGTCGAGCTACGCGCCCGCGGCGTCTTGCGCCGAGACGGAGGCGATGGAGCTGGATGCGCTGTTTGGGTCTGAGACCAAGACCGAGACCAGGCGGAGGAGTCCTTGTGTGCAGCAGCTGCAGCAACAACAACAACTAGCGCCACCACAACAGCATCCACAACGCCAGCAACAACAGCAACAACGCCAGCAGCAACCCGAGCACACGCACGCTCAACCGGCAACCCCTTCTTCGTCCTCATCGTTTTCGTCCTCCTTTTCCTCCACCTCCACCTCATCCAGTTCTCCCCCGACCACAGCCTTCGCAAAGCTCAGCTGGATCCACTGCGGCCCCAGCGCCTCCTCGGGGCGCCTCGTGACGCTGCAAGATTCGGAGGCCGGCGCGGGGGCGGGGTGCAAGCGGCCGCGCGGGCGGAAGAGCCCGCTGACGGCGGCGCAGAAGCGCGATGCGGCGAGGATGAGGGTGCTTAAGGCTTGCGAGAGCTGTCGGCGGCGGAAGGAGAAGGTTTGTGCCTTTGTTTCCTTATCTTTTTGTTTTTATTTATTCCTTGCCTGCTGTGCTCGGTGCGGGTGGGGATTGGGAGTTGGGAGTCGGGGGCTGCGTGGGTGTTAGGTGTAAGCTAAGCGCTTGGTTGCTGACGTTGCGCAGTGCGATGCTGGCGTCCCTTGTAGGGCGTGCATCGAGCACTACAAGCTCGACCATGTGCAGGTGCCTTGTCGCGGGAAGCTGCTCTCGGACGAGGCGCTGCATGGCGCGCCGGCTGCTGCTATGTCGAAGAGGTCGCTGGCCAGGGCCGCGAGAGTGGACCATGGAGGCTTTTAGGTTGGTTGGTATGCTATGCCAGAACCCGACCAACTTCTTCCATTGTCCGAGTACGAACGGGGACGCTTTGCTCCATCACGGATCTATTTAACTTGGGTCGTCTTCTTCTCCTCTCGCTGGTCTGTGTTCTGGGTGTATTCCTCGGAAGAAAACTATAGAGCCGAGGATACCTTTGAACTGTTGTTCTGGGGACGGAGTCCAGAGTTTTTTATTTCTGGAAAACAGCTTTGTCCTTCTTCCGGACTGGACCTGGGCCAAAACTCAAAGGCCAAGCATGGATTTCTTGACTCTGGCGGATGTCAACATCCAGCTCATGCATACATGGACCTCAAAACAAACACGAAACATCAACTGGTAAAAAGCCCAGCGCTCGCGCCATTCTAAAGCAGACGTCGACACCAGCGCAAAGAAACATCTACTGCCTTTCCGACATTACATATTGTTCCCAGCCAGGCGCGGCGCCACTCCTGAACTATACGCGGCCACGACCAACTCGTATGCGAAAACAAAGCAGAAAAAAGGCCAGCAACACCGTCAACGACTTTCCCCAAGGTTAAGAAATAAGCACAACGCCAAAAGGAGCGCGCTTCATAAGTGCTCCCTATAAAAAGACCTAATCAAACACGCATACTTATATCGACGTTTCCTCCTCCTCCTCCCCCTCTTCTTCTTCTTCGTCTACTGTATTTCTCATAACTATAGATTTCCTACTGGGAATATTGGGTACTGGCGTCTGGACTAGAGAGGCTAGAGGCTTTGCGGTTTCCTTTATCTCTGCTTTCTGGCTGCAGGCTTACTGTTCGTTTCGCGAGTTTTTCGTTGACTGTTTAAATACGCGTCTGGGTTTGTTGGGTAGATGAATAATGGGGCGTTGCTGTTGTCAATGCTAGATTTGAATAGCATTGGATAACTTGCACGCCTTTTATGTCTGTTGCACCTGCCTCTCAGCCGCATAACAAGCGAAGCATATAGCTACCTAGCCACTATCGACTGTAGTATTGTAGCTAACTATAACCACATAAAAGAACATTTCGTGGGTATAGCGGAGGTGAAAAAGTGCGAGGACACAGGAGTATTCGAAGACATATGAGGGTATGGGTATGCATGGGTATGAGGGTATTTTACAGAAGTATGAGGGCAGAAGGTTAAGTGTTAAGAGGGGTCACATACTTTTGCAAGTGAGAGAGGAAATAAAATAAAATAATATAAATGAAAAAAAAACAAAAAGACATAAGGAATCGAACTCGTCAGCGATTCAGTCGCCTGACTTAAGTAATGAGCACTCTGGTCAAGGGGTAAACACCAATTTGGCTGTCCTGCGATAAGTGAGTTAGAATTTGGAGAAGGGAGCCCGCCTGAGGAGACGAGTTCGATGCTTAGAGACTGGAGTCCCCTTAATATATAGTATATATTTATGTCCCCGTATCCCTATCACGGGGCGTAGTACCATGTGAGTTTATAACGGGGAAACCGTCAACGCGAGCTTGATTAACAGTGGAGGATCATTCCGACCTATTGACCAGCCTCAATAACAAAAAAGCGACAATGGCGCTGTCCTTGGCGCCCTCTTAAGAATCACTCTTTGTAACCACACCTTGCCAAGCACGAAGCACAACCATCCCAAAACAGCAACACGACGTCACGGCCATACTCCCGCGCACTTCTCAAAGACACCTCCCGCCGCAGGTTTATTTTTCTGGCATTTACATCACATCCCCACCCAACGAAGCCCCCAATCAGCGCCGCCAATGTACCGCAACCATGCAGCCCGAGCACACGAATAACGCCCGCGCAACAAAGCGCCTTGTCCACCCGCACGTCCAATTCCTAAAAGAGGGCTTAATAACGTCCATTGAGATGCAGATACAGCGAGAGCTGGCGCGCTACTTAAACCGCACTGCAGTATCCCGCCTCAATTCGCCTCCAGTCCACAGCGACATTCCCATTCCCAGAAAAGGCAGAAAACAGACACGACGATGGTGCAGGTCACATACCTGCTCACAAGCGCGCTGACCGCGCTCGCAGCCGCGCAAAACGGCGCAGCATCAGACTTCACGGCGGACAATGACGGCGGCGCGGCGGCAGAGGTGCACCAAAACAGCAAGCGCGTCATCAACAGCAACAACGACGGCGGCGTCTACTGGTGCGAGCGCAAGGACTACAAGGGCAAGTGCCGCTACACGCACAAGCCGCTCGGCACCTGCATGTGGATGAACCGCGACCCCCGCAGCATGTGCCCCGACCGCAACTCCTGGGGCGACAAGCCCATCTACTGCGAGCTCTGGAACGAGGAGGGCTGCAAGGGCCGCGTCGCCAACCTCGAGTACCCTGGAAAAGCGAACTTGGCCCAGTGGTATAGCCCCAAGATTCGTGCTACTGCCGCCTATTATTGGCCTTTGCCGGCTAGTGTTAGATGTTTTAAGAAGAAGTGAGATTCGGGGTTAGAGTTGCGAGCGTGTTGGCTTAGGCGGCTGTTTGGAGACGGTGCCGGATTGTTGATGGTTGGACTTGTGTATTAAATACCCTAGCAGTGTAGCTGTAAGGCAGTATTGGTTAAGCAACACTCAGGTTAGCAAAGTCTTGTAAACCCAGAAATACTGCCATGTGATGACGGTAAATAGAGCGGGCGGGAGAAAAGAAGACCAAAAAACCGCACCCCAGAATGTTAGCGTACAAACACCGGTCCCAAAGGTCTGGCGTTTCCGACTGGGACGACACCCGACTTACCAGAACGCTACCGGGAGCGCACAACGCCAGACAACGTCGCCGTCGCCACTACCATTACGCCGCCCCGCCACTGTGCTTCCAGTAGCAAAGCGGGCACCACCACAACCACCACCACCACCTATTCCCTCGCAAGCAACTCCCTAAGCCTGCGCAACAACACCTCCAAAACAGGACTGCGGTCAGCCAACTGCAACCCCAACCTCTGATCAATCAAGCCCGCAATCTGCATCTCCAGCTCGACCGCCCTCTGGCGCTGCAGCAGCTGCACACGGGGCTCCCAAAAGCGGTCCAGCGGGTTCTGAGGCACAAAGTGGCGCGGCAGAGGCAGGTTGTTCGCTCTGTAAAACTCGGTCAACAGGACGTTCACGCGGAGGACGGCCGCCTCCCAACCGATGCCGGGGCTGGAGTGGAGAGGAGCGTCAGCATGGCCGCCATGAGCGAGCGTCGTGGCGCTGGATGTTGGGCTGCAACTTACATCATCAAGCCCGCGTTGGTCAGGATCCAGACCGCGGCGATGACCAGCTCGATCGGCGGCTGTGGCTGCTGTGAGCCGCTGCCCGGCGCGCTGCCCGCTGTCTCCTGGCTCTGCGTGTACCGCGCTGCTGCGATGGGGATTACGGAGGGTGTCTGGGTGGGCGGGGCGAGCGATGCGGCTTGCGTGGCTGACGTCGATGCCTTGGAGTGCTCACTGACGGAGGGAACGGATCGCTGTCTCTCAGCCTCATCCTTCATTTGGTGTTAGTATGATTCTGATCATCTCAAGTAGGGTGTTAGATGCACTTACATGGGTGAGGGCTGCCGATAGCTCGGCAACCTGGCTCTCCCTGCGCCGGACGCGCTGGTGGAAGATCGTGCGCTCGTCGTCGTCGGCTTCGTAAGCGGCGGGAACAGGGACAGGAGACGCCTGGGCTTCGGTCGCATTGTCAACGGAAGTGAGGACGCCAGCGGCATCCGTGGAGTTGCGGCGAGAATGGGCGCGCCAGCCAGTGGATGAGGCGGAACTACGACGCGGCTGATCACGAGCGCCGATGAAGCCGAGGAGGTTCATCGACGCGAAAGAGCGCTGCCTAAGGTTTGAGTCAGCTCAGTGTTGCTGGCGGAAAGACCTAGTGGATTCCATGTGAGGTTAGGATGACTTACAGTCTGTTTCTGTTGGTGTTGGTGCCCTCGGAGGGACCGTTGACAAGACCGTTCGTGTCGATGTCATTCGTGGTGTTGTTGCGCTTGTGGCCGCGTTTCCTGAGGGGACCGAAAGCCATCGTGATAGGGTTGGAAAGGCGATGGAAATACGTGAGATTTAGTAGGTCAGCGTGAAATAGAAAAGAAGATGTAGTGAGACCATCGACAGTCACTAGACGTGAAAGAGAAAAAAATGGTTAGAGTGATAGTGATCTGGGGTTTAGGAAGCTTAGGTCTAGTGTGAAAGCCGTTTCAGTCAACCGGCAGAGATATCGGAGGCAAATTTCCTCTTGATTGACACTGTTTGTGCACCTTTGTCCGTTTGCTTCACACTTTATCTGTCACCCTCTTACCAGTCACAAGGCTAACCGAGAAGAGTAAGCCGAACGATGAATACCTACTCCATCTAGATGCGGCAGGCTGAAATCTTTGTTGTAACCTAGACCTGTTCAACAATGCGTTTCAATGTGAGGTTGACCCGAATGAGGTCTGACAACTTATGAGTGACTGGTGTTGAATTCTCCGGAGGGCTCTGCAAGCCGCCTACCGTGCCCCTCATATATACAATATCTACCCTGTTCCCTTTTTTTAATCCGTCATTCCGTCATCCTGATCTCGTTCCAACATGATTTAGCGACAAGGAGCATCGTACAGAAAATTTTCATAGCAGCCAATGGCAGCTACATTCACGCAAAGGGTAGTGACGTGAGCAGCATAACTACCCACATCACTCCCACAATGCTTCATCAACTTCATAACGTCATTCACTTAAGCCTCGTGCTCCTTCCTGAAGGTGTTAAGAGCGCCAGCAAGGTTGTACTGGCTCTCAATACCCTCGATACGGTGAGTAGAGTTGATGTTCTTGACAAGGGTGATCTGCCAGCAAGTAGCACCACCCTGGCGAGAGGTAATCGTGGAGTAGGCAAGGAAGTACTCCCAGATCTGTTCATTGGGTTAGTGCTGCGCCAAACATACGGAGTTAAGGAAACATACCCTGAACCACTTCTTGCCGTACTTGGCCTCGACCTTCTCACGGTTGCCCATCCAGTTGCGGTACCAGCGCCAGAGAGTAGCCGAGTAGTGGACACCGATCGTGTCAATGTGCTTCACCTCGAAACCAGCACCCTCAAGTTTGTCGATGACGAAACCAAGAGGAGTAGAGGCATCGGCACCAGGGAAGATGTACTTGTTCATGAAAAGACCCCAGATAAGGTCCTCGTACTGCCAGCTCTTACGCAGACCGGCAATCTGGAGGAAGAAGGTGCCATCGTCGTCAAGCATGTCGTGGACCTGGCGAAGGAAGCCAGACAGGTGGCGAACACCAACGTGCTCGGCCATCTCCAGGCAAGTAATCTTGTTGTAGCGGCCCTCGGGAACAGGGATATCACGGTAGTCCATGCAAAGGATGCGGCTCTGCTCCTCGGGGATACCCTCGCGGCGGAGACCGCTGTTGCCCCAAGCAGTCTGGTTGCGACCGAGAGTAATACCAGTAACGTGAGCACCGCAGTTCTTGCTAGCGAAGCGGGCGAGGGTACCCCAGCCACAGCCAATGTCCAGGAGACGCTCACCAGGCTTGAGGCCGATCTTCTCGCAGACAATAGCAAGCTTGTTGTCCTGGAGCTGCTCAAGCGACTCCTCCTCGTGGATGTTGGAGATGATACCGGAAGTGTAGATCATGCGAGGGCCAAGGAACCAAGCATAGAAGTCATCACCACGGTCGTAGTGGTCACGAACCTGCTCCTCGTCTGTGGATGTGGTTAGCGCAATGGCGTTTGCATACGGGACAACATAGCTTACCCTGAGAACGAGTGTGCATGATAACCTCGGGCATCATGCCAGTCAAGAAGAACCAGAACAGGCCAAGGGTGAAGCGGAAGTCAGCCCAGTCGTGCCTGTACTCGAGAACCTCAAGGCAGTCGCCCTTGAAGTCGACCTCGCCAGCAAAGTACTTCTCGTGGAAGGTCTCCATGGGGATCTTGTTCTTGCCATAGTACTTGTCACGATCATCCTCGCTGTGGAACTCAAGGTAGTGCTCGACGGGCTTGCCGGGGAACCTGGCCTTCTCGTTCTTGCGAGGGCTCATGGTCGAGGCAACAGTCCAGAAGGCCATCAGAATGGGGATGGCGCAAAGGATGGCGAAGAAGATCCATGTCTTGATGCCTCCGCTGAACTTGAAAGTAAGGTACAGCGGGATGCCACCAAGAAGAGCGAAGAGGATGTTGTTGTTGAAAGAATCGCTACCGGCGCCATCGGCGGGCAGAGGAGCGTTCTTGATGGCGGGGTACTGAAAGCAAAGCGCAGTTAGCTGGATTGTGCTCTTACGAGATGATGAAAGGCCCGTTGGTGGTCAATGGCACGCCGTCATGGTTCTTACCGAAGTCGTGCGCACGCCGTAGTTCTCCGCCGGAGCTGGAGTGTGGGCGGGAGGAGTCTCGATGAACTCGAAAGACTCCTCCGAGGGAGCCTTGTTGTCTGCCATCTTGAGCGAGCAAGACAAGCCACAGACGGAGGAAGGTGATGGAGGTGGTCAAGCAAGAAGAGGTTGGCAAGCTTGCTTTTGTTTGGAAGTGCGCAGCGGTGTCGCGGCGCACAGGGACTTGTGCGTGCGTGCATGGGCCAGCACACGACCACGTTTCAAGCCTGCCATCCCTGCACGCGAGCTACGGTGATCATGACCCCGCGGTTGACCGTTGACAGCAATTGGCTGCGAATCTGTGTTACTCGCAGTTCCGGTTCACTGCCATGTGAGCTCGGAAGTCTGCATGTCCAAACATTCCTAACTGGTACCGAGAATTACGCCAGCTCTATCTCTATCTACCCATTATTATCACTCCGCCAGTGCTTTCAGTGCCTTTTCAACCTCCTGCTTCACCACCGGACTCTTCTCCGTCTGCTTCTCCTTGTCCAGCCTCTCCCCAAGCACCTCCCTCGCAAACGCCTTTTCCTTGGTCTTCGCTAGAGCAACCAAGGCCTGGCCCCGTTTGAACCTCATGGCCTCGCTGAGCCCCTCATACCTGCTATCGAAGAGCAAGCTTCCCAGAACCTCTTTCATTGCCCCTTCGTTTCCGGCAGCGAACCCTTGGTCCTTGGAAAGGAGCCGCTCGAAGAGGGACTGCAAGCCTTCGAAAGTGGCAGCGTGAATGGCGCTGGCGTGGAGCGTGTTTAGCTTAGCAATGAGCTGAAGGGCGCGGAGTGTCGCCGTTGACAGAGCCTTATCTTGCAACACCATGGGATTGATGGCTGATTGGAGAGAGAAGATAGCACCTGTGACGGTATTGTCACGACTGTGTTGTGTTAGTATGGATATCATCCGTTAAATATAAGGGTCTCGACATACAGCTTCTCGTTTTTCCTGACGTCTTCGCCCGCGTCAACATCCATCGCATCATCGTCTGATGTTGTTGCTTCATCAACGATCGGTTCAATGATATCGAAGATAGTCTCGCTCATGTCAAGGTCGGTCCTAGCAGCAGCAACTTGGCCGAGTGGCTTAAGAGCATGCTGACGATACGTCTTGTTCTGACGTTTTGCTTCTCTGACGACGACCTGGACCTATGTTAGCAATCATCTTGTCCTCCTTATACAAAGGAGTACCAACCTTTTTAATCTGATCCGCAACATCCTTTTTCGCCCTCCATAATTGGCCACCTCTCTCAACGAATTTTGCAAACGCCTGAAGCACGACCTCTTTGCCCTCCCAGGACTTGCCGCCTAAAGCCTTGTCCAAGGGAGGCCAGATAGTCTCTGCGTTAGCCAGACTGATGTCTTCGATGCTCGATGCCAAAGCGTTGGCAGCTTCAGCAATCGACCTGGCCGCTGTATGTTTCAAGGTCCAGCGCGGGCTATCAAGGTGTTCCGTGGCTATTGCCACTATGTCCTTGACATACAACTGAACGGCACGAGAACCGCCGACATTATCATCCCAGGTTTTCGCAAACAGCTCTTTTACATGTGGCTCGCTGTCGTGCTTCGCCACAAAGATGAACGGCAAGAGCTCAGCGCTGAAAGCATTAAACCTGTCCGAGGCACTTTTTGAGATGGATTGTACAATGTCGCCTGAGTGTACGCGGTTACGGTCTTCCTCCGTTGTGAAGTAGAGCTTTTTGCTGAAGGCGATGAGTGCAAGAATTTGCTTGTCGGAAGCCTGCCGTGAAACGTAGCCAGCGGCGGCGGCATATGATGTCGAGACTGTTTCGTTTCGGTCGTAAATGTGCTTCTCGATGAGCTTTAGGAATTGATCTGCGTAAGGCTTGAAGACAAAACTGCGCCGGGTACTCATAGACACTAGAACTCGACTGACACCTGTTTTCGAGGGCAAGCCTACAGCGCTCTTCATTGCGCTTTCTAGATGCGGTGCAAGCTCATTCATGGTCGAGTCATCCACGAGGTCAAGGCACCTCTCGATGGCTTCCATAAGCGGGCTTCCTCGGACAATTGCCAATCTTGCATCATCGATCTTTTGCTCCGTCAAATTGTATTTGGAAGCATTGAGATGGTAGTAGTTGATTGCCTGTGGCTCGATAGAGCTCAGCAGAAGGAGAAGCCTCTCAACGAGCTCGGGGATGAATGGTCTCAGGGTCTTGGCACTGCTCTTCTTGATGATTTGCAACAGAGTGGCCAGTGCGAAGCGTTGAACCTCTTCGGCACTTGACTCCAGGCCGGACGAGGACAAAAGGAACGGAAGCACATGCTTGAGCATCGCTTCAGCATTCTTCTGTGACGTGTCCCCGGCTTCCAAGCTGCGCGTCAATATTCCAGTAAGCACCCGTGCAAGCCCCGCTGCAGCTTGTCGCACAGATTCCTTGATGTCGTCAAGCACCTTGAAACACAGGTTCCAAATGCGCCCGAGATATTTCTCGTACTATGTCATGTTAGCAGTGAGAACGATGCTAACCCACTGGCAATCATCTTACCTTATCGACGGTACGACCTTGAACAAGATCACCGATTGCGGCACAAGTGGCCTGTCTTACTCGCCATTCCCTGTTGATAATATTCACAAGCAGGTCTTCCATAATGTCATCAAAATGCTTGTCGATCGTACTTGACGAATCCTTGACGAGTGCGTTCCAAATGTCGTTCATTGATCTTTGGACGTTGGTATTCGGATCGAAGCTGAGACTCGTTAGCATCATCTCTTCACCACAAAAGATGATATCTAGTTCTTACCGATAGCGGTAAAGCTTGGGGTACAGCTTTGGATTTTCTGCCAGATACCCATCCACAGCCGAATCAGAGAGTACACTGCTGAGACCGAACCGGCCGAAAGCTGCACGGCTAGACCAGATGGCATTGTTTGCTGCCAGAGACATAAACCTGTAGACTAAGCTCGAATCTCCAACTTCCGAGGCCAGGCTAAGGATGTCCTTATAGGTAGTCACCGAGCCTTCGCCTGTGGGCAAGGCTCCTTCTTCAAACAACTGTGTCTCATTGGTGACATTACCCGAGAGGTTGGCCTTGTTGTCTGAGAAAGAGCCTACAAGGTCTCGAACCAAATCGTCCTTGAGCTGCCGGTCGCCCTTTTCATACACAAGACCCAGTCCTCGGGATGCTGCCTCTTGGACAACTTCGTCACGAGCAGAGAGGCAGTTCTTGAAAGCGACCTGGCACTGTGGCAAGCGTGACCGGACTTCAGAGAGTTGCCCGCAGAATTGAACCAGAGAAAGAAGCCAAATGACAGAGGCTTTCTTGAGCGCAGGTTTCGTATTTCTGCAGTTTTCAAGGACCCTCTCGAGCACACGTGCTAAGGTAGCCGTTCTAGAAGGTCCAGATGGCGTTGGAGCTTCAATGTCCATTTTGGGTGCCAAAATTGAGGCCTGCCAGCCGGAAGCGAGGCAGCTCACAGCTTCTCCAATAGAGAACTGAGCTTCGGCTTGCCGAACCTCGTGCAACTCAAAAATCTTATCTTCGACATACTTTAAGCTGCTATCATCATCTTTCTCGTCAGGGACCATGGCAAGATGGCCGAGCGCGAGAATAGCCTTCTCGTTTCCGGTTTTCGCATCTTCCATGAGCTTGTCTACCACTGCAGTATATTGCATGTATGACGCAATACTTTCAGGTTTGATGACGAAGAATAGACTCAACTGACTGATTGCGAGATGGCTTGCCTCTTTGAGGGTCTTATCTGTTGTGTTTTTGAGTACGTCGAAAATGATCCCCAAAAGAGCCTCTAGTGTATCTTCCAGAGCGGAAGCACGACGCCGTCGAGCCGCAAGCCTGCTAAAGTAGTATGCAATCGCAAGTATCGCTCCGCTCGCTTCGTTCAGTTGGCTGCCGACGGCTTCTTTCCACAAGCTGGCTTTCTGAAGCATATTTTGCAACGATTGCTCAGCCTCTGATGCAAAGACAGCGCTGTGCGTCGCCAGTAGACCATACGCATGAGCTGCTACCAGCCTCGTCTGCTCTTTGTTAGAGTATATGGAGGGTTTTAGTGATCTGAAGGCTGGTGCGGTCCGAGACATATCCAATAAACTTTCGGAGCTCAGCGAGCATACTTCAACGAACCACTCGCCGCAATTGCCTAGCCCAACGCCCTCGTTCCACAGAAGCCCCTCGTAAAGAGCACGTATTAGAGCCAAGACAGATTGTAGAATAAATCCTTGCTCTGTAGCGGCCCGGTTAAGATAACTCGTGACAGCATGCCGGGCATCCTGATCCGCTGCCACAGCTGTATCAAGCTTTCTTGCCCAGTCGATATCCACATTCATTGATATGCGATGAGCTCTCAGAGCTTCTGCCAAAAGCAACTGACGGCAGAACTTGGCCGTCGCTTCGAAAGCAAACGAAAAATGCTGTTTGAATCGTTGCACTTGAATGTCTGGGCGCCATTTGTCTGTTGTCGTGTGGAAACCGTCGGGTAAGGAGAAAAGATACACGACCATTTCAGTAAAGTCTGGAAAGGCTAGGTCCGATTCGTCGCCAATTTTGGCCTGGGATGAATGGAGCAACCGGGACCAATGAGGGTCAAGCCCACGGTGACCTTCCTCTCGAACTTCTTGGTTCTCAGAGGAAGGTCCGCTGACAGCAAGTATATCGATCCAGCGTGCAACAATGTCATCGTAAGGTAAACATCTGTTTGCGAAACGGACGGCAGCATACCTGGTGCTGCGACGGGGACCTGTTGTCGTTGTAGACGAATCCTCCTTCGTCATTTGCTGGAGTAGGAGGTCACGAAGATTGTGCTGTACGTCTGAACTAAGACGCACTGTGAGGGCACCAAGGGCACTTGAAAGCGCCTCGTCGATACTGAAAGCAGTGTCTCTTCCAGACGTATCCTCGCCCAGTGATTTGAAGAGCCACTTTAACAAGCTCAATGATGGCTCAATGAGAACGTCCTCAGGAGCTGCCCGGGCTAAGAGGCCAATAACTTCATAGCCATACCCACGGAGAGCGACATCCTCATCCGGGTTCGCTCTTGGCCATCCTTGGTCCTCAATGAATGCCCTCAAGCGTTGGACAAGGGTAGCAGCAACCACACGAAGATCAGACGAGGCGCCGTTGCGTGCCATGAAGTTTACGAAGGTAAAAATTGCCGAGCGCAGCTTGAGCGCTTCCCTTCCACGGGCAGTGACTGTGCCTTCTGCATTGGCTCCGTACGTGAGACCTTCCTCAACGAGGCGGAGGACACGGGAAGTGAAGGTTGTAGCCAATACGGATTTGGCGAAATAAGAAAGGATCTTCGTTTGAAGAGCCGGACGAGCTGGCAATGGTCCGTCTGGAGTTCCGAAGTAGACGTCGTACAATTTACTTACTACCCCCGCATCCTCCAGGTCGGTGTTTGGCAGGGTTCGCTTCAGAATATCATCCCCAATATCGGAGATACGAGAATTTGAATCTGCAGATGCGAACACAGCGGGGAAAAATCGCTCGCCATCATTAAAGAGGCCACTCGCCAAGAATTTTGCTGCCGTGACTTTCGCTTCGGTCAGGTTCAATCCACTCTCGGCAGCGGGGTCCCAGACGCCAGGCTTTCCATGAAGGGTCAGGAACTGGTATTCATCGGAAGATAGCCCAGGGCATGCCACGTTTGAGGCCGGGCCAGAAGACGCGGGTCGGACTACAGCAAACAAGATGAGTTTGCCAAACCAATGGGCCAGGAAAGTAGCATCTTCATCAGTGATCTCGAGCTTGTTGCGCAGCTCATTGTCGTCTTTGCTCCCCCGCGGTGGTAGTTGAAAGTGCGTCAGGAGCCGCAGCAAGAGATTGAACAGTTGGGATCCATGAAGTGCGGATTTTGCGGTGTCCCTGGCAAGGCCATTGATGAGGACGGGCAGGAGTTCCAGCCTCTCCCTTAGGGGCTGGCGTGCAATGCCTTGCTGAACGTAGAGCAGGTCAAAGTGCCGAATCAGTGGGGTGTCGGGATGATCTTTAAACTGTTTTAACAGCGCGGCCACGGGCAATTGGATGTCCTGGCCCTTGATGCGCGTGTTAACGTGCTGGCAGACAGCAATGACCTGGGTGTGCCTTGATCAGCCCTAGCCGTGGGGGACATGGCGTGCCGCGGAAGAAGGACTCGGTACCTTGTTTCGAACGCTGACATGGTCGGAAGCGAGCTTTAGCAGGAGCGGCGCGAGGTATGTCTTGAGTAGTGTCTCAAGCTTCGCATCCGTGTCGGCCAAGGCGATCCGGAGCTCAACCTTGCCGACCAAGTCAAGCTCCTTGGCTTCGGGAGATAGCGAGGCCATGGTGAGTTGCAGACGTCCGATCAGGAGCGGACCATGTGTGTTTTTTCCAGGAATCGACGGCCAGGCAACCTCACATTGCGTGTCGCAGCGATTACTGTACACTGGCTTGGGCCTAGGTTCGCCTCCCCAACTTAGCTCCCGCTGACCACATCCCTGCCCGGAGCCGGATCATCTCCGGGCGGACCTTGGCGCCAAAGCGTCATTGCCCGCGATAACGTCCGCCAGCTGCTGCGCAAACAATCACTCCCCCTCACCCACCACCACCTACCTTTGCCTTCCTTTCCTTGTGCGAAGCTTTCGCATCTCCCTTACTTGCTACACCCTTCCTCCAACCGCCGCCCCCGCCTCTTCTGACCTCTCCGTCCGCCGCCCGACAGCTACTGTCCCGTCGCATTCGCCTCACTTCTATACCCGGCCTATACTTTTCCTCCGTACCCTCCGAACCCTCCGACCGATCGCTCCACAAAGCCCATAGCCAGGCTTGCCCAACATGGACGACAACATTGCAAACTTTGCCGCCATCACCGGCTCCGACCCGCAGCGCGCTGGCCACTACCTGCAACTCACCGACAACAACCTTGAGCAGGCCATCCAGCTCTTCTTCGACAGTCCCAACCTCGACTTTGGCGGTTCCACCGCAGAGGCAGCTCCATCGCAACCTGCAGCTCGGCAGGATGATCAGGGAGTCATCCACATCGATTCGGATGACGAGGAAAATGTCTCGGGTGCAGCTGGCCACGACATGGATGCTGACGAGGCCATGGCCCGTCGTCTGCAGGAGGAAATGTACCGCGACAGCGGCAGCGATCCGAACGAGGGTGTTCGCGCGCCCATGGCACGCACGACAGAAACGCTAGTGGGACCGGGTGCCGATTATGGTGACGAGGACGATGGCATGCATGCTGCAATCATGTCGCAGATGGCAGCCCGGAGGCGTGGTGGTCAAGGTGGTGAGTGCATCTCCACGTTCCCTATTTTCATTTGTCCCGAAGATGCATGGTACAGCATAAATCCACGACAACGGATTGCTCCGCCGCTCGTGCTATGCGTCGATTTGGCCACGCGCCTGCGTACCCGTGTCGTTCGTTAAACATTGGATTTAAACATTAAACAGCTTGTACTGACTTGTATACAGCACGCCCAGGTATCTTCAACCAGAGAAACACCGCTTCCGTTTGGGAAGGAGAAGACGATGATCAGAGCGCCCGCCGTCGACACCTTGCTACAGCCACCGGTGGCGCATCAGAGACGTCATCAAAGTCCAGCCTGCTTGCGGAGATGTACCGTCCTCCGTTCGAGATAATCTCATCTCTACCTTGGGATGGTGCGCGAGATGAGGGCAAGGCTGAGGAGAAGTGGATCATGGTCAACGTGCAGGACCCTGCGATTTTTGACTGCCAGGTTCTCAATCGTGACATCTGGAAAAATGACCAGGTCAAGGAGACGATCAAGGAAAACTTCATCTTCTTGCAATACAACAAGGACGATCCTTCCGGTAACAGCTATATCAACTACTACTTCCATGCGCGTGACAGCGACGACGCGTACCCCCACATCGCGATCGTCGACCCCCGCACTGGTGAGCAGGTCAAGGTGTGGTCCGGTCCACCAGTTCCAAAGGCGATGGATTTCGTCATGCAGCTGCACGAGTTTCTAGATCGCTACAGCCTGAAGGTTAATGTTCGTAACCCAGTCGCGACACGCAAGAAGGACAAGAAGAAGGACGTCAACAAGATGACCGAGGAGGAGATGTTGGAGATGGCACTCCAGAACAGCATCGCCAATGATGCCCAAGGTCCCCGCGATGAGGACCCAGACGAGCTCACGAAGGCGGCTGAGGCCTCCGGGAAAGGCAAGGAGAAGGCGTCGGATGAAGGCGCTATGGAGGTTGATGAACCTGCTACGACGGGTGATGCCACCGCCACCGGCCCCTTTGCTTCCATTTCCTCCACGAACCCGCACACGGAACCAGATAATGACCCTAAGACGACTACCCGCATCCAATTCCGTCACTCTGGTGGTCGGATCATCCGCCGCTTCGCCCTGGCCGATCCGGTACGCCGCATTTATGAATGGCTGAAGGCCTCGCCACTTGAAGGCAAGGAGGGCGTTGAGTTCGAGCTCAGCTTCATGGGCAAGAACCTGATTGACCTTCTGGACCAGTCGATTGAGCAGGCGGGTTTGAAGAACGGAACCGTCATGGTGGAGCACATTGAGGGCTAAGGACGAGAAGGGGCGGGCGGTTCACTGTTGCATCAAGGCTCGTAGACGGGCCTAAGCGCGGCGCTGGGTACTCTTTTTCACGGGCTTGGAACGGCATCATGTGGCGTTGAGTGGAGTGGAGTGGACTGGACTGAACCGGAAAGTGGCGGGCGAAGACCCTTGAGCTCTTTTCTGGCTGTGGCTGGGGCGCAATGCGAAGCGAAGGAATGGTGGATTTCGCGATGACTACTGCGTCACTTTGTGCCTTGATGATCAGGCAAGTTTCGACATGTTTATGGTTTTATAGATCTGGCTGCTTCGATGGCTGAGCAGCTTATCGGCATAGATGCTTCGATATTTGATATTACATGAGTATATGCCTATCTGCACATACCCTAGTTGCAGGATGCAAGTTGGATTGTCTTGTGAAAGCTCTGGATAATTCGATCACGTTTTTCCCCTACTCCTAGCTATCTTTGCCACCTCTTAACCAAACTGTTGAGGTAAATCTGCTGGATCTACCAAGTGATTTTTCGGTGCTTGTAGATGGCGTTTACTTTATAAGTAGGTGATGCTGTGTAGCTGTGTTTGATGGCTAGATATAGACGGGGTGCGTTGCGAAGTAAACACGAACAAAAACTTGTGTAAGCAAGGGTACGAGCGTACTTCTCAAAGATACGAAGTATAGATGTATGTATGAGTATACGAGAATACACCACGGGGTAAGAAATCAAAACATGGGAAGGTCTCAAATATCTGATACATACAAGCGTACGCATAGACACGCCGTGGTATAAGATATACAGTAGCAAGAGAGTACCTACGCACGCTATGACGATCTAGGTGTAGGATAAAAATATGCGAGGGTATGAGGATAATCTTCAGAGATACGAGAGCATAAATATACGCAGGTCGAGGATTCTGTATACAACCTTAGTTATGAAGGGGCGAAGGCGGAAAGGTAGAAAGCAAGCCATATACGCTTGCATACAAGGTAACAGGTGGGGGATATGCAGACCGTACATCGTGCCGGAGCCACCTCTACTACGTAGACCGTCAGTAGTTGCATGTTCTCTAGCTTCATACCAGCAGCTACAAATATTCACAGGACAGCAACGCATCATCATCAGGGGCGAAGTCAAAAAGCCAGTCTCCTGAGTCCTGCTCACTCTCGAGCTCTACGTAGTGTCCGTACTCCTACGTCCACGACTCCACACCACCAACGCCCCAGCACGCCCGCCACACACAACGCGCCCGCAGCAAGCAGGCTAAGCTAGGCTAGGCTCTCGCAGCGCGCTCCGAAACAGGCGACGCCGCTTCCCGATATCGTCACCACCTGCGCCCAGTACGGCGCCTATTGCCGCATCGAGGGGGGCGCGCTAGCTTTTCGCGGTCTAGCGGCTGCGCGATGCAGTCTAGCTTCTGCGCGATACGGCCTAGCGGCGCGCCCGGCACGCATTTTAGACAGGCGTTTTGTCGTCGCGAACGTCGTGCCAGGGAGCAGCGGCAGTAATCGTACTCGTTGCGCCACCACAATGGATGGCGAGAGCGAGGGCGCAGGCGCGGTGGCGCGCTCACGATCGCGCAGGGGGTGTGGGCGGGCGTGCGCGATCTGAGCGAATGGGCGCTGCGGGCGGGTTTTGTGGTACGCTATAGGGGTGCGCGCGCGCGGCTGGGGTGCTGAGTGAGCGCGGCTCGCTGGAAGCTCGTGAGGGTGTTCTGGTAGGTGGTGAATTGAATTGGCTGCTCTAACTACGTCACGAGTGTGAGAGCGAGAGAGAAAGAGAGAGAGCGCGCGCGCGCGCGCGAGGAGAAAAAAGGTTAACCTATCGGGAATACGAGCGTTGCGCGTCGCGCGGATGGCTAGAGTACTCTACGTTAGGAGCGCTGATGGCTGCTGCGCAGCCGACGGCTACATACGACATCGAAAGCTTGTTGTCGCGGGGTTCTGGGCGTGGGTGGCTTGCTTGCCGCACGCTGCTTCGTTGGACTGGGGGGCCTTGGCGTTGGCTGCTCTAGATGCTCCCGCGACTAGAGTAGAGTATCCTCGCTGCCTGCCGTAGCTGGGGATACCGGGTTTATGTCCGCGGTGGTTAGATGCGGAATCCATGACGTGGGAGAGGGGTGAGTCCTAGATATAGGCGCCGAGGGCTTCCTTTTGATGTTCGAAGTGTGTCTCTACTACTACTACAAGTCTTCCCTTGCTTGCTCATCACTATGAATATCAACGTTAGTATTCCTCGTGCTGTGGTTTGGACCATGGTGCTGACCTTCTGCAGGAGCCTTCACAGAACAGAGGTAGAACTGTGAACCCCCCTGACTTCCTGTGTTGCATATACTGACCTTCTCAAGCCTTTGCGCTCCCGTTTACTAAACCAAGACTCAATGAGTTCTACGAAGCCAGCGTGCATAAGGAGCTGCGATTACCCATCGTAAGACGGCTCCCCGATGCGTACAGAAACCACTTCATCGCCATGTGTGGCGAATACGTCGGAACAGGTAAGGAAAGATGCCTCAACACTGGCCTTTTCTGCTTGAACGAAGAGAGTGAAGATGGAAACGGACTCTTCTAACCAAGATCCTATCCGCTTCTCTCTGAATTGGCAACAAGCTCTTCTTTGCCGGCGATTTTAACTGACAGTTCCCAGTGCTCTTCCTCTACTTCGCCTTAGCAGGCACACAAGTCGCCAACAACATCCCGTCATCCTCCGGTCTAACAGTGGCTCAAACCGGCTCGAATCCGCAACAGCTGCAATATATCGCCTTATCCTTTGGTTTCTCTCTCGCCGTCAACGCCTGGGTCTTTTTCCGCATATCCGGAGGCCTTTTCAACCCTGCTGTACGCAACATACCTCTTTCTGCATGTCCATCTCACTGCTCACACGGCAACGTAGGTCACGTTCGGTATGTGCCTCATCGGCGCGCTTCCCTGGTTCCGTGGCATCCTTTTGTTCGGCGTCCAAATCATCGGAGGCATTACCGCTGCGGCACTCGTCTCGTGCATGTTTCCTGGCCCTCTCAAGGTCCAGACTTCGCTGGGCGGCAGCACGACCATCGCGCAGGGCCTCTTCATTGAGATGTTTCTGACTGCCGAACTCGTCTTTACCATCTTCATGCTTGCGGCCGAGAAGCACAAGGGCACGTTCATCGCACCCGTTGGTATCGGGCTGTCGCTTTTCGTCGCCGAACTCACAGGTATTGAACCACTCCTTTCCCCTCTTCAAGCCACATCACAATCCACCTCTCACCCCAACACAGCCACTTACCTAACGCACCCACCATTCTAGGCGTCTACTTCACAGGCGGTTCGCTCAACCCAGCGCGCAGCTTCGGCCCCGCCGTCATCAACGGCTCTTTCGACGGCTACCACTGGATATACTGGCTGGGGCCGATTCTGGGCTCCATCGTCGCGGCCGGCTTCTACAAGTTCATCAAGATGCTCGAGTACGAGACGGCGAACCCGGACCAGGACGCCATGCAAGCGGAGATGCGGGCGCAGGCCAAGGTGCTCGAGGCGCACCAGGCGCGGCTGCAGCAGCTGCGCAGCAGGAGCGGCAGCGCCAGCAGCGGCGGGAGCAGCCTCGATGGCGGCACCGTCGTCGCTAGTAACACCAACGAGCACAGCAGCAGCGCCGCCGCCGCCGTTGCTGCTCACGCTGCTGCTCCCGCTCATGGCACCGCCGACACGAGCTCTCTCGGTGTCCCGCCCACGCCCGTCAATTCAAACGCCTCGGGCAATGGGGGCGGCGTGCAGATGCTGAGCGTGCTAGGCGGTGGGCTGGGCGCTGCCGGGCGTCGGCCCTTTACTGAGCGCGAGGGCAGCGGTAACAATTCGCGGGTTCTGCGTGACAGCCCTGCCATGGCGTAAGTTTTCTCCCCCTCTCCTCTTCCCTTGCTCCAACTTGGGTGGAAATGCCCGTTGGTGCTTGTGCGCGCAAAAAGCTGATGATTGTGTTTGATGGCGCAGCACTAACGATGACGCGTTCTACGGGCTGGCGCATGGGATGCATGGCTGGGACCGGAATGGCGATTATATGGCGCAGAGAGTGAGGCCGGCGAGGACGGAGAGCTGTGGGGTTTGAGGGTTGGTTTTGTGCTTGGTTTTTTATTTTTTTATTTTTTGTTGGGCAACGAGCAGGCATGGTGCTTGGGGCGTTTTGAGCGATTTGTCTGCGTACATTTGAGGGATTCCATGGACGATGATGGTGGTGTTTACATATTATAATGACGGACAAACAAAAAGCCGCAAAGGATCGGCGGGCTGGGCGGGCTGGAGATGGAAGCAAACCGGTTCCACACAGAGCTCGAGGCGAGGCGCGTGCCCGTCCGTGTAGCTGTGGGTTGGCTGCATTGATTGACGATAGGTTCTATTACTTTTTTTGCTCTTCATCACGATACCTCTTGCGCTCTCTCAAAATAGCCTGTTCTCTCCCCTCCAAGCCACCGCCGAGCCGCTACCTTCTAAACGACGCGTGACACCAACTCAACTCCCTTTGTTTCTCCTCCCTGCGCTCCAGAGGTCGCTCGCCCATTCCTGCCGCCGCATACGTTAATACCATAATATACCCCCCGACCCCTGCCGGCACACTCTATCCTGTCCTACCGAATCCCTACGCGGCCAGCCGGGCCAATTCCAAGGCAGAATGCGCCTCTTTTCGACGCTACTATACCTGCTTCTAGCACTGGTCATATTGGTTACTGCCGCAGACCCGACGACGACCGAAACGACCGAAGCTTCGACGACTGCAGCCGCGACAACCGAGAGTGACACCACAGCGACGTCAAAGGAAAGCAGTGCAACATCGGCCGCAGCGGAAACCACAACCACGGATGCCGCGACCACGACCGACAAGGCGTCGACCGCTGACGATGCTTCGACGACGACGACGGGGGCGTCAGCCTCCAAGACTTCCGCAAGCCACCTGTCAGATCTTCCCGATCTTCCCGGCAACCTCTTCCCTACAGTCGGCGTGCCCGACCTGTCGCAGGCGCCCTTTATGCAAAAGTCGACGTATCCGCAGGGCACCGTCTTCATCTGCGTGGGCGCAATCCTCGGCTTCCTGCTGGCATGCACCATGGCCTGGCGCGGGCTGATCGCATACAGCCTGCACCGCAGCGTCAAGCGGGCGGCCATGGCGCAGAGCATTGCGGACAACAAAGCGATGGCGCGGGGCCCCGGCGGGGGGATGTACGGGCCGGGACCAGAGAGCAAGCTCGGGTACGGCGGGAGCACGCTGTCGCTGGGCGAGATGCGCACGCCAGCGGCACCGGCCAACAACAAGTCGTCGCCGCTGGAGCGGACGCGGCAGCTGGGCCCCAGCGCGTCGTCGCTGTTTTTCAGCCCGACGGCCGACATGAGCCGCATGTCGCACTACAGCAACGCGTCCAACAACAACCGCTCGTCGTCGTATCTGCCCTCGGGCTACTACGCCGCCACCGCCGCGCCTGGCACCCTCTCCCCCGCCACGCCTGCCGGCCGCACCCGCAACAGCTACTTTGCCCCCTCGCCGCCCGACAGCCCCAATCTCCCGCCCAGCAGCCGCGACGGGCCCCTCCAGACGCCGCACAGCCCGCTCGGCCCTTACGGCCATGGCCATGGCTTCCCGGCTCCGCGGCCCACGCACAGCCGCGGCACCGACAGCGCCGCCGGCGCCTACCGCAGCACCAGCGAGCTCAACCTGAGCGCGCCACCCCAGCAGGGGGGCCGCACGCCCAGCGCCTACCTCGACGACCTGTTCGACGAGCACGGCCACGTCGGCGACGTGCCGGCCGCGCAGGACAGCCCGGGGCGTCGGCGCCGCTACTGAGGTCGTCCCTACCTAGCTAGCTAGAAGACGGTAGGTAGGTGCGGGCCCGGCGGACGCCGTGCTGTATACCACGTCCACCACCGGCTGGTTCCGCTCATGCTTTAATTCGCCCGCGAAAACACACCACACCACCTTGCCGCTGCGGGCGCCGATACACACCACACACCACTTTAGATGCATTGCATTGCATTGCCTTGCTGCTTGCTTGCTTGCTCGCTCACGCGCTTTCTTCCCTGCACTTGCCCCGTGCGCTGGGGGCTCGTTGCTTAATGATGTATGTACGATAGACGATGATGGTAATGGCTGGCTGGCTACCTAGCCCAGCAGGGGGAATGGCAATTGTTGGGCATGTGCGCAAGCGCTGTTATATAGCGACATAAAAGCGGACAGCTTTTCCCTATATATATAGGTCATTGCCGCGGCCTGCGGCGTTTGAATGAATGGATTTTTCTGTTTTTTTGAGTTTGGGGTGTGTGTGTGTGTGTTGTGGTGTGTGTGTTGTGTGGTGTGCTGTGGTGGGTGGGTGATCCATTGTGATGTGTGGTGTATGTGGTGCGTGCTGTGGATGGGGGAAGGTATAGATATATACTGTGGGAAGTAGCTTGATTAAAGGCATCGGGGGGATGGACGTTTTATTGCCCGTAACCAGATAGTTAGGGAGCCGTCTGTAGGGATGTGTATATCTTATATATATTTAAGCGTATACAAGGGCGTTCAATCACGCATGTAATAAAGATCGCAGCTATTTTGTAGATACGAAGGGTTCCGTAGGGACGTATTTATCTTTTTAGATATATATAGATATAGTTAGGTATATTATCTCTAGATTCTCTAGATGGACAGTTATAGCAAGGCGTCCATGTTCTCGTACTACCTCTACATTCACCATCTCTCTCCGCAGCGCACATCCTACCATCTACGGGCGTAGTCGTCAACGATTTACCTCCCGCACGTCCTCCTCCTTCTTCTTCTCCGCCTTCCCCATTCCTCCCTTGCTTGCTTGCCTAGGTAAACGGTAAACCCCTCCCCTTCCCCTCCTCCAGCACAAGCATCTCACCGAAGCAGCGCCGCTGCGCGTCGCTTGGTCGGTTGTTCCATGTTCCCCTCATTTCACGCTTCACGCTTCAGTGCGTACGAGTACGTGGTAGGTAAGGTTAGGTGGCTTCCGTGTCGTACACACCGGCTCGCCACCTCATTCTCGCCTACACATCCACACATCCACACTCGCTGCTCGCAAATGCTCTTCGTCCATCCGGCCACCAGCCATACGTATTGTAGTAGAGTACCTTTGAAGGTACCCACACCCACGCATTACGTAGCCAAGCCACGCGTAGAGCACCTAGAGTAGCCCTCATCAGGCCCCCTCACCTCACCAGGGCAAAAGTCACCTCAACTCCCAGTCCACCCAACCCACTCAGTCCACAGTCCACACCACAACACCGTCATCCCATCCCATCCCATCCCATTCCATCCCGTGAAGTCAAAGCCAAGGTCGAAATCAAAATCAAGCAAGTCACCAGGCAAGCGCACCACCACCACCACCACCTCGCCAGCAATCACAACCCCATCAGCAGTCGCACAAGCACAAGCACGCAGCCTCAGGCCTCCCACCCACCTGCACCCACGCCCACACCCCTCCCCACCCCTCCCCACCCCTCCCCACCTGCCCAAACCAGCACTTCCAAATCCCACAACCCAGCCCGCCGAGCAGCAGCGTCGGCGTCGGCTTCGCACCCGCTCTTGGCACGCACGCACCCAACGACATCATCACGCACCCACGGGGCCGCGCACGCACGCACGCACGAACGATTATGAGCCAAGAAATACTGGGGCCTCTATCGCTTGTCGATATCGCCGTGGCAAAAGCAAAGAGCTTATAAGCACGCGCCAAGCCCGTGGCCCCCGTGTGCCGTGAGAGGGTTGCGGAAGCTTGTCGTGACGTGCTGTGCTGTGCGTGCCGTGTGTGCTTGTGCTTTGTGTGGTTACGGATGAGTTGCTCTCGAGACGTGCTGCTCGGACGATGAGGTTACTACCTAGGAGGACATAGGCTGTCGTCCGTCAAGTAGGCAAGTAGGAAAGTAGGAAAGTAAGAAAGCAGGCAAGCAACCTACTCCTAACATAGCACATGGCATCCAATGTCTATACCTAGCGTAAAATACACAGTACATATCGTCCTACATACCTAGTTCAAACAGCCACACCCACCCAACCCACCACCACGCATGCACGCACACAACACAGCAAACCCTCAAAAAGAAATTGCCTGAGCAAAGCATAGCATAGCATAGCATAGCATAGCATAGCATAGTATTCCGCGCGCGCACGCAAGCACGCAAGCAGCGCGTTATATATAGAGCCACCTATGTATGTATATGTGTGTCCGATGCGCCTATAGCTACGCTACCTAGCTACCTAGCTACCTAGCTAGCTCGCAGTCTCTCTTTGCTTTTGCCCCGCACAGCCATAAGCGGGAGGATGAAGAGCAGCACAGCAACAGCAGTTTTAGCCGCCGTAAAAACCCCAAAAGCAGTGGCAGCAGCAAATATCCCATTCGTCCCTTTGTTAGATGAACAACGGACCGATGGTAAGACTTGCTGCCTGCCTGTCTGCCACTGATGGCATGCCGCCCCAAGCCGCGCGTGGGAATGCCAGTCTGAGTCTTTTTCGCCCAAGCCAATGTATGCACGAAGAAAAAGCACAGAAGCGGGCGGGGTTGGGAAACAGAGAAGAAGCCTGAAGCAGAGGGAAGCGGGAAGCGAAAACAAGCGACCAAGAAAAGGTAGAAAAAGAAAAGAAAAGGTAAAAAACGCAAAGCCTCGTCCAGCGTAGCCAAGCATGATAGACAAATTCGTGTATGTTCTTTGAGGCCGATTTCTCGGAACGGAAAGAAGACGCGAAGAGGGCGTGGAAGAAGTGAAAGAAGCGGTTCCAGGTCTCTGGACCCCGTTTGATAAAAAAGAACTTGTGACAAAAACATCTCTGCCGATCCTGTCTCTGCTCCGTCGTCCCAAGAACGCCGCAAGGTAGGGAAAAAAAAAGGAGCTGCGCCGGGTTAATCAAGTGCGAAGACAAGACACCGTTAATCGTAAACTCGTTATCGCCTGCGTGTCGCAAGTACTCCGGCCCAAGCCGGGAAATGACACGAGGATAGAGGGAGCTAACCAGACGACATGACGTATCCGGACCCGAGGTATGATGGTACAAACGTGCTGTTCCGCCTAGAAGGTTGGTGCACCGCGTAAGCAGCGGGCGGGAGGAGCAACACCGTGCTGTGCTAAGATTGCTGCCATGTGTTCCGTCGGCTTCCGGGAGCGGGCGGCGGTGCTACCACCCGGTCGGAGGCGCTCTTGTTTTTGTGCTTTTGTCCTTTTTCGGGCATGTGTGAAGGGAGACCATTTCCAAGCAGCAGCTAGCAGGCATAGCATACCAAAGTCATCCGTGTCTTACTCAATGTCTGGTGTATGGGGTCGTCACTTTGCTAAACGAGTGACGGTGCCGGGCGCCAAAGGCCCATTTAATCCATGTAGAAGTCGCCCTTGAGGATCCGCTCCTGGAAGGCGTCAGGAGCCTTGGCATGCCTGGGCATCTCTCTGACGGGCGGCTCCATCGTGGCTACGCTCTTGGCACGCTGGTGCACGGCGGGGTGGGGCATGCCGCTAGCGGCAGAGATGGAGGAGCGCTCGGCACGGCTACGCATGTTCTCGGCGAGGTTGAAACCATCTGTAGTAGCAGACGTAGTTAGCTTGTGATCGTCAAAACGTGGTTTCCCAAGAAAAGCCCTCTTTGTTCGCAAGCTGTGCGGCCAGTGGCGATGGAGTATGAGGATAACGCACAGGGCAGAGGTAGATCTGGGATCGTGGGTAGTGATGTAGACAGACCTCGACCCTTGTGTGCAGTCGGAGGAGAAGACGATTTAGCAGTGGGGCGAGCTCTACCATTGGCATTTCCGCTCCCGTTTCCACCCTGCTTCACATCGCGCAGCGCCCGAGCACCAAAGCTCAGCCTGCGAGCAAACGGCGACGTGGCCGTGGTGCTAGGACTGGAGCCAGACACGTCATCGTCGGCAAAGGGGCTCTCATCGACAGAGGCCGAGGTGGCGGACGACATGCTCTCGCCGCGGCTCCGCTGGCTGAAGGGAGACTGCTGGTTGGGCGAGCCCGAAAGCCCGAGAGTCGTCACCGAAAGACGACGGCGGTTGGCCTGGGCAGCAGCACTGGTGATGGGACCCGGGTAGTTCTGGCCGTTGGGAGGGGAGCCGGCGTTGTTGCGGCCGAAGAAGTCAGCAATGGCCTGGCCGGCGAAGGAGGAGCGACGACGCTCGGCGGCGGCCGGGTGAGGAGGCGAGTGGTTGCCGTCGGACATGTTGGAGTGGTTGTTGATGAGTTTGGACGAGGGAGAGTCGAAAAGGGATGGGTGGATGGATGGATGGAGAGATGGAAAGAGAGAGAGTGAGATAGCGAGAAGGTGTGTGTTGGTTGTTGGTAGGTAGGCAGGTAAGCGCCGATATAGGCAAGCACGCGTTCGGTTACGTCAGGGGCGGCGGATGGGGCAGTGCGAAGAGGGTAGTCGTAGGTAGTGTTGAGGAGAGAGGAAAGGAGGAGTCAGGAATTCGAGAGAATTGGAGGGGGCTGGCTGGAGGGACTAAATAACAAAAAAGGACGACAGCATTTAGAGGGACCGACGATCGCACAAGCCTCGTCAGGCCAAAACGCGGGGAAAGGCCAGGGGGGCTTGGGCGCCAAGAAAGCTTTATCATGCCATGACCAGCGAACGGAGCGAACGGGGCGCAAGAAGGGCCGGTTGACGCCGCCGCCATCACTTCCGCACGTGAGTCCATCACGTCATGCAGGTGTTCGCGTCGTCCATGAAACATCGCAGATTATGCTCTTTGCTCTCAACTGCTGCTGTGTCCGGCCCGAAGAGGTTGCCGCCGATCCCTGCATCTGTCCATCCACAACCTGTGCGTGGGTGCTACCGATTATATTGGGCGCCGGGAGGGTGTGCCAGCACCCTGCCTCATTGGTGAAGAAAAAACCGGGCCCAAAATGACCCGGCCCTGCCTGCGACAGCACAGTGACAGCGGTATATTATTCTTGTCTCTTGCGGAGTCCGTCGAGAGACCCTCTCGTGATATCCGGCGTCCAGCATGGTTCGACGGTGGTTCGACTGCCCTGCCTCTTTCCCCCACCCGCATCTCCTCCCTCCCCCTCTCGGAACGGTCCGCGACTTGCGGCGGGGCCGATCAGATCACCTACCTACCTATCGACCTGAGACTATTGCTCCTGGCAGATAGCCGTCCCTTGCTCGCCAGATCTCGCCGCCGGAGTAGACGCTGCGCTCGCTGCCCGTGTACTCGTAGCTTGTGCTGAGGATCGCCGCGTTCGGGATTCTGAATCCCTATCTCGGCCAAGCACGTGCCGGAGATCCATTCCTCGACTCGTCAACATGGGCTCTGTCGTCAGTACCTACATTATTTCAATTCAAATCCTTCGGCAGTAATCCGTAGCTTTAATCCTTCGTCCGCCGAAACCCACCGCCCCAGCTACCCCACTGCTACTAATCTAGCCGCACGCGATGATGGATCCTGGTGGCGGCATGGCGTAGCAAAAACTCAAGTGGCTGACTCCAATGACGGAGTCTTTGTGTTGATGTGTAAAGTAGTACGTACATTCCTATGATCGGATCCTGACCGAGTTATTGGGTATCGTTGTTGTTGTTGTTATCATGATTACGTGCTATCGTTGGTGTTCCATTGCATAGTGGGGGGCATTCACGTTTACGCTTCCCCTGATAGCGTCGTGTGAGGCCTTTTCCACTTGAGCGTGTCCGCTTTCAGCACCAGCGTGTGTAGCTGTGAAAACTCAAACACACTTCCAGTAAATGCCAAACGTCGATCCGCCGGAAGATGGTGACATTAGCTCTGACGGTTACACAAACCCGTGTTGACGCTGCCATGAAACTCAATCTTGGGTACATTAGGAGTTGTTCGTGCAGTCGCAAACCGGTCACGACTAAATCGACCGAGCCTTGGTATTACGGCAAGATTCGACGCTCGGCAGGCAGTTCAATGGCAACTCATACCGAATTCAACCACGAATCACAATGCACATCGTCTCAGTGAAAGATTGGCTCCTTATTGCTGCTACTACTTTCAGCCCAGAACAAGATTGGTCAGAGTGAGAGATGGGATAATGCAAACGAGTGATTGATTGAACACTTTAGGAAACAAGCTACAAACGACTAACAAATAACAAACTATTTCAGACATCCGCCCATGAATGAGTGACCTGATCGAGCGCCATGCAAAATAAATATACAGACAGCCACCAACGAGAATATTTCAGACAGCCGCCCATGTACAAATCCTACCAAGCAAAAACAAACATCACAAACGAACGATCCGCCATAGTGAAAACGACAACAGCAGGCAGGCGGCAGCGAGCCAACAAATCTAGAAAGACTGACGATGACGTGTAGGAGACTGGGTACAGCGTTTTCCTGGGAGTTTTGCTCCGGCAGAGTCGACTGTTATTTCCTTGGCGGGTAGCGATCAACGAGGCTGGGAACCAAGAGCTCGGAGGTCCCTCAAACGCTGGACATAACTGGGAGGGCCTTCTACTTGAGCCATAGCATGGTCGAGCATCTCAAGTTGCGATTGGTCGATTGGGTGAGCATTTTGGAAAATCGTACCCAGCGTGTCAAGGATAAAACCGGGGGCTTGGCCTCCACGAAGGTTGATGAAAAGGTTCCTCTTGTCGTCCGTCTCGCCATTTGGTGTTGCGCGACTCCAGGTGATACTGTCGTTGATGTCCTTGTTTTGGTCGATGACAAATCTGAGGATGTCAATCAAGATGCCACTTGCGTGCAGGGCGGCGACTCCAGGAGATATCTGTGACTGTCTTTGGTAGGTTCTCTGGATATCTCCAACATGCTTCTTGAGCATCTCGCCACATTGGACGACGTCGTAAGCTCGCTGGCCTGTTGCCAATGAGTTGGGGCCGTATTTCTTGTAGTTTTTGAAGGCCTTGCAGGTTCCTAGGATCTCCAGCTCCACCCGGCGAAAACGGGCCTCGGTCTCGAATTGCGGTGTGATTTCCTGACGAATCTCGTACAAAAACTCATCGTCTATGATGTTTATGAGCCGCTTCATAGCCTTCATGTAAACTTCCGCTGCGTCTTCGTCTGACGGCTTGAAGATTTCGAGAACCCTTTGCAATTCCTGTCGCATTTGCCTGTAGCCATCTTCTTGAGCGACGTTTGGAGAGCGGAAGGCCCATTCGGATACCTGGGCTACTCCCTCAAGGCCTCCTTGAACCCTGTCGACAAGTCTTTCGGGAAATATGACCGGCTCATTAGGTAGTTGGTTGTGGATTTCGGCACCATCATTGGTGAACTGAATACGACCTGGAAAAACGTTGTCCTCTGATTCAGGTTGTACTTCGAGAAGTTCATTCTCAAGCCAGTAGATGTGCTAAAGTGAACAGTTAGTTAAGTGACCGCTGCAAAGGAAAGGATTGTATCATACTTTACAAGCGATATTGCCCTCACCGGCACCACAACTGCAACGAGGTGGCGACGGCTTCTTTCCAAAACGTACAGTGACACGGTCCTTGAGAACAAAGCTGTAGAGCCGCCCCGCCCCGGTTCCTTGTTCTTGACAGTAGCTGAGGGAAATGTCTTCATTATCTTCGTCTGTGCCCATTTCAGCGCGCCTGCGGGCAAGCTCGTTCAGGTTTTCGAAGTTGTATTCCATATCAATGGACTTTTCGTTTGGAGAGGAGGATAGATTCGAGTAAGAGGTCTGAAGGGAAGACGAAGGCGAGGAAATTGATGCTGCTGAAAATGAAGAATTCAGAAGTACCAAAGAGACAGCTATATAGCTCTTCACTCACAGACCAATGCGGCGCAAGCAGCACCCAGAAGCAAATCTGTCTCCAGACCTCCAGGCCCCCAACCCTCGCAGAAGCGCCTAACTGCCTACAACTCCAACACGCCATCCAGGCACCGCCTGTCGCGCGCAAATCTGGAGGCGGTTTACCCGCGAGACCACGGGCCAATTAGTCGATCAGCGCGGCAAGCCCCCACAGAAAGCCATGCACGGCGTTAAAGAATTCCTCACGATTCCACGGGCATACCGCCTCTCGCGCTATGATCGGGCCCTCTTGTGGTACCTACTGAGCTGAAGCTGCGCTTAATGAGCGGTCCCTTCACCGGGTTATGCGGCGTACTGTTCGGCATCACCGACGATCCGGCCGGTCAGTGTGCGTGCGCCCATGTCCTCGACCAGGCACCAACGTGCCTGGATTCGGTGTGTGGCTTTGGGAGGCCTGTTGTTGAAGATCCGGCTGCGGCGAAGCTCTACGGCATATGCCGCCCGATGGCCGGCGCGCGCGACGAGAATGCCCTCCGTGAAATTGTGCCCTACTCTCTTGCGCTTCTCGCGTCTGTTAGCGACATGTCGGTCAAGGTGGCGCCCATGTTGGTCGGCAATTGATGTGATGTCGTCGTTGTTGTGGGGGTGGGGCCCGCCAAGTCCCTGCAACCTGGGCTGTGCAGGGCCCCGGCTGTGGCTTTGTGGCTTTGTATTGGCTATTTTTTGCACGGGCGCCCGCGCACCAATCGATAGCCTATCGATCCAACAATTCTGAAGTGAGATCTCTATTGTAAGGCTTATTTCGCTAAACCACCGTCTCTTAATTACATCTTAACCACCCTCCCAAGGCTTTCCCAGTGATCGACTCATGATGGTTGACGGGCGCTTATATGATGCCCAGTGTATGGAGGCAGTATACAACAACAACATGAGGTCCCTTCCAAGCCGCAATGTTGGAGACAACGTGTTTACAGCCCTGCGCTATTTCGGTAACAAATGAATAAGGCAAAAGCCTCAAAATCTCGTCCGCACAGACCAATGGCATTCACACCACCTTGGACCAGTAGCAGAAGACACCAGCATAGATAGAATCGAGTAGAAAGAGCACCACGCCACAAATTGAGCCATAGAAAGCAAAAATGAAGGATTCAATTCTTCCGAAAATCACAAAGTTACGCTAAGAAATGTGCTCATGAGCACCCCAACCTGCATTGCATCAAGTTGTAAAACGAACGTGCCGGGTGAGGGAAGCAAGCACTAGGGCTGGTAGATTGCTTGAGTGGGCCAAGCTTGGGGTGGGTCAAGGTCAAGGTCCGCCCCCAGACAATCGACCGGTCAGACGTATCAAGTCTAATGACACATGAGCCTCCAGGTCGCAACTGAACAGATACCTGAAAGTGTTCATACCTGCGGGGCAAGTCTAGTGCCCACCTCCTCCTGTGCCTGATCCCGCGGTGTAGACAGATGCTTCCCGTGAGCTATGTTGCGAGTTTTGCTCATTCACTCGCCCTGACTCCGCTGCATACCGTACAGAAACGCCACCCCAAGGAATACCGGAATACTCTCGAGGATATCTTTCTAGGTCTCCGGGATCGGCCGGGTTGTAAGAAGACCCAGCGTGCTCTTGGTTGACCATACGCCGCTCGTTGTTCTCTTGCTCATCCCTAGTCCTTTGCCCTAAAGCAGTGAGTCAGTATAATTGAGCACCAACTGTTGCACAGAGCAAAACGACTTACTGTATCGCCTCTGTGATATCCTGTTCTGCATCCTTCGCCGTTCCTCAGGATCTTGAATTCTGGTCCAGTCTTCCTCTGCTGCCTGGTCTCCACTTGACTGCTGCTCATGAGACATACTGGATGAAGAAGCTTGACGTTGCGGTGTAGCCTAGGGTCGGCAGTGGTCTAAATGTGGGACGGGACTGAGGACTTGACTTGCGGCGAGGCTTGGATTTGTGGTTCGTCGTAGAAGGAGGGCACAAGATGTGTAGGGGAGTGTGCTTTGAGAAAGCAGAGACAGAACAGGTGCGGACGGTGCTGAAATCTTTGAAGCAAGTGGGAAATGAATTGCACACAGTCTGATGTTTGAGATGATGGCAATTTGCACTCGAATTCAGAAGGAAATAGATATAAAAAGGTTTGGCCAACAGGCAACTGCGACGCTTATGGAAACGTTTACCAACCGCATAATGATTGAGGGTCAGCCCCCGAAGGTAAGTGGCTCAGTCCAACTGAGTTCTATGCATAGCCGGCGGTGGCTAAGACGTCCTGATGGAGTAGCAACCGAGGGCCTTAGGCGCCGCATGCCTTTTGGGCACACCAACGAACCATCTGGTTGGGACTGTTTTCAGCTGTACAGGCCCTCCCAGCACTTGATGATCAGTATGTGTATGACTGAAGACTGCGGCACGCGAGGACCTTTGGTCCCCGGATGACGCAAGATAAGCCTTCGGTCACACATCTTGACCACAGACAGCTTGAAGCTCGTGGGGTACCTGCATCGATCCTTCCGCGTAGATTGCGGCGAGGGTTCTAGATGTCCGCCAATGCCTCGCCGTACCTGCAACGTCATCTCAAAGATCCGCGTCGGATCTGTCATGAGACAGAACGGCACAAGTAAACATGGCAGAGATAGCACGCAAGCCGTAAGACTGAGCAGCTGGGTAGACGGCTTTTACTTGCTCTTGGCGCCGCTCCAAGGCATTGTGCCCTCGTGCAATTGGTCCGGACGTCGATTTCAAGCTGAAGGGCGCGGATTTCGGAAAACTTCGCCGTCACACTGTATATTGCCCCATCCAGGATTGCTCGGGTGGTGGGTTGCGATGTGGTGATGGAGTCTGCGCTAAGGTGCAACCAAGATTCCGGTCAGCGACGAGGGCATTGGGCGCGAGGAGCAGCTTCACCGACGAGCGGCGTGGGGGCCAGGAGCGAAATGGCAGCGGAGAAGCTACCCATCGTCGGTGAGAAGACAAGAGACGGCGTGCATCGACTAGTTATCACGGCGAGAGTCTAGAGGAGGAGTGTGGTCGAGAAAGACGGTGACGGCAATGGTGACGGCGATGGTGACGGCGCGGAGGGCAACGACGTCAGCCAATCCGATGGGCTCGGTGGGCTCGCTTGACCCCACAAGGGCATGGCGGCATAAGGCACACCCAAGGCTCCCAGGCTGCAGACCGCCCTAGTCAAGAGCATCGTGAGGGTGTCTGACTGACCGGTCGCAAGAGAAATCGTGGCACGGTTTTTCGAGGGCAATCGGGCATGTTCGTCAAGTGATTAGTCCTGCTGCTCGACCTGAGACACGAGCAGTAGGGTGGAGTAGACGCGGCCCTGCTAAAAGCCTAATTTGATCTCCCACTGATTGATGAAGTATGCTTCAGGGCCATGGACAGACGCAAGAGGCAGGCAAATCGTGGGGTCGACAGGTCAACTTGACATTACAGTTGCCTCCCGACAATATTAGTCGCTCGGGACAGTGCGATGCGCAGGGCATCTGGAAGCACTTGTCGCCGGCCACGGGCCAAGCTGAGACGTTCTTCATTCCGCTTGCTGCTCGTGGTTGAGGGAGAGCAGGAGAGGAAAAGGGCGCGCGCGAAAATTTGAACTGGGCAAAGACAGGCTGAGTCAGCGGGGCCGCGTGCGCCGTGCCCAACCGTTATTTCCCTCTCCTGCCTCCGCTCCCTTTCCCTCTTTTTTTTTTTTTTTTTCTCCTCACACACATTCGTAACTACGAACGCATAATCAACCGCCAATTCCTATCTCCCATAGCCTGGTCGGTCATATTGGCGTACCAGACCAATCCTTCGTGGCAGCGCAGGTGCTTTCTGTTCTGGAGGTTCCGGTGCCCAGTGTCGTCGCTGTGCCGGAGCCGCCTGCGTGCCGTACATACCACCATTATATCGTGCAATGTGCTCTTGCGTGTGACGCGTGCAAATATGCCCCATTCCCGTCGCCAGGATCAGCCTCTGTTGCTTGGTGGCCCCCCCTGACGTGCCATGTCATGTCCGGACGGGCAGCGCCACCTCTTTTACCGGCTGGGCTGTCCGCGGCCACGAGGTCTGCTCGCCCAACGCCGTCATCTTTCTGCGGCATCCCGCCAAGTAGACCCGGAGCCTATTTTACTCGTACGCTCCTGGCTCGTTTTCCTTCTCAGTATGCACGCGCTGGCACGCCTGGCCCCTGGCAGTAGCGTAACTTGACGACAACTGTTTACAATCTCCTCCGCTCTCCTCCGCTCTCCTCCGTCCCTCCTCCGTCCCTCCTCCGTCCCTCCTCCGACAACCATGGCTTCGGCTCTGAACAAACGCCAGCAGGCGCGCAACGAGCGCGCTCTCCAGGACCTGATCAAGTCCGTCCCGGGCAACGACAGATGCGCCGACTGCGGCGCGCGCAACCCAGGTTCGTCCTTTCGCTGCCCCAACCTCGCGCTTCCAGCTAACTCAGGTGCCTCCAGGATGGGCAAGCTGGAGTGTAAGTCCGAGTGCATCCTACCCTCGTTTCCCCGCCGCAACCCCGACCTCTCCGCCGCCGATCGCTGGCGACCGATTGTCCGCAGGCCTCTGGCAACCGTGGAATGAAAGCTGATCAATGGCTTGCACGTACAGTTGGGCATCTTCATCTGCATGCGGTGCGCAACCCTGCACCGCAAGCTTGGAACGCACATTTCAAAGGTCAAATCCTTGAGCATGGATAGCTGGAACAATGAGCAAGTGGATGTTAGTGGACCGCCACCGCTCCGGCGTGTATATCTGATGTTAATGCCCGGCAGTACATGAAGCGCACAGGAAACGTGAACTCCAACCGCGTGTACAATCCCAACAACACAAAGGCCCAGATACCGGTGGATGTGGATGAAGTGGATGGTGCCATGGAGCGATTTATACGACAAAAGTACGAGCACAAGGCTTTCTCAGGAGAATCGCGACCAACCACGAGGCACAACACAGGAAGCACCAGCTCCGAAGACCGTCCCCCGCCACTACCGCCGAAACCCGGAAACCGCCTTGGCTTGAACTTGCGGAAGCCGTCTGCGCAGCTCGATGCGGTCAGCCCTCCGATATCTCCAGGATTGAGTGGCTTTGGGGATGTGTCGCCGCCAAGAGTGAACAAGGCGTCAAGAGTGTTCGGCCACAACGTGCGGAGCGCTTCTGCAGACAGCTTTGAGAGCAAGCTTCAAACGCTAAAAGACATGGGCTTTCCAGACGAGAGGCGCAACAACACGGTGCTTAAAGGCCTCAATGGCAACCTAGAGAAGTCTGTGGAGACCTTGATAAGACTAGGAGAAGGTGGCAGAGGTACCTCAAGAAGTGCATCTGGAGCGGCGTCGCCTAATCCATCAAGCGGCGAAAATGTAAACGGCGTCACGATCGGCCGGGCAAGGCCGTCTGCGCCTGGTCAATCCTACAACCCGTTCGATAATTTTGGTCCTGGTCAAACAGCACCGCAGCAACAACTTATGCCCCTGCAGACGCAGCAGCCTCAAGCGAACGGCTACGGCGCCCCCCCGAATCCTTACAATCCGTTTTTTTCCAACTCGCAACCTATGTCTGCTCACCCAGGATTGGATCAGTCTTTCCAAAACCTTCAACTCTCTCAACCGCAGCCGCAGCAGCCAGCGCCGCTATTTCCGAACCACACTGGAGGTCCTGGAAACCCAAGCGTTGCGCAGCAGTCGTACAACAATCCCTTCATGCAAGCGTTCACACCCCCCCCGGTTCCACAAATACCGTCGCAATATCAGACTCCCGCGCTATACCCTCAACAGACAGGTTTCCAGCAACCCCAGCAAAGTAATCCCTTCCTCAAGACCTCTCGCTCGCAAATCTTTACGCCCAGCAACCCGTTCAACTCACAGATGTCCGGCACGCCGACTTTTGGCCAGGCTTTCTCGCAGTCACAGGAACAGGGACAACAATTTCTCCAGCAAGCTGTCGAGCCACGACAGAGCCACTCGTTCAGCGGCCCGAGTTCGGAATACCAACAGCCGCAACAGCAGTTCCCAGCGCAAGGTCAATACCAACCGACCCAGCAGCAAGATGTTAGCCAATTTGCGAACCCATACCAACAGCAACAGCAACAGCAACAATACCAACAGCAGCAATTCCAACAGCAACAATTCCAGCAGCAACAATTCCAACAGCAACAATACCCACAGCAACAGCAACAACAATACCAAGTGCCGCGACGCGACAAAAACTCTATATTGGCACTTTACGGTCAGCCGCATCTTGCCCCTCAGCCAACAGGTGCATCGCAAGCAAATGTGGCTGAGGGCCCCAACGGTGTGCCACAACGCAGCGTTACTATGCCCGTTACCTCCGCTGCGAACGGGGAAGTGTCTGCGACTCCTGGGTCTCACAACCCCTTTGCCCCAGGTGGCGCTCAACCGGCTGGAGGTGCTGGGGGCACTGGTGGTGGCGGAAGGCACGTCAGCCAGGAGAGCGTCGATTTCTCGGGGCTCATGAGCGGGCGGCACAGCCCAGACGCGTTTGCTGGGCTCAGTTCGGGGTTCAGATGAGGGGCAGGCAGCGGGGGTATTATCAAGCTTGGCTGGCGACAGCTGTTCGAGCCACGTTTACGGGTGGCCGGATTGCAGTGTTTCACTCACCATTGGGTATCAGCAAGGCGTTTGCACGTGGCATTTCATAGCATCGGGTTATACGGGAGGCATTGGTGGGTTTTGTTGGGCATATCTGGCGGGCAGGGGCCAAACGAGCGCATGGGTTATAGGTGTACAGTCGAATAGAAATAATATGAGAGACACTAGGTACCTACCTACATGCCAGGGTCCGACTAGGACGGTAGCTAAGGGTTTAGTCGTGTCCGCATTCCGCGTGTAGAAGGCTAGCGCGACTGGGGAGAAGCAACGCGCGGAGCAGTTCATGCAGTCGCATTGTCGGCCACGATTAACCGTAAGCGCCGGCCACGATGGTGGCAGAGATTGGGTGCCGACTGCGGCTGGCCAATGGCGTTGCACAGGCCTGTGATGCGCCAGACGTCACCGAGCGTCGGGCCTTGGATTGGGCCCGGCCGGCGCGTAACAGGTCGACTATCACGAGAAATTCCAGGTACTTCAAGACTTAGCTACAGCTCACTCTTCTGTGCATGCTGACTGCTGACTATCGTCACTGCCTCAGCCAGCTTCGCCCTCTTTCCCGCTCTTGCTTCTACCTACCCCGCCTTCTCCACGCCCACATCCGCCGACTCGACTCGACTCGACTCGACCTCTCTGCATGCGCCTTCGCCATCTTCTCTAAGCCATGAACAACCAGAGGCGCCATGGTCGCCCAGACGAAGAGCTTTTCCTGGGCGGCGGTTCTTCCAGCGCTGGCCCAGGAACCCCGACTGTCGGCCCGCTGAGGATAAACAAGGCTGCTTCACCTCCGCCGCGCGCAGGCTCCGCTGGCAGCTTGGTTGAAGGCATATCGCGCCCTCCGCCTGTCCCAAATTATCCCGCCCCGCCGACGAACCCGCCTACAGGGCCTTTGCCCTATCCCGACGACGGGCTGCGCCAACAAGCCGCTGCAGGACGGCGCGTATACACACCTTTCTCTGATCACGAGAGAGGCTCAAAAAACTCCACTCCTGAAGGTGGATATGGACATCCTGGGGGCTCAGCAGCTTCTGGGTCTCCGCGCACAAGGTTCGACGCGAACGACCCAAATAGACCAACGGTGTCTGGTTATGCATACCCGCCATACCCAGTCGAGGAGGGACGTGCAGGAGCTTCTTCTGCTAGGCCTGCGGACAGGCGCGCCACACCCAAGCCGCTGCCGGAATCTCCTGGGCCGGAGACGCCAGAGAAGGAAGATGACTTCTTCCAGAAAGCGCCGCAGCGCATGCGCTCGCCAATAGAGCAGCAGAGCCAGCGTCCTACAGAAGCGGCACCAAATCCGAACCCTTACCCCGATTACCACCAACAATATTGGCCGCCTCCAAAGCCAACCACATCTCCACAACAGAGCCAAACGCTCAGAATCCCGAATCCCAGTGGCGTTAATCGTTTAAGCTCAACCGCGTCGACTTCTACAACAAGAGCTCAGAGGGGCTCGCCACCTCCTCCAGAAACACCCATTGGCGATGTTCCTCCTGGAGGTGGCATCGAAGCTAGATACGCAGCAGCCGGAATTGCGGGTCCTTCGACGCTAAACAACCTGCAGTCGCAGAATACGGCGGCAGCGCAGCGTGCCGCACAATATGGGGGCTTGCCGCCTCGGACGGTAACAACCTCTCCTCATCCGCAGCAACAGCAACCCCCAAGGAGGCCATGGACGCCAACTGAAGCACCAGGCTCCGCTCCCCACGGACCTCCAACCGTATACCAGGGCGATTCACAGGTCCACCCTGCGTCTCATCCACTGCCACATCCCATACAGAGCCCACCTCTGCAGCCGACAGCTGCACCTCTGCACCCGGCCGCTGCTCAGCCTGTATCAGCGCAAGCTACTCCAGATCTGGCTAATCAAGCATTGGAGAATGACTTCCAGCGGATGAATATGAACGAAGAGCCGCCGCCAGCTTATTCGCCTCAGCCGGCTCAGGCACAAGGCTATCCCAACGAGAAACGTCCAAGTACTACTCAGCCTGCACCAAATACTGGAGCTGGGGCTGGTGCTGCTGTCATGGCCGATTCTAACCTACAGCAACATCCAGCTTTCGCAAACGATCCCCGCATGCAGCAACCGCAACAACCGCTACAGCAACAGCAACAGATGCAGCCAGGCCCTTCATCGCAACAAGCACCAGGTGGCGGCTTGACCCCACTTCAGATCCACCCATACCAGCAAACCACTTCTCCGGGACCTGGGCCAGGCCCGGCATCACCCCCACCACTTCCGGAAGGCTGGATTGCCCACCTGGATCCCAATTCTGGCCAATATTACTACATTCATCTACCGACACAGTCTACCCAATGGGAGTTCCCAAAGGGCCCAACTCCTCTTAGCCTGAGCGAACCATTATCACCCACCGGCACGTTTGTGAATCCCCTGACATCACCGGGCCTTGCAAGCACCTTCTCCAAACCGCTTGCCTCCCCCGGTTTCCCTGTGCAGCAGCACGCAACCTATCCCGACAACATGGCTGCTATGGCTGGCCTTACAAGTCCCACTGCAGCAGGCTTCACCGGCCCCCCACCACAAGCCGGTGTCGATATGTACAAGGTTCAGCCCACGAACGGTGTGTATTTTGGCCCTTACTTGAGGTACACAAACATGGACATTGAACGTGGACTGTGGCTCGGATCCATTCTACTGGTGACCGACGCGCCGCAACCACCAACAATCCACATCCATCAGAGCGTCGATCTTTCTCCCAATCCTCGTCAATTGAAGGCCAATCCTATCTTCAGCCACCAAAGGTGGGTTTTTTATAGATATGATATCGACCTGAAGATGGAGGAAGATCATGGTGCAAAATGGACATACGCCGTCACCTCGCATTTAGGCTGCACTCGCTACGAGTTCTTAGTCGCCGGCCGCTACGAGACAAGTTGGCGCTTTATTGCGCATTCTGGCAATGACTTCGCACTCAACGTTAGCGCCAACGAGCGTACTAGACTCGGTGGAGTGGGATTCATGTGGAAAGACATCTTACAGAAACACATTGAATGTGGCGGCTTCCACGTCCAGCTTGGTTTGGGCGACCAGATTTATGCTGACCGCATATGGAAGGAAATTCCCGTGTTAAAGCAGTGGACGGCGACTAGTGGCAAGGACAACAGGAAGAATGCGCCGTGGACAGCGAAACACGAGGAAGATGTATCGCATGCGTACTTCCACTACTACACGAGCCATTTTGACCAGCCACACCTGAGAGAGGCGTTTGCGCAGATCCCGCACGTCCTGACGCTGGACGATCATGATATCTTCGACGGATTCGGCTCCTACCCAGAGTACATGCAGTTCTCCAACATGTTCAAGAACATCGGCCGCATCGGCATTGAGATGTATTTGTTGTTCCAGCACCACACGACACTGGAGATCTTGCGTAACGTCAACAACGACCAAGACCTCTTTACCATCACTGGCACGGGCTGGCACTTTGTCAAATACCTGGGCCCGGCCCTCGTCGTCGTGGGGCCTGATACGCGCTCCGAGAGGAACCCACACCAGGTCATGGCTGGTCCCACCTATCAAGGTCTCTTCCCCAAAGTTGCGCTACTTCCGCCGAGCGTACAGCATTGCATCTGGATGATACCCGTTCCGCTCGTTTATCCGCGCCTCGAATCATTTGAACACTTGGCCAATACTATGGCTACCGGCAAGAAGGCTGCTACTGGAGCGTTCAATATGTTGGGCAAGGTGACCAGCTCTGTTGCAGGCGTCGTTGGCGCGAAAGGCATGGTAGGCGACGGCTTCAACTCTGTCAAGAAGGCGGTTGGCAAATCAGGCTTGATGAGTGGTATTTTGAGTCCGTTCGGTGAGATCGATGTTCTTGATGAACTGAGGGACCAGTGGACACACGAGTCAAAGGTAAATCTTCAAATCTTCTCACCAGAAGTATGCAATATTCTGACTATCGTTTTAGGATCTGGAGAGGACGTACTTAATACGGACGCTGCAAGGCATTGCTCATAACAAGTCCCTCCGCATGAGTTTCTTCTCGGGAGGTAAGTACTGGCAGTCGTATTTACTCGGTCACATGCTGATATTTTCTCAGACGTCGGCTGCTGCGGCGCCGGCCTCGTCCACGACCCCTCTCGCTTGCAGGATCACAAGACCATGTACCAGGTCATCGCCAGTAGCGTCGTCAACAGTCCACCAAGCAGCTACGTTTTGCGGATGTTGCACAACAACAAGCCACTTTTCGTGCCAGCCAATGGGCACCGCAGCAACAACAGCCCGTCAGACACTAAGGAAGAGATGATGGAGATCTTCACCCAGGACGTCAACGGTGCGCCACGTGAGATGCGGCGACTGATGGGCCGGAGAAACTACGTCGCGTGCGTGGCCTACGACCCTGAGATCGTCCACGGCACGTTTGGTCAGGCGGTGCCAGGCCAAGGCGGCGGGAAGCTGAGCATCGCCGTCGACTTCATGGTGCAGAACGAGGGCATATACGGCGCCCCAATGAAGTACGGCCCGGTGGTCATTCCGAGCCTGGAGTACGGGCGATAAAGGACGGATAGGCGAAGGCATGAGTGATGATGATGACTAGAACGACGAGAGCGGTGATACCACTTTTTTGCTTTGAGAGTCGATGTTTACTTAGCGTAGCATTTGATCCGAATGGTTAGCTCTAGCAATGGAGGAGAAATTGATACTCCTAGTGAGTGCGCACTCCGGGTAAGATCGTGGTGGTGGTTGAAGAGAACTTGACTCCTGAGGGCATGCAAAGGATCTGACCGCCAGACGCACCGCCAGGATGATTGCCTCAACCCCCGCTGCACCGACCACGGCCCGGAGATGAGGCTCTCAGTATGATGCGGATGGTGGATTCCAGTCCAGCCCCTGAGTTCCAGAAATTCCAGAAGGCCCCTTTGGAAGCGGCAGCGTTGGCACCCGGACCCCCGTTGACGTGGTCGGCCAGTGTCGGCGGCGCACGTTCCCAGCAGGCCGACGGAGCCTGGCGGGCGGGCAGCGAGCTCGGCGGTTGTTGCTGAGCGGATGCATGTATGAAGAAACAACTCTACGCGCTGCGATTCTCTCTGCCTTTGCACACAAACTGCCATCTCGTCTCGTCTGCTCTACTAGGTACTAACCTGCCACGACGCGCCTCGCACCCCATCTCAGCGCCTGGCTCCAGCCCAACCCTGCGACAACGGACGCCGCACCCCTCCACATCCCACATACCTATCCGGTTTCTATCCACGCCCCACATCATCGCACACCATGCTAGTCTCAGCAGCACCTGTAGCCAACGTCCCGCGTTTCCTTCTCCCAAGCTTCGCGAGGACGGCTGGGCCGGTTGGCTGCGCGGCAAAGCTCCAGCCTTTCAGCAGCTTTGCGCCGCAGACCCGCCCAATCTCTTTCGCGGCCAACATTTGCCCGTTTGAGCAGCGCCGGCGGGAGAACAAGGCGGCGGCACTCGAAGCGAGGAGGACAGGTACGCAGGCGGCGGCGGCAAGGCGAGCCTTCTCGGCCTCTGCTGTCCGGCCAAAGGATCACCATTTCGATACGCTCAAGTTTGTGCAGCGGTTGAAGGATGAGGGCTTCACGGAGGAGCAGGCGGTGGCCATGATGAAGGTTTTGAGCGATGTGATAGAAGAGAGGTATGAGCGACCAATGCAACAGCCAGAAGAGCGAGAGCTATGGATACTGACACGCGCGGCACCAGCATCCAGAACCTGACGCGCACCATGGTGCTCCGCGAAGACCAAGAGGCGGCGACATACACGCAGAAAGTCGACTTTGCGAAGCTGCGCTCGGAGCTTTTGACGGCCGACAGCACCGAGACGTCGCTGACGCGGGCATCGCACGAACGCTTAACCAACGAGATCGCCAAGTTGAACTCGCGCCTGCGCGACGAGATTCAGCGCACCCAGGCCAGCGTGCGCCTCGATCTGAACCTCGAGAAAGGCCGCATCAGGGAGGAGGCCAACGTGCAGGAGCTGAAGATCAAGGAGACGGATACGAGGATTGAGCAGGAGACGGCGGTGCTGAGGGAGAAACTCGAGGCCGTCAAGTTCACGACGCTGCAGTGGTTGATGTAAGTTTACCTATTGCTTGATACGATGACGACAGGGCTGGGTTGGACAAGGCCGCTAACGCGTCTGCAGGGGTGTTTGCACGGGTACGGCGGCACTGATTCTTGGTGCCTGGAGACTTCTTATGTAAAGAGGACATGGTTTAGGGAGTCGCATGGTATAGGTGACCGGGCCGCATAGAATACCAGGGACGAGCAGCAGGGCACACCGAGCACAGCAGGCACAGGCGCACAGCAACAGGGCGCCCCCGGGCAGCGAGCGAGAGCACGGCACGGCGTGGGAAACGCGCAACGGCCAATGCTTCGGACCGCTCCAAGGAGTCCTGGGGGACGGGGGGGGGATTGGATATGGAGAGATACATGCATGCATTTGTAGATTTGAAAAAAAAAAAAAAAAATCAGTAGACGCTGGCGTGAGAAGGGCGTAAGAGAGAGAGAGAGAGCGAGAGTAAAATAAGTGCGCCGAGACCATGGTCGAAAGGGAGGCTGAGAGGCTGAGAGAGAGATAGATATAATTAACTGTCGACACGCGGCGGCTATTAATGGAGGCGGGCTGTGTGGGCAGCCATTGGACGGCGGGCACTGGGCAGATCTTGCGGGAGAGCGCCTAGAGCACGGCTGTGCGGGCGTGACTAGCAAGAGGCCAGAGTGTGTGAGGGTCGAAATTTCCGCGGTGAGGGACAGGAGGCTTTTCGCTAGCCCTCCAGCGAGCGCGGGGCATCAAAAGGGCGACAGCAAATCCGCCGGCCTTGGCGAGCGTCTTTCGTTTCCACTTCCCGCCTCACACCCCCAACACCATATCGCAACCCGACTCCAGTCCCTCCCACTTCCACGCCCGCCTTCCTTCGCACAACACTCCCCGACTTCTACCTTTCCGTCTTCCAAAATGGCTACTGAGGTACGTCCAACACCATCAAACTCAACCCTGATTGCCCGGCACCCCGTCGCCCGCCCGCCCTGCCCCCCCTAAGCCCCTCTGTGTGTCGACATCGATGACATTTGCTGACATGGCTTCTTCTCAACAGCGCGAAAGGTACCCGCCCTCCGTCTAACCCACTGGGCCATCGACTAGCCTTCTGACCCTCTATGCAGCAAGACCTTCCTCGCCCGTCTGTGCGAGCAGGCTGAGCGTTACGATGGTACGTTGATGTTGGTTGACGCCTTGTGACCCGCATTCGCTAACGCTTCTGCCAAACAGAGATGGTTACCTACATGAAGGTCAGTCAACCCGCCCCGAGTGATAACCTTTGTGTGTCGAGAACTGAGCGACTGACGTGCTTTACAGGAGGTTGCCAAGGTATGAATAACCGCGCCGTCGCCGCGCCATCGAGTGCACTCTCTAACGTTATCCACAGATCGGTGGTGAGCTCACCGTCGACGAGCGCAACCTGCTTTCCGTCGCCTACAAGAACGTTGTCGGTACCCGCCGTGCGTCGTGGCGCATAATCTCCTCGATTGAGCAGAAGGAGGAGTCTAAGGGCTCCGACAAGCACGTCGGCACCATCCGCGACTACCGCCAGAAGATCGAGACCGAGCTCGAGAAGGTCTGCCAGGATGTCCTCGACGTCCTTGACGACTCCCTTATCCCCAAGGCCGAGTCTGGCGAGTCCAAGGTCTTCTACCATAAGATGTACGTTTCACGTCGCGATTTCACAGCCGTGCTTGTTGCAATGTTTTTTGCATCATCAGCCTTTCCAAGAACGGTCCACTGACAGCTGTCTCCTTTTGCAGGAAGGGTGACTACCACCGTTACCTTGCCGAGTTCGCCGCTGGTGAGAAGCGCAAGGGCGCCGCTACCGCTGCGCACGAGGCCTACAAGGTGAGTTTCAATGGCGCCCGGCATCTTGGAACAGGCTCTGATAAGGATTCTAGACCGCTACCGACGTCGCTCAGACCGAGCTGACCCCTACCCACCCCATCCGCCTTGGTCTCGCCCTGAACTTCTCCGTCTTCTACTACGAGATCCTGAACTCGCCCGACCGCGCCTGCCACCTCGCCAAGCAGGCCTTTGACGATGCCATTGCCGAGCTCGACTCCCTGTCCGAGGAGTCTTACCGCGACAGCACTCTGATCATGCAGCTTCTCCGCGACAACCTGACCCTCTGGACCTCTTCGGACGGCAACGAGCCCGAGGCTGGCTCCGAGGCCCCCAAGGCCGAGGACAAGCCCGCTGAGGCCAAGCCCGAGGCGCCTGCCGGCGAGGCCGCGGCCAGCGAGGAGCCTGCCGCCGCGCCTGCTTCTTAAATGGTGTGATGTGTTAGCGACGAACCAGGCGTCTGTTTATACAGACTGCCGCAGCCAATCTCCACGGCGAATCCGGTAAGACCACGTCTTTTGCGACGGATCTTGGAGCAATCGGTTTAGGGGCAGCGGGGGGTGGTGGCGTACAGTTATCTGAGTTTCGAATCAATCATGTGAAAGCGAAAAAGAGTTTGCGTGAGCTGGTTCGGGGCTTGGATCGCCGGTGATGGTGTCGGTCGATTGTCTTGTTTTGCTCGTCCATTCCCCCTATTTCTCTATCCCTCTGCGTGTTGCTGCTCTCTTTCAAGTACTACACTAGCGATGCTTGACTCCTCCGGGACTCTATATCCAAATGAAATCGACATGTCCGACTTTTTTTTATATTATATTTTATATTCTTGATTCTTGATTCTTGAGAGGGCTGGCTGCTGCTGTTGCCGCCTTTTTTGGTCCTCTTTCTCGCCATACATACTTACATACCTATGGATGGTGCAGCTCTCATTCACACGCACGCACAGCACAGCACAGCAGCGCACAACGCAGCACAGCACAACAGCACAACAGCCGCCTTTTTTGGTCCTCTTTCTCGCCATACATACTTACATACCTATGGATGGTGCAGCTCTCATTCACACGCACGCACAGCACAGCACAGCAGCGCACAACGCAGCACAGCACAACAGCACAACAGCACAACAGCGCAACAGCACAGCAGCGCAGCACACCCGGTCCCACGTCGGGTGCGACGGCGCTGATTAGGTAGGTACGTGGGTAGTCGACTCAACTCGTATCATGCGCGCGCGCGTGCGCGCCGCTGCCGCCCTCCGCCCTCTGCCCGCCGCTGCCCGCCGCGACTATCCGGCTCGCAGCTCGCAGGCCGTAGGTCACTCGTAATTTGCAAGCCGCAAGCCGCCACAACAGCAGCCTGGTACGTAGCGGGTGTGGTTAGTTGGTTATAGGTTGGGTTGGCACGTTGGGCTATGTCAGTTAGGTTGGGTTGGGGCGTGTGGATGTGGATGTGAACCGGGGCCGTGGTGCTGGTGGTGCTGGTGCTGTGGTGCGGGATCTCTGGGCACTAGGAGTACCTACCTGTGTTGAGTTGGTGTGTGTGTGTGTGTGTGTGTGTGTGTGTGTGTCTGGGTGTGTGTGTGAGTATGGGCGAGCATTCATTCATCGATTTATGATGCACGGCTGACTGGCTGTATGGATGGATGCGTGCGTGGTTGGTAGACAGAGATTCCTACACCCAGCTCATAGTTAATTCACAAATAATCCACATCCACATAGGTAGTTAACAAAGGCAGGCAGAAAGACATGAGCCGAGCCAGCCGTCTTCCGTTCCTGCCCTGTCCGTTCCAGCCTGCTCTAGTCCGCTCCAGTCCGTTCCAGTTCAGCTCATCTCAGCTCATCTCAGCTCACCTGTGCTATGCTGTATCGCCCGCCTGCCCGCCTGCCTGCGTACTTAGGTGCCTGATCTCCCCATTCCCCCATTCCCTAAGGTAGGCACCTAGGCACCTAGAGGACCTAAGTACGACTATGTAGGCAAGTCTTGCGTGCTGCGTCGGCGAATGCGGGATGCGGTTCCGATTGCGCTAAACTAGTTGTGGATGGTTTGGTTTGTTTGTGTGTGGGTGAGTGGCAGGGCTTGGGGTAGGTGTATGGGTAGGAGGGAGCGTGGTTTGCGGTGTTGCGTGGGGATTAGGGTTGATGTATACTTTTATTTATTTAGTTTTTATTCATGTAGTATTATGTCGTTATTGGTATGTTTTTATGCACCTCTGCTACGGTACTGTTTAGTTGGTTGTTTCCTTTTTGTTTCTTATTTCTTAATTTATGAATTCATGGCGGCAACGAGGACATCAAAGAACAATAATATAATGTAATAAATTAAATTAAGTTAAATTAAGAGAAAGTATATCAGCCCGCTTCGAATTTAAATAAAAACCCTACTCATAAGAGTATATCTATATGCTTGTAGCATCCTTGTAATTCACCCTACAGGCTAGTCTCTGAATGGGTCTAAAGTACCCTCCGATGACTACTTCGTAAGCTTCTTGCTCTAGTGAGAGTGAGAAATTGGCCTGATGGCTTTTTGTCCTAGGAAAGAGAGACGTTGTGTGCGACAACAAGTGAGAAAGCAAGTAGGAAACAATGAAGGGGGAACAAGTGAGCGCTTCTCAAGGAAAGACAAAGAAAGTAAGCATAAGGCTTGGTGTGTATAGTTGTATTGTGTTTGTACATTGTCGTGTATGGTATATCTTCTAGCCGTTTTCAGTGGATATATTGAATTGAAAGGGTATAATCCGCCACTACAACAGCGGCCGTAGTGCAGCGTCCATGTCTGTCTGTCTGCGACCCGCTTTCTAGCTCCAGCTCCAGCTCTCAGCTCTCAGCTCTCAGCACTCGGTTTTCTGCCCAACAGCGCCCACAGCCTGACAGTGACAATGAGCTCCTCCCTCCTGCCACCGCCCGTCTTTCCCATCTTTCTTCCGCACCAAACAACCCTAAACCAAATGGCTTGGCAGCAAGAAATTCGCAATCCCCTCCTTGACCGCGTATTCATGACCACAGTTTGCGCACACGAGCGCTCCGCTCGCAATCGTCGTCTCTAGCAGCAGGGTATGCAGGTCGCGCAGCACGGGCGTCGGCACCGCGTTGCCCAGCGCGTCGGTCTCTGTTGCTTCGAGCTCGCCCGCGGGCGAGATGCCCAGTGCCGAGAGCTCTGGGGCTGTGGGAGGAAGAGCGGGGAGGCCGAGCTATGGCGCAAGAGCTGGTTAACAGTTGCTTCTGCGGAGATGGAAAACGTGGTTTGTGGTGTGGTGGTGATGCAGTGCTGGTCGTGATCTGCGGTGCTGGTGCGTCTCATACCTCGGCTGCAAGCCCCCTCAATGCCTCCCACTCCAGCCTGGGCAGGATGTTCCGAATGAAGGCGGGGTTGAGCTCGGCCTCGACAACCTCGAGCTCCGCGTCGCGTGGGTGCAGTGGGAATGCCGCCGCCGATGACTTGCACGCCTTGCGTGCGCAGGTCAGGAAGTTGAGGGTAAGGACTTTCATGGTTGCTGTAGTTGTGTGTAGGCGTGGCGCGCGGTTCAGATGTGCGCTCTCGATTTCGTAGTGGGTTGGTGGGCTGGTGTCTGGCGTAGACGAAGAGGTGGCGGCCACAGTGGCAGAGGAGGGCCGTGAGGAAAAAAGGTAAGCCCTTGGCAAGTAGAGGTTGGTGTCCTGGTGCGCGAGTCCGTGAGGTGAATGCTGAAGATCGGCGGGGTGGTTTCTGGGAAATTTTGTCCGCTGGCGCGAGTCAGTGAGGCTCTGGATTTAAGCTTATCTCCCCGCGCCGCGCTAGTCCTGTACTGGACAGCATGGCCATCAGTGGCCCATTTGACAGTTACACTCGTTCTTGAGCAAACAGTTTCACTGACGGTCATACTTGGATGGAGGGTAACAGCTCGTAGAGCCTCTTCATATCTACCAAATCACCACCTTTCACCACATCCTTAAGAAAGCGTGAATATCCAGCGCCAGAAAACTGCAAGCCAGAGGAGTCCCGGGTATCTGATGTTCCCAATCCATAATGCAACGCTTCGCCCAAGAAGAGGTCAACCACCGATAATGCGCATCGCCTAATTTTGTCCGGCCCAAACTTAAAAATCAGAAGCAATTCCTACTTTTTACAAGACCTCATGCTCCGAAGAAGACTTCCAACGAATCACCATCCTCAAAGTCGTCAAGCTCGGCCATGGTTTGTGTTGGGTCCAGGCGGTCGCCGTCAAAGGCAAAATAGAATTTGCCTTTCTTCTCTTCAGGGAGCTGCATCCTGTTATGATATGCGTTCGCCATCCTCTCAAAAGTCGTGGTCTAGAGATGGTCAGCCCAGATGAAAATCATATCCAGCCAAACAAACATACCGGCTTGACAATGAGTTTGCACTCGTTATACTCTCTTGATTTGATCACGACCTTGATCTGGTCCTTCTTTTGCTCCGGTGGCGGCTCTTCATCATCAATTTCTGGTTGTGGTTCTGTAATCTGCCTGGCTGCCTTCTTGTCTTCGTCGAATAGTTCCTGTGTCCATGCCTCTACCTCCACTTTGCCTCCTTCATCGTCAAATGCATCCTGTCTGCCGTTCATTGCAAGATGGCCTTCGGAATTCACAGTAAGACCTAAGCTCCGTCCAGTAGCAACATCGTAAAGCCGGATGCCTCTGAAAGTGAAGAAAACCATTTCTGACGTTTCGCGGTCGAAGCCTTGCCTCTTACACCATGCTTCGCGGACTTCCTTCATGCGTTGCGAGAGCTTGCGCGTGACAATCAGAGGCTTGGTGTTTGGAATTCGAGGATTGACGAAGATTTTCAAAGACGGATCTGGAGGTGCATTGGCGGCGTTAGGAGTATTCGGGCCTGTACTTGGTGTTGATCCTGAGTGCCCTATATTGACTGATGGTGCCCCTTGCATTGTCTTCGCCTGTTGAGCCAGCCTACGCTTCCGCCTAGATTCCCGTATAATCTCACGAAGCTCAGGATCTGACTCGCTTATGTCGTCGTCCTCGTCTTTTGGCACCGAATTCTCCTTGGGCTTAGGGGCGGCTGCCGGATGAGGTTCGTCATCGCCAGATGAAGAACCTAAATCAACGACGACAGCCTGTTTCTGCCCTTCTTTGTGCGCACTTACGTTGTCTTCGTAGTGTAGGGATTGCGAAGACGGACGGCGTTTCGCAGGCGGCGACACAGGGCTTCCGAAATTTGCTCTTCGACTTGCCGATGTGATTTGCTTCCTAAGAATTTATGAGCATAAAGCCTACTAATTCTGGATTTCGATCCCTACTTCTTGCTACCGAGCTCAGACTTGACCCAATCTTCCTCGTCGCTGCTCTCTTCGGTCTTGTCGCTTATTCTCCTTCGCTTGCTTTCTCGAGAGTCTTTGCGCTCCGTCTTGGGTATCTCATGCTTCTCGCGCTCCGTCAACCTTGTGCGTCTTTGGCGTCCTTGTTCTGCTACGATTTCACTGAAAGTTGAGCGCGACCCATCAAACATGGCGGTTGGATCTTCGTCATCCTTGCTTTTGTCGCTCTTTTTCGTCGCCCATGACGGCTGCTTGAAGAAGCTGCGCTTCGGTTTGGGAGCCGCGCTGCCAGAAGGCGAGCCGCTGTCTGCCATTAGTCGAAGCGCAATGTCAAAATGGAAACCCTGTCGCTGCCTGTCAAATGCGCGGCGTCTGTATTTGAAGTTGAAGAGGTTTAGGAGCGAAAGTGTGCGAAAGCGATGTTAAGAAAGTGTGTTGGGAGATCGTGATCGTGGGGTAGCGTCGAAAGGTGACGCTCGAAAGTTGTCGGAGTTTGCGCGGTGCAATCGCCGACGTCAGTGTCGCGCATCGCGAAATCCCGTGAGCGTGGGGGATCACTTCACTTCTTGCCCAATCTGCTCTACAAACTCAAACAAACACTCTCGAGCCCTCCTCATTTCACAGCCTTTCTGAAGCTCAAGATGGAGAACGGTGCTAGCGATGCAAAGGACCCTTCGGGCTTCCTCAGCGAGATCATCGGCGCCCCAGTCACGGTGAAGCTGAACTCCGGTGTGGTCTACAAGGGTATGTAAAATGACGGCTGTATATCAGATCATGCTAGTGCGGCTGTCTAACCTGTTGTACAGGCGAGCTTCAATCTGTTGATGGCTACATGAACATCGCGCTTGAGCAGACCAAGGAGTTTGTCAACGGCAAGCTCCACCGGAATTACGGCGACGCTTTTGTCAGAGGCAACAACGGTAATGTTGCTCCGGTAGTTCACTTTGGTCTCTCTTGCTAATGCGCTATAGTGATGTACATTGCGGCAGACTCGTGAGTAGTTGTCGGGTGGCTTGTGACTTGATGAAGAGCATGGGAAGGGGCACAGTTAGCACCTCTAAATCCAGTGCATCATGCGGCAGAAGATTGGTGACCCAGGCAGGATGTCAAGAACTCTGCAGATTTCGCCTTGCAGATTTCTCTCAACAGTTCAGAAGCAAACTCCATGAATTTGCTGTTTAATGCAGAGGGTCACAGTATAATAGCCAAACATTATCTATCGAGGCACGTGCATTGTGGCCGTTTTGACAGTTAATCTATATCTCGTGGTCGTGGTTCAGAGTTATACTTGTTACGTTGTTAATTCTTAGTTTACTCGAGTGGCAGACGTTTTCAAACAGACTGCGTTCCTGATTGTACCATATTGTGAGCCCAAACAACACAAGCCTCTACACAAAAACATTGTATGCTTACAACAAGCGTTTGCAAAATCGCCCTCATGATTATAGCATATGCAGCTTGTTTCTGGAAGTGACTGCACTGAATGACAGGGAGACAAGTAGCATGCCTTGAAATATAAATGTATATGGGTGTACAACATTCAGCATTCGATGTTATAATCCTAGAGCTGTATATACCGAAAGGTGCGAATCAAGCTTTGTGATGCCGAAGCAGATTTCCTACGCCATAGGCTGGAATCAGTTCATAGCTACCCCAACGGGCAGCCGGCACTCTGACTTGCCGACATGTTTGATTTCGTGGCGCAACAGTTGTCCTCCACGCCAACTGCCACCCGCCTCCCTCAACACCATAACCACCTATCATGTTTCCCTACGCGCCATTCCCGGAGGACGAAGACGAGCCTCCTTGGGATATCACTGTCGATCCCAGTGTCGTAGACGAGATCCGCAAACGTCGCAAGAAGGAGAAGGAGGAGAAGAAGAAGGAAAGGGCGGAAGTGGAGAGGGTGAGCTTTATTTATGCCTTGATCTCCGTTATTCTCTGACTGTTAGCTCACTAAATACGCAGCACCGGGCGGAGAACCCCTACAGCATTGACGAAAGGGGCAACATCAAGATCGATCCGCTGGTGGTGAACGTGATCGTGCATTACTTCCCCGCATTATCGATGCCACCGATGCTGGATCTAAACCAAGAGGATGGTTGGGTGGATTGGCTGGCAGCGCGTTGCTTGCCAGGGGGTAAGGACTAGGAGCGACCCCTTTGGTAAGCTGTTAGTTATTGACGTTGGAGCAGAATGGCCGGCAATGCTGCGAAACTGGCGTGCACAGCGCTGGATGCGCACCCACTGGGTGCCGCTCATCAAAGCAGACATCGCCACCGGATGCAGCAAGGGGAAGACCGTTAAGAAGATGATGAACCAAGGAACGTGAATGCTGCTGTTTCGGCGTGGGCAGAACTATGGAATTGCGCTCAGGGGAGGAGGCATGCTAGTCGCATGCACAAGGAGTGGGTACACTTTCGTATACGCATTGATCAGGGCGTTTTAAGGTTGCTGTAGCGGCGTTGATGGGGTGTTTTGGTGTTCGGTTGTTCGAAGGCTCGCACGCGGCTGGGTTTAATTGAAGTTTTTGTGGGAGTTGTAGATAGATAAGGCTGCAACGCCTTGAATGGTACCAAAGATGCAGCAACTCCTCGAGCTGACAAGTTGTGGCGCCTTCGCATGGTTGCCAGTGTCGGGATGGTTCACACAGCTCAAACAGACCCCCCAAAATGGTGTTGACATGTGGGCAGCACAGACTGCAGCTCCATAGGGATACGATCCAGGTCCTTGGCACACCCATCTGTCAATGTCATATGTCGCGTAACTGGCGTCGGACCTACCACTTACCTGGCAACCACCTTCTACCCCGCGACTAAACCCGATGCCACAACCTTCTCTCCCGCACAACTAGGCTCCCACCAGCAGAGCGAATAACATCTTCTCTTTCAGTACTTCATGTCCGCGAGCCTGGTCGCTCGCACAGCCAGTACTCGACTTCATCCACTGCAGCTTCCCAACGCCCGTCGGCAATAGTTGTCCAGGCTTCCAACGTCTCGCCATTTGCTGAAAAACGTAAGGGATCCTCCGGGCACGTGCTATGGGGCCTATGCATTGTGTAGGTCGCAGATGACCCATTATAAACATTGTTGCGCCATACTGTTCTTACCTGACACCCGTCTCCCTAGCCCGCGACACTCCCACCACACAGCTGTGGAACATGCACGTACCCTAAGCTCTTTCCAAATGACAATGCTCATCAGCTACTTCTTCCTGCGAGTCGGAAACATCAGTTAAACCATCCCTACAACTGCAGCAGCTCAGCGTAGAGCACCGCTGCTTCGACCTCCGCACGGCAGGACACTACGTTAGACAACCAAGCCCCTTTGTATCGTTCTGGCCACTGGCTTGCAGGACAAGCTTCTGTCAAAAGGCCGTTTTCATCACCTCCGCACATCAGTGACACCAGCTTTTTGTCCCCCTTGTCCTCAATGCGCATGACTCTTTGGGGTCCTCAGCAAACCCAGGCCGGAGCATTTGAACGCCATGGAGCACCTAAGCCGTGCCTTTTTAGACTTCTCTTTTGAGGTTCGGACGACGTGCCTTCATAAATCGACTTGGCAGTGGTCTGTCAGACACGGGGCACGACAGCTGATTGTATCCTCCTCCGTTACCACTCAGTCTCCACCACAACAAACAGCGAAAGAGTAAATTGATGGCTTGGTTGAGAAGGATTATAAATTCAATGAAGCGTCGGCTTAGATGCGTATTTGAAGAAACAGTAGCCACCTACCTGGTCTGAAGTGGAGCAAAACCCTGTCGGACACAATCTGCCGCAGTAGATCTACCACAGCATCAGGATCATGCTTGTGGGCGTCATATCACATGGAAACTACGATAATTCGGCGTACTGTGCCAACGTGGAGCTCTCGGCAAGAATGGCTAGTCTCGAAGCCGTCTAAAGATGTTTCTTTGCCGCCATCGCTATTATCCGTTTATGCTTGCCGAGGAAACCATTGTAGCTGAATGGTTCAGAGACGGCAATGTCGGCATTGAAATCTGGTCTGGGCCCGGGTTGGTGTCTCCTGTCGAGCGGATCTCCCTCCCTGGCCGGGTTCCTAGGAAAGATGAAACAGGACCTTGAGCACATCGCCGCGTGACAGGGAGGATCTCACAAAATTCCACGATAGGCCTTCATTGCAAGGGATAGGCTAACAGCTTTGTCGCCATGGATAATAAGGTTTGGTGCCCGGAAAACCACCTAGGTAGCCATGCCTATCTTGGTCAGGTGGACTTGACACTCCCGACGCCCAAGACGGAGGTCTGCCCGGAGTCCGTCAGTGCAAGCATTTGGTCTGCGAGTCTCAGATAGTTCTGGAGCTGGAATGCTTCGTAAATCTGAAACGGCATCAAAAGTAAAGAGCATGGAAGGTCGTGGAGCACGCAATCCGCAGCTTAGCAGTCATACCTCCGTGATATCGGAACGTATCTGCAGGTGTTTGATAGAGGAAAACAGTCGTCCACAGCCAAACACCCGGGTGTTGAGATAGAGAGTGTCTCATGCACACCGCCACAGCTTGCAACGACGATCATAAGTCTGGCCAGCAGACAGAGCTATGATCGCAAGGATCTGCGCCCAAGGGTCGGGCCGCGTCTTGCATCTCCGAACATCTTAAGATTCTTCTATGACTGACAATTTGCGGGGAAAAGACCGAGCCCGGTTGCAGCCAATGCTCGAGAGACTTCGCGTAAGGCAGTTGTGCTCGAGTGGAGAAGCACAGCGCAATCGAGCTGCATTACGCGGCCCTACTCGCCGAGCCTGACGCGTGACACCATGGTTTGAACCCGTCGAGACGACAATTCATAGGACGGAATGCGGATGGGGTGCAGCACCAGGGGGATGGAAATGGATAGTGGACCAACATGAATGTGGTGCGATGTTGGGGAAAGAGGAGGGGTTCCGTCCGAACCGGAAAGAGGTGAACAATGAACAAAGGAGGTGGAAATGCTCACCGGTCACCGGGGAACAGAAATTGTTTACTGAAGCCGGAGCAGAAGGGTGTTGTTGACGCCATATCGACGCATTCCGACCACGCATGCGAAGAAAAAGGTAGCGGAGGCCTCACGTGGGTCTCGTCATCCAAGAGAGCGGGTGTTCCACTGCCAAGGCCTTGTAAATTCCAATACCAAATTTCTCCGGGGCAGGCTCAATTTCGTTTGGAGGGCGACTGTCAGCCCAGCCACGCTCGTGGCGTGCAAGCGACTTGCAGATGAGATGGCTGGTGTTCTCGCCGGCGGCGGCTCCCACGAGGCTGGTAGAAGGCAGCTGATGAGCCATTTCCCCCTCAGCGAGGCATTTCGCGTTCCACAGGACGTTGGCGATGCGATCGAAAGGGGGGCTCGTCGTCGGGGGGGGGGGAGAAGAGAGAGGTTTGGCCCTCTTGGCTCGAAACGTTTGCGGACGTTGGCCATGGAGCCATCCCCAAGCGGAGGAAAGCTGTTCCTTGCGCGGGTTCATGAACCGCCTCTCATCTCGGATCCGGGCTACCCTGGCTCGAACCGGAGGCTAGCAGCGATGGCCCACGGGACTTGGAACAGGCTGAATCGCATCTGCATGAGTGGCAGGTCACTCCCCCTGTCGACCGGGTTGGTGGTGCGACCACCCCGGAGCCACCGAACTGGGATAATTGTCCGTGCAAAGGGTCTGGGTTATATCATAGCCTCAGTCGAGGGCATCGGAATACGTGGTGGCCGGCGGCTCTCGCGGAGACAGAGTGTCTCGACGACACGTCGGCCACGCGCTGAGTGTGTTCAGTGGTGCTTGGCTCGGGCTGGCAGGGGGGGTCGAGGCGGAACTGTGGCGCCTGCAGCACGCCTCAAGGCCCGCGGACTCCTGAAGTCGACAGTGCAACGCCGGCCCTCTCCAGGAGCAGAGTGGTGGAGCGGGTGCTTGGATCGACAGCGGCCGCTGCACATCCACGCCCAAGCTGCCTAGTGCTGCGATCTGACTTCTAATAATGACGGGCTGAGTGATCCCTGACGCAGGCCACTTTATGCTTGCTCGTCGTTCCTTAGGCCTGCTTACCTAGCGCGCTGCCGGGCCTCGTATTAGCACTCCCTGACCCGGGTCTACTGAGACCGTACCTCGCTCAACATCCTCTGCGCTCGCCGTCGTTCTCTCGTTCAGACGCCGTCCTTTAATCATTGTGTGGCCGTGGCCTGCTGCCGCCGCCAGTCTGACGAGTAAGTTGCCCTTTTTCACGTTCCTCGGTGCGCCCGACAAGCCAAGGAGGACCGGTGCCCGTTGGACGTCAACAACACCCGCTACCAGCCGATCGCAACGGAGATCCAACGCGCGAGAAAGACGGCGCTACCTGTTCCGCAAAATATCTGACAATACGAGATACGAGATCGCTCCGCCTTCAGTGACCTGACAGCCTCTTGACACGTCCCGTCGACCTCTGCGACACCTCCTTCGGCCCGGTCTACCTGAGCACCGACGACTGTTTCTTTCCGCACCCTCTCTTGAGCCTTCCACAATTGGGCTTCGGGAGCATCTCTGGCGAGCTTGGGCCACGGGGTCATAGTGGCATCACCGCTAACTAAAACCCCACTGCTAGCAGTTCATCCACCGCCGCACCACCACTCTTTTCCCTCGCCCGTACGAGCTTTCGCACTCGAGCGCACTCTCGGTCGCGCTTCCGACCTCACTCGTTGCGTTTCCCTCGTCTCAAACCGTTTCAAGGACCCACTCCTCACGGCAACACCCATGTCCGTCTAGACCGCGCCACTACGGAGCCACGACACCCGCTCGAGCACCGCCAGCCCCAGACTGGCTTAGACGCAAATTTCACTTTTTAAAAGACACCGCTCACTCCTATCAACATGAAGAACTTCATACCCAAGGGCATGAGGCGGAAGTCGTCTGGCAATGTGCTAGAGGAACCCGACAAGCCTTCGTTTCGCGTCATTTCCCGGGACGAAGTTCAGAGGACTGCGGACGTTAGGAGCCGCGGCTCGGACAGTTCAGCCATGCACCACGGCAGAGAACAGTCGTACGACGACGAGATGGTCGCGCCGAACCGGTAAGTCTGGGATCTACCCGCACGCCATCTCTTTAGCCTAACCCTGGCCTCATAGTGGCAGTAACGGTAGCAGTGTCGCCAACTCGACAAGATTCTACGACACTTCTTCTTCTGCCCGTCACAGCTCCACCTCCACCTTGCCCTCGACGGACCTCGAAGTCGACGATTTGTTCAGCAAGCGAATTTCAGCCCCTGGCCTGGATCACGGTCGCACCTCCTCCTTGACGGGCTTTGCCAACCGCTTTCCCTTCAACAAGAAGGGCGCAAAGGGCAATTCCTCCCCTACTGCGAAGATAGACGGCAATTCTGAAGAGCGCCCGGGTACGAAAGACAGGTCCCTGTCTTCAAGCAGCTACGCCAGTACTGCGCAGCCTCCCACGCTCAACGGACTTTCAGAGACAGACTTTGGCAGCAGTTTTGGCGATTTGTTCGGTGGTCTTGGTGGCCAGCGCAAAAGCGCGGTTCTTCCCGAGTCGTCCTTGCCCAAGCCTCCGCAGCCATTGACCGTCAGATCAGTGAGTGAAACGTTCGCGGTAACGATATTTTGCGCACTTTCTGACAAGCGAAAATAGGGGTCCGACCCAGCACTGCCTCCTCCTTCGAAGGCGTTTGCCGCCTCTCGGCCGATTCAGCCACCTTCCCCCGTTCGCGTGGACCGAGGTCCAGCCCACGACGTTGTGGGGTCGCCCTACTCCTGGGCCTCGCATGATTCCGGCGATCGTCTAATGGCTTCACCAGACGTTGCCGCCGGTTCTCCAGTAGCCGAGAGAGCACCTCCGGCACCTAAACACAGCATTCCACACATCCCCATGACGCAAAGCCCGGTTCCGATGGCACTTAGACCAGGCTCGGCGAGCCCTGCCGAACAGCGCAAGTCTGTCGCTGGACGTCAAGGCATCCTCAAGCCCACTGCTCGTGTTCGCCCCGTCGAGGATGAAGATGCTCGCATGGTCAGAGAATCGTTTAGGGCGAGTCGTGGTACAAGGGAATTGGAGGCTGCACACGCTCGCATGACTGCTGGCGAGGCTGATTCATCGGAGGCTTCGCTGAACACGCCCTCTCTGTCCTCTGCGAGCTCGAGCATGAAGGCAAAGGAGAAGGAGAAGGAGAACGTGAGTGTTCCACTCAAGTCTCCCGGCGACCTGAGCGAGGCGACTCCGAGAGGAAAGGCACCATCTGCCCAGCGCGAGGAGGAGGAACCACTCTTTGGCCACGACCCTGATAGGCGTTCTTCAACCCCCGGTGTTCGTTGGGCGGCCGAGGCGAAGCAGCCTCAGAGGATGACGATGGCTGAGTTTGGTGTTCTCAAGCGCCAGGAGCTTAAGGATCCCATCGACGATGATACCTCGGATGAGGAATACCTCGATGAAGATCAGGAGGAAGACGAGCGCAAAAAGATGGAGGACATGAGGAGAATCAGGCAAGAGCAGCAGGAGAAGATGAGTGCCCATCGCGAGATGATGAAGCGCACGACGGGCGGAATGAACGACCGTCCCTCCGTTGGCCGCCACAGTAACAGCACGTCGGCTCTCCTTCACAACAGATCTTTTTCGAACGTCCAAAACAGCGAGGACGACGACGATGAGGATATTCCGCTCGCTATTCTTCAAGCGCACAATTTCCCGAAGACGCACGTCAGGCCCGCGTCAGCTACAGGCGTGCGCCCCGCCTCTGCCGCGGAATCCTCCATGAACAGGGCTTCCAATCTCCCTCCGTTCGCTCGTGGCCTTCCGTCAGACGTGGAGCCGTTCCTGGGTGCCAACTTGGTACAACAGCCCATGCGCGAGTCCATTGGCTACGGCGCGATGGGGCCGGGTTCTGCACATGGTGGCTCTTCTATTGGCCAGCAGCAAACGCTGGTCAACATGATTGCGGATGCTGAACAAGCCAAGGAGGCTCGTCGTGGCGGTAGTTCGAAGATTTTCAGCAACAACAATACGTACGGTCAACGTCTTCCGACGATGACATCCCAGACTGCTCCGCAGATGGCTCCTCAGCAGATGCCAATGCAGCCGCAGCCGATCGGGCAGATGGGTCAAATGGGACAGATGGGCCCAATGGCTCAGATGGGACAGATGGGCTTCCAACCGCAACAGCCTATGATGGATCCTCAGATTCTGCAGCAGGCCTCTGCCCAGAACCAGACGAATGCCCAGATTGCCGCACTGACTCAAAGCATGCAACAACTGATCATGATCCATATGCAAGGCATTCAGCAGCAGCAACAGCCCATGCAGCAGCCCATGATGCAACAGATGATGCAGCAACCGATGATGCAACCGGCACAACAAAACAACTTCCTCTCTCCTAACCAGCGCCCGGTCTCGATGGGCAACCGCAACTCGGCTCCCACCGCTTCCCAGCATCAGCAGCGGACCAGATCCATGGTCAACATCAGCCCCATCGGATTGGGCGGTTTGTCCCCGCAGCAGCCTGGATCTCACCTCCAGGCTGGTTACGCTGCTTCTCTCGCGCCTTCGGAGCGCAGCAATGTTGGCAGATCTCCCCGCTACCGCCCTGTCAGCACGCCCCAGGATGGCAGCTCTACTGTCATGTCCAACTCCACCGTCCAGCCCATCCATGATGGAAAGCAGCGGATCAAGGTTAATGTCAAGCCTCCGCCGAAAAACATTCCACAGCTCGACAGTCCCAACGACGACGAAGACGAGGAAGGCTGGGGCGCCACGGCTACCAAGGCGAACAAATGGGGTTCTGCCAGAAACCACCAGGAAGAGCTCTCTGGTCTTGACATTCCCGCTTTCGAGTGAGGTGTCTCAACTCGATATCTCGACGACATAGTCTGATGATCCTATACGACGTTGCATCATTCCCCCAGTTTGTTTTCCTGCGCTCCAACTTGTTTGGCGGGCATTTATGAGCTATACCATAGCTTCAATTTCCTTACCTTTTGCTCCTCTGGGTTCAGATACCCCTTTCCGGGCCGTCTCTTCTACGGGGCCATGCATTACCGGAATTCCTTTCAGTTTGCACCACGTCGGGAGGTCTCTTTAGCGAGCGTATTGCATCGTCGGTTGCATCCACAAAAATAGGCTCGGGCGCTTTTCGCGCCAGTTTCCGAGCCCTAGCAGCGGTTCGCTTTGCCTTTGCTTTGCTTTGCTTTTGCGTTTGAGATACGCCCTTCTAATCTGCACAAAATCACGGCACGAGGCCCCTGTCTGCGGAGAAGCTTGTGAAGCTTTGCAACAGCGGAGCAGCTTGCACTTCCTTTCTTGATCTTACTTTTTTTTTCCTGGTCTTTTTTTTGCCGTGCCTACTCTACTACCAAGTCTCCTTTATTCTCTTTTGCTTTTCCTTATAGAAAACCCTAGGCGCGCGGACATGGTTTGCTGGAACTTTGCTATTTCAGGTGGCACAGTGGGGATCAACGAGCGACGGAGCTGGGCGTAGCTAATGGATGGGACATTGTAGCTACTAATGGAGGCGAAAACGGACAATGGGAAATCTTAACGAAAAAAGATATAAAAAAGGGCATGCCGTGTGTGTACTACTGAAAACAATGAGTGAGAGAGCAAAAGCACGGAATGTGGGCTTGCAGTGACGATTGTCGATTGCGTAAGGACAAGGGCGCCAATCGCACCCCCCTCCTCCCTTCCTTTCCCACAGCAGCAGCACACAAAGCCAAGCGAGAGCTCAAAGGGCGCTAGCGCAGCATTCTTCACGCAGAAAGAACCAAAAAGCAAGCAAGAAAAAGGCCTAAGCGGGCACCAAGCAGTGCGCTCCATGACCTTTTTTTTTTTTTTTTTATTTTTTAAGATGGCGGGAGGGTCACGGACTACCTTCCTCAGCCAGCAGCCGCCTAGGTACCTACCTAGGTACGACCTACCTTACCTTACCTTACAATCTGCCGCCTCGGGCGCCGCAGCCGAGTTGCGGCAGCGGTGCCGATGAACGGACACGAGGCCGCTGCCTGGCTGGTTGGGCCCCTGCCTTGGTAGGGAGTACCTACCTAGGTAATTTAACCACCCCCACGCTTGCACAAGCGAGCGCTAGGTAGGTAGGTTGCTGACAGGCACGCACGCATGCACGCACGGCGGCATTGGCATTGGCAGGAGTACTGTCAGCACTCCCGCACGCAGGCACGCTTTAGTTATTGCGCAAGTAAGCAGGCAAGCAAGTAAGTAAGCATGGAGGGAGGGAGGCGGTGCTGTGGCTGCTGCTGCTGCTGCGGTTGCGGGACGTACGGTGCGTACGGTGTGTGGTAGGTAGGTATGGTACGTACGGTACGCAAGGCAAGGTCATTAGTTTAGGTTATGGTACCTACTCCTATCGTCGGCTCACCGGCAAGCAAGCAAGCACGTGGACTGTCCAAGCTTCTTCTTCTCCTCCTTCTCCCTTTATTTTATTTTATGTACAATTATGTACAATAGTACCTAGGTAGGTTCTTAGGTTTGCTATGGAAGGTTCTTCGTCGGTTCCTTCCTCCGCTCCGCCTCCGTGCACGCTCGCGTACGGGCACCACAAGACAGCATGTCCAGCAAGCAGCAGGCGCAGCACCGAGCCTGCCCAAGGGAAAGCGACCGCTCCCGCCCTCCGCCCAACCGTCTCGCTGGCACAACCAACAGCGGCCCGCCTCTCTTGCCAGCTCGTCGTCGTCGTCGCCGTCGTGTGGGTAGTGGGTGTGGCGCGCGCGCGCCAAAAATAGATTAACTATCCACCAGCGCTAGCGACTCGCCCACTCGTCTATTTGCAAATTATACGTACAAACTAGCCAACTAGCCGCGATCTCGGCATAGGCCGGCGAATCCTCTCAGGCCCGAGATCTTTGTGGGTTTTGGGGTGAGGGTGTGATGGTGTGAAGTGTGAGTTGTGCGCGCCCTGAGTGCCCTGGGTGTTTGGGTGCGAGGGACGGTGGGTTTTGGGTTGTGGGCTTGGGCATTCTGGCATGGCTAGGCAAAGCTTTTTTTCTTTTGGAAGGGTTAGGGGTTGGGAGACGGGCATTGCGTTGAGGGCAGTGAGTTGTGAGGAGTGAGTGGACTGTGTGTGTGGGAGTGAGAGAGCAGAGCGTGTACAGTGCTTGCTTGTTTGCTTGCATGCTTTCTTTTTGGTGACGGGCATGCCAGTGCCAATGCCAATGCTTCATTTCCATTGCCCCTTCGCTCGCCTCTACATACTACCTTCGTCGCCCACCTCAACGGAGCACGTCGCGCCTCCGCTCCGCCGATAAATTGAGGCACAGAAAACCCTCATCCTATTGTATTTATGTAGATTGGCTCGAATCCTGCCGTCGATAGCACCTACATAGTTAACCGTCAAATAATTACCCCCTCATTCACCCACTCACCCATTATTCACCTAGGTGCTCAACAGCTAGCTAGCTAGCCAGCCAGCCAGCCTCCCCCTTACTCCCTCCTTGCTACCCCTCACCATCACCCACGCCCGCGCCGCAAGCAGCAGCAGCAGCAGCAGCAGACAGCGATAATTGGCAGCGGCAGGCGCCGTGGCTTTTGCCTATTGGCAGGCAAACGACGACTCGGACGGTCTTTGACGGCGAAGGCAGCGATGCTTGCGTGTGCGTGCATGGCGCGGACACGAATCACGGGCGCGCTGCTCAGGCACAGTACTCTACGGAGAGCCAGGGTCCAGCTGCGGCTGCAAGGTTGCTGCCAGCCTGCCGATGCGGGCGGCGTCAGCTGCGTCGCGGCTATGTATGTGGGATAATGGTGATGACGACGGCCGCCGCCCCGGCTGCCTGGGTCGCTCGAGTCACGTCGAGTCGAGGCTTTTCCAGCGTGTGATTAGTGTGGGTGAGCATGTTTTTCTTTGGCGCGGCGTGCCGGCGACGGCGTGGCTGGTTGGTTGACTGTCTGTGTAGGTAGGTAATAATGTCTTGCTTGACTCTTGACTGGACTGGACTGGTCTTGACTTTACTTGCGCCTGCTCGCACACGCGCTGTCACAATGGAGAGAGAGAGAGAAAGACGACGACGACGACGACGACGACAACGGCGTGAGAGAGGGCGTGTCGATTGTCCGTGTGTGTGTGTGTGTGTGTGTGTGTGTGATCATAGATGGGATGGCTGGGCTGATCTGCGCTGCACCTGCACGCCGGCCTGCGCCTGCCGCAGCCGGGGGAGCGCTGAAACGCGCCGCCGTTGCAGACACAGGCGAGAAACGCGCAATCGATGATTCACGTAGAGTAGAGTACGAGTTGCCCGCCGTCTTCATCTGGCAAAGTTGCAGGAACGTGAGCTTGGAGAGTGGAGGAGAGTGGAGAGAGAGGAGGACAGATGGATGGGCAGATGTGGAGCTGCGGTTCTACAGGGGGAGAGAGAGGGAGGAGTGCGAGCTCTCCTCGTCTCTCCCCGCTCCGTCGACTCGACATCGACATCGACATCGCCATCGCCACCATCGCTCGCCCGCTAGTCAGTTACTCCCTTCGCTCCCCCTGCGCCGCATAACATATTGCGCAACGACGGCCTTCCAGAACAAAGCGGGCACTCACAGACTACATCAAGCGGCCAGCCGACCGGCCGAAAGCGCAGGCAGGTTCAAAAACAAGCGGGTGGTCAGAGAGCGGGCACGGGGAGCCTTGCACAACTCTCCGCCCGGCTCGCTGCTGCTGCTCTGCTACCGTGGCCCGTAATCCGTAGCAGCGGAGCAAGAGTGGGAGGGCAGGGCGTTCGCTCGACTCGACAGCGGTTCGGCGGCGGGGCCGCGGGCGCGGCGGCCTGGCGGGCAGGCGGGCAGGCGGGCGGCGTTGGCGCCAACGCTGCCACCCACCCTCACCCTGCCCCCCTGCCATTGATTGCGCCGCCCGCCCTGCCGCGCGTGGGACGGGTCACGCCCGGCGGGCATTGAGAAAACAAAGCTTGGTGGTGGTCGTGTCGTTGATGACTCGGTCTTGTTTCTTTTTTTAATCTATGTACACTGTACCTCTGGCGTCTGTCTTGTTTGTCTTGTCTCGTCTTGTCTTGCCTTGCACATCCACCACACACATCCACATATCCACTTGCACATATTGCTTTGCTGGACCCGCCGTCGTTCAACTAATCGGTTACTTACGTGTACGGCTCTTAGGCGCGAGATCTTCGCTCGTTGGGCTGGCTGGTCGCCCTGTCTAGGTAGGTGACAACGACGTCGACGTCGGACCGTGTGAGATGGACATCCATCACTAGCATCAGCGCACACCGACCGGCTTGACGATGAAACAATAGACAACTACGGCGGCGGCCAGCAGCTGGTTGAGTGCTATTTTGAGCTGGCGGATACGGGGCGCAGCACCACGGATACGGGCGTAATGCCCTTTTTTCACCCATCTCTTTTTTTTTTTTTTTGGCTGTCTTCTGACGGCCCGGGGAATGTGTTAAGGTAGTGTGTGGCTGTGCTTTTCTTTTTTCTTTTTTT